AGCGGGTGGATATGATGAGAGAAACTTACTGGATGTGATAACTGATAAAACTTTGAAGAATCAACCTCACAGATGTCACCACGTTTTTGCAAATCAGAATCCTAGGTTGCTAGCAAATATTAGTTGATTTATCAATTTTAAAACCTCAGCACCGAACCGAAATGGATTAATAATATCGTTCATGCTCTTTGCTAAAATGATAAAAAGATAGTTTATAGGTTTGTGCTTTCAAAAATATGCGAGAAAAGGCCGAAAATATTATTTATACCACATATTCGTTTTCTACGAAATAGGAAATTAGTCGTCATGATGACGCATCTGTGCAAAACTTGGAACATACACAGACATCAACCTTGACTATGTCTCAGAGTCAAAAAAATTTTCTTGTTGGTGAGGTCTGCGACGACTCAGCAAAAATGTTTAATCACCATCCAGGCAACGTTTCCGAGCAATTACAGTTGGACACTTTTAAGTTAGAAATAAAAATATCAACCATTTTCAAGTTTCACCATATTATATCTTTCTATATTTAATTACATGTTAACAAAATGAACGTACCACATACATAATATCAACATAAAAATTATACTGTTTTGTCAACGTTATCCAGCCAAAAATTTTAACTATAAATAAACAGTTAATCATATGCTATGTCGTTGTGGTCCATCTGCGTTTTATGCTTTACGGCACCAGGAAAACCATTCACGGCCATTACGGTTGTTTATTTATTTCTAATCTTGCTGCTTAGTTGAAGACTCTTGATTGGCGAGTGGATCATGTTTTTTCCTGTACTGGAGCACAAAGCAAGTTATGATAAGCACAGCTGTTACAAGATTCAGTGCGCCGTGTAGAGCAATGGGGTAAGAGTACAGACAAAAACCTGGGTAGACTTCTTCGATTCTTTTACCAAAAAACAGTTCGTATGTGGAAGACACTGTGGTGTTTTTTCCGGATCCTACTACCTCTACACCCGCGTAAGTTCTAGTGTGGTTTATATAGTTGTCGCTTTGACTGTATCCATATGCAGCTACCACTAAGATCATGTTTTCACAAACGGTGTATAACGGTAGTATCAGTGCCAAAGTACCCTGAAGTACTGCTCCCATTGCTAGAGTATGGACGAATAGGGAGAATAAGTATTCCCTCCATGAATTACGTATGCACAGGTTTGCAACTATCCAAGCGATATAGCGTAGCCCAAATATTACTAAAATCCACCAGCCAAGAAAAAAGCAGAAATAAGCCAAAGCAAAAACTCTTGCAGTCACATAGAGTAGCTTGCATATGTACATCACGGCGTATTTACTGCACATAACAAATGTCCGTATTGTGGTGTCCACTTCTTGATCGAATAAACGAGCGGCGATGGCAATAGAAGACACTGCCACTGTTGCATATTGGGCGATTCCGAGTTTTCCTCCGCATATAGACATGAAGATTACACTGATTATCAGCTGAGGAATTGATTCCACAATCGTTTCCATCAGATTCAGATAGTCATTTTTTTCAATGTAACTTTCTTCATCTCCGTATCGCCATTGCCAGCATCCAAGAAAAAGTTGGCCGAGTGAAAATGGCAACGGCAATATAACAAAAGTTAAAGATGCCCAAAATATTGATACCGTACCAGCATTCCAATAAGTTCCTAAGTTGAGACAATCCGTACCCACATCGAAAAGAGTTAGAACAGTATTTCCAATAACCCTACAAACAAATTTTCTCCTCTCATTCGTCATAATTTATGACTGCTTTTTCATGAGGGTTCATCTATCGCATGCTATACAAATCTTGTTCATCGCTACGTTTCTAGATTGCATGTACTCTCACCAAATAACCATGTTCAACCGTTTATTACATTTCGGGCAAACCAACCAAGCAACGTACGCGTTTTGCATTTCCTGTACGACCATTTGATTCATCGTTCTCCATTCAATTTCACTTAATCACATAGGAAAGCTATGAATCGAATCAATTTGCTAAATAATAACATTGGTCAACTATTTGCATCATTACCTAAGAAAATTTTTGGCGTTTGCGTCAATCAATTGTTCATCAAGTCCCACCACCTCAAACGCCGTGACCAATTTGATGGATTGACCATGTCTATCCTGAAAAAAAATTCTTGCCTTCAATAGCAATTGCATCTTACTTTACAACTTACACCTTACAGTTGAGTAAGTATGGTATTCAATAAAGAGTGTAATCCATGACGAGGATGACACAAATACTTTTGAAAAAATGCTCGTTTGCTTAATTCAAACTCAAGCCTTTCCCACGGGCGAACCGGATTTTTATGAACGACATAAAACGCTGCATTTATTTAGGTATTTGTATTCTGTAATTCTTGGTACTTCTTTGTTGATCCTTAATTATAAGTGAGTTCTTTTGGGACATGTAATGAAGCTATGGATCGTTTTTTTTTATTATGTTGTTGTTCTTGTTGGTATTTTTCTTCTTGTTGTTACCGTATGAAAAAAATGCGTTTCTTATTAACCACTGAATCAATTGCTTTGATTTTCAGTGGTTGAAGATTGTATTTCTCGCTAGAAAACTATTAATTTTATTCATTTTAAAACAAAGTTTTGTGATTCGTTTAGAAAATTCACTTAGAAATTTTGTATGATGACCTCGTGTAAATTAATACGAATCATTTGTAGCGGTTCTTCGACCTCTCTCGTGCTACGCGGAAGTCGGAAGTTTTTTGACAGAACCGGAAAAAAGGTGAGGTAGACTACTGCTTCTCTTTGGTCCTGGTGTTTATATATCGTCACGCTAATAACCGAATTGCGTAAGTCATTTTTAGCAGTTTTGAGAAAAACGTAAAAAACTCCCTAATAATATTGTTATGCCATTGAGAGTCAATAATTTGCCATGGTTCAAATTTTTGTTGTGGCCGGATTTAAGTTAATTTGTATGACGCAGTTAGGTGACGTCATAATGGCGCACTGTGACTTAGGCAGAAATGTGTCTATGACTTTGGGACATTCACATACGCAATTTGTCAACCTCACTATATGAACCAGTCCTGGAAACTAAACATTCCAAAAACGAATGTAATTCTCAGTATCTACAATGTCTAATCTCCAAAATAGCTAATCAGTTTCAATTACATTATTTTTTATGTGTAAAAATATATATTTCATCAATATAACACGTTCTGCACACCCTCCGAAATAAGACTAAGATTAAATATAAAGAATAAAACAGCAATGCACCCAATATAAAAGCCAACCAAGGTGAATTGGACTCGAACAGTGAATATCACAAGTGCACGTCTTCCTATACTGTAGTATAAATTCAAATTAATACGCGCTAAGCTAGAATCCAAGATGAAAAAACTCGAAAATACTTCGCAGAGTTTATTTTACCTTTGTGACGTCACAATAGTCCTGCGATAACAATGATAATTCATTATGACGAAACAATTGCACAAATGTGCATGTCATACTAAATCTTCATTTTTATGGGTTTCGGAATTCTTAAAATAAAATTTGAGTTAACAGACAGGTGCGCAGCATTACATAAATACCTATTTTATAAAAAACTCAAAATCGTCAAAAATGACTTACGCAATTCGGTTATTAGCGTGACGATATTTCAGCGTCGCTCTTTCTGTATTATTTCTAAAGTGTTTGTCACTTTGAGTTTTTATACTTCAGGCCCTAATAGCAATTTTTCAAAGAAACAACATTTGAAAAGTCCACTTATTATGACAGCATAGTTATTGAGCGGAAATAATAGTTCTGATATCAGGCTGCAGTCATTTTGACAAATCATTTTGTTTTAATACGTGTTTGTTGTTAATGGGATATAAACATTAACTTGTCATTGAAAGTTTTCGTATTCGCAAATATATGATCAAGAATTTGGCTAATATAAAACTTTCACGCTTACGGTCTTACGTCTAAACGTACGTCTAAAAGTACATTTGGAAATAGTAGTGATTATCCATCATACTCGCCGGGTTGAGAGGCTCATTGATAGTTCTGTCGATCATTATTGTTAACATAGATTCTAAATCTTCGATAATTGGACACGTCAGTGTACATAACGATCGTTTCAATATTATGTTGTTGTTGTTGTTATGTTGTTATTATTCTTCTCTTTCGTCATGATGAAATCGCTTTTCTCTTCGAATACTGGACCAATTGCTTTGAAATTTTCAGTGGTTAAAGATTGATGTTTTTGCCAGAAGGCTATTACTTTTACTTATTTCGAAAATTTCTGTGGAGTTAAAGAGATTCGTTTTTTATGTGTCAGAATAAAAAATAACGACACCTTGTGACGTGTCCATATATTTGAGCACAGCTCTCTTGTTTCTATAATGATCTAAATTTCTAAAAGAAAAAACGAAATTCTTCAAATCTCATTGATTAATTTTAATTTTATACCCAGGTTCCAAAACAACACTTTTCGCTCATATTCGAGTATATTCTTTTTAATTATTGGTTTTGTAAACAAATTGACAATCACGAGGATACTAAGATTTAGACCATGCACTTTGTGCCGTAATTTGATTACACAATTGATGAGGAGATCTCGACAGCTCTCGATTGTTGCGTCGCATCTCACCAATCCGTCTTGCTCAGCATTTGTTGCTCAGTCGTGTTAGCTTGTGTGTGTTTGAATTATCGTCTCTGTTTGGGTTGCATTGTCAAGTTGTGTCGCTGTTCTCAATGATCTGAGTTTAGTTGTACGTGAAATTTTATTCTGAGCAGATAGCAATTGAGTAACGAAATACGCTTCTGTATCGCATCTTATAATGTTTATAAAAATCAAGTTACAATTCAGCAAAATTACCAATAAAATTTGGATGTTCTGGTAATACGATATATTTTTGATGACGCTGGGGATTGAAGATCTTCGCCCCCGCAGGCAAAATCCTGTTATATATTGCCGTCACTAATTATTTTAGCGACATACGAGGTCCCAGCATAAACGTTAGTAAGTTTTGAAAGAAAAAGGATAGTTTATCCTATTTATGTCCCATTGACTACACATCAGTTCAAAACCATTTTATTTTGCCATTGTATTTGCTTTGCATCATTTTACAGCTTTGTGATTAAGAGTATAAAGATCATCAAAATTGCATCAGTAATAAGTGAAAATACGTTACTCGTCAAAGAAATAAAAGTAAAAAAGAACAATTATCCTACAATATTACAACCAGCAATAAAAAGCTTTAATAGGTATGCAAAATATCGCTTCAAATACAATTTTCTTATTGCACTGGACTATTGAACAAAGTTGGCACTCGTAACGTGCCATCAAGTTTATGAGTTTCGTAAAATGATATTTGTAACTAATGGTTCTAATACCTAAAATGTTGTTGGAAAACATAGTATAATATTAACATAATAATAGTGTTCAGTGCGAGATAACATAAACAGCAAGCAAACACAAATGTAAAACTAAACAAAGTAAATACAGAATCAAGCTTTAGAATGATTTTCTGTTGCTTCATTCACTAACGCTGTAGTATGATTAGGAACTCTGGGTTGTTGATTACCACCACGAAGTATTGCTTTGATGATTCCCACCATGGGCATTTCGATCAACACGGATACAACGTAGGCAATTGCATACGCCAGAGACGTAATAGCTGTAAAATAGTAGTGTATTATTGTTATGTACTACAAAATAATCAACAGTTTTAACGAAAATAGATGAATGGTGTTTTGGAGTTGGGGTGTTTTGGACAGTGACCAGTGGTGGGGTCCAAGGAGTTCGTAGAGTTTCACGCGAAACTGCTCTAGGAAAGGAATGCTGCGATAGTCGGCAACACCATTCTTGGTTTCTGTTTCAAACGTTAGACGACGCGGTAAATGCTTACGTGTACACAGAGGACGACTTGTGTTATATAGGCGTTATGTATTAGATTCGGTGACCGTACATTTGAACCCATGTGCATTTGAACCCATGCGTATATCCACGGGTTCAATCTATATGCGGATGCTAAAACCCATGGGTTAGGGTTAGTAGGGGTTTAACTATCCGTGAAACAAAAAAATTCCATAGGTGCAATAGCATACAGGTGCAATTGTCATGGGTTCAAATGTACGTGGGTTCAAATGTAATGGAACCATTAGATTCATGTATAGTGTGTCATGTTAATGCAGAGTATACGTACTAAGATACATGCATTTTCCGTAATGAGAGAACCTGTTGTTAGTGAATTCGATATAAAAGAGAATCTGTGCTTATAATTTCAAATCCCACCGCTGGATACAGCGTTAGTCTAACTATATTGACAAACCTCGGAGTTGGTCGATGATTAATCTCATGCCCATCCCCTATTTTACAGTGTCATAATTGATATAGGCCATTGCAAATTGAAACATTTGGAGCTTTAATCTGGTATCGGTAGAGGCAAAGTCACGGGACCAGAGATGCGTCAAGAGAACTACTTGTAACAAACAAAACGAAGACCTATCCGAAATAGCTTTGTTATTCGGTCTAGGATGATATAAAGGAAAATAATTGACTTATATGGGGTTGCTGACAAGATATTGATGATTAAAATTGTAATAGAAATTACAAAACACATAAAACATGCAGGTAATCCCCCATGAAGATCATTTAATAGATTAGTCTAAATTAGAACATTGTTACCTATAAATTTGGCCGCCGTATCTGGAATGCTAAAATGCCACGTCACTTCCACTGTTCCATACAACCATTCAATAACTAGTGGATGAACAAGATAGGCACAGTATGTAAGACGACTCAGTGGAATGAATAATTTCCAGCTCAGAAAACTGTTGATAGGACCTAAGTATATAAAAATAAAACATAAATATATATTATGCATAAGAGATAGGATATCGTGAAATATAAATCTCGTTTGCGATGTAGAAGGATAGGAAAATCTATGGCCTATCAAGTCAGTACCTATAATCCAAAATCCTTGCAGATTTTGTTCAACTGCTTTGCTTTGAAGTACATAATCGCCAAAAAACATTAGAATTTAGAAATCAAATTCAAATTGTTGTACATGTAATCCATTGTTTGCCTGATTAAAAAATTCGATCCTGGTCTGTAGTTGATTTATTTTATTATTCCAAGAGGCAGGTATGCGTTCATTCTTAATTTTTTATCCGAGAAATATATTTAATATGAGAAGAAACGCCAAGCTCACCCCCGTATCCACTTGAGCAAGCAATGACTAGCCAAGCAAGGCACAATCCCCATAGAGGTCTTGATATTGCGTTGTAAAATGCAGCGACACCTACTGGCATTAATCGGCCTTCAATCACATTTCCAGTTTGTCCATAGACATCTGCTAATGCGATAGCCGTTATCGCCATCCACATCACAAGAACGAATATCTGAAAATGGTGACCGTACATTTGAACCCATGTACATTTGAACCCATGCGTATATCCACGGGTTCAATCTATATGCGGGTGCTAAAACCCATGGGTTAGGGTTAGTATGGGTTTAACTATCCGTGAAACGAAAAAAAATTTCATATGTGCAATAGCATACAGGTGCAATTGTCATGGGTTCAAATGTACGTGGGTTCAAATGTAATGGAACCTCTGAAAATATACAAATGCAGTGAGTGAATGTTAAACCATATTTTAAGCATGGCATACTCAATTTCGAAAACTGTGCAAGTTTAGGCCTACCAATCATGTAGCATATTGTTTTGAATAGTCCTAAATTAGGGAAGAAAAAATTGTAGCAGCTTTATCAGTGGCGAACAGCATTTTTAATTACATGTTTTGCATGGGGCAGCGTGTTTGCTCAGTCATTGTGTTTTGTATGATAATAGTTGGGCGTCCGTTATTCTCCGACGCTTATAGGAATCTTACAATCTTATTTTAAAGAACTAAGAAATTTAGAGACTGGGTTTATTCTATACGAAAACTCAAAAATAAAATTAAAACGCACAATAAACTGTTACTCGCAATGTCGAAATTAATCCTCAAAAGTATTACCTTATTCATGTGAATTTTCAACTTTTTGGTGTACAGGATATATCCGGTTACCATTCCAATGAAGTAGACTCCGATTCTGCACCACGGTTTTTCGTAAATGTCTGACCAAAACATATCAGCTTTACTAGGAACTGGTGGCCCAGTGGGAGCGGCAGTTGTAATCTCATCGTTATATGAATTGTGCGCAGAAAACATCGGTAAACTCGAGTTATTTGGATTTGTTGTAGAAAAAATCGAACTGAAAATTAAAAGTAAACAGACAAGTCAAGTTGGGGCATGAAGAAATACCTTGTATTATTTTACTCTGTTATCAACATGCAACTTTTAAATCATGGGTCTTTTTTAACGCAAAACTCAATATCTACTTTGTGGACGAAGGTTTGTAATAAATTAGTTAACTTTTGTAATCCAAATTAAAAACGTAAACTTTTTTTTTGGTGGTGGATGGTGGTAATTCCACTACACCAGCTTTATTAAGAGGATATTGAATTTAAGATTTTGTTTCATTTCGTAGCATTATCAAATAACTATTTATGGTAAACAGAAAAATGCCGAAAATAGGTACACTCTGATAAAAAAGCTCTAATTTATTGATACTGTATATATATATACGTATTGATAATACGGCAAGTAGTGTCACAATATAAATAAAATACGTTCAAAATCAAGTATATATTCAAATGCTTACTGGCATAAAACTGCCACACCGAGAGATTGAGGTTGTAGTTCATAATGACTGGATATTCCACCAGTGATTGACATACTTGCAACGGTACCAAGTCCAAGTATACTCATCCCAATAATTGGAGACCTAAGTACAAAGCCGTACTTTAATATAGACAAAAAACACTTCAGGAATTGAATGAAACGTAAAGTACATGAAGAAGGTGGCATTTTTGAAGAAAAATGGGAGTTGCAATATTTCTGCATTTCTCAAAATTCCAAAGCACATTATTTAATTTGTCACATTTCCATCAGTACAATGAAGGAATACAATATGAGTAAACATTATCAGAATAATCTCAGCAGTCAATATGACAAATTTAAAGATCAACTTCGAACAAATATTTTTTTTATGTGTTTGTATATTATTATGATTATACAACTACCTAGTTACTAACAATCAAAATCAATTATAACCCAAGCGGTCCTATGCCACGTAATGGTAGGAAATGTGGCGGGAAATGTCTGGTCCGAAGGAATAATAAAAGTAATATTTCTGCATTACTGAAATTAATCGAACATTCTCAACGACCCAGATTAACCGATGATCATGTGACCTCGTTAATTAGAGTTGGTACTGTAAAATCATTTCAGCCTGATATTAGTAAGCTGATAGCACAAAAGAGATGGTAAACGTCAGGACATATGTAATGAAAAAACATTGAGTTTATTCTGTAGTATTTTTGTAAATTTTAGGTATATATATTTAGATTGAGTCATTTTCAGTGTATGTTTTATTCTTTCTTTATTTCAAAACTTTGTTCAAATATGTTTTGGATAGTTGTACATAAAATTTATGATTACAGTCAATTGCAATAATAGTGAAATGCAAAAATTGATATGTAAATGGCATTTGAAATTTATGAAAATAACAAAACTTTATTCGGCTATTTAATTGCATCACAAATTTGTCGCAATATTGTCACAAACTACGCCCAAAACTGTTTGCGGCCTTTTGCACAATTCCCAAAATGCAATGCGGCCCTCGAAAACCCACGAGTTTGACAACCCTGATTTAAAACGTTCAGAATTTTTATTTCGGCGACACACTTCGTCATGCGTAATTGCAAGCATAACTCATATCTTATCAAAATGTTCACGGATATTTGCACTCAATTTCCAACAAACAAGAAGTATACTGCATATACACCCCAAACGGGCAAAACGAGTCATTGCTTGCCGTGATAAACGGGTGAATTAAATGTACATAACAATTAAATTTTTTTCATGTCCATATTTGATTGCCAGAATCAACAGAAAATACCATCAATCTCCATACCCGGAAACAGTTGGACGACTGCAACGAGTCAGCGGGTGAGTCGAGTGTATGATATAGCTTTCATTTAACAAAAAGAAACTTGTGGTGAGGAATCAAATATTAAACCAAACTATCGTACTTGAACAAGATCCAGAGTATGAATGGTGATAATAAGAAGAATTGAGTGTCATTTGCCAAGTACCATCCCCAGCCGAAACACTGAAAAAAGTTTGGAACGGTTTAATAATCAGGACTTTAACACAAATCGAAATTATGATCGACGTTGAATTTTATTGATAGCTGTTTTAACAAGGGTAAGCGTATTTGATATAGAATTTGATTCTCAGGGTAAGGAAAAAAATAACATACCTGAATCGTACAGACAACTATGCTCTGGAGGCGTTACCATTTCAGGTCGAATACGGGATTTGTTAGCAACAGGGGGTTATGGAACGCAGTACAGATGTAGAAGTAGGCAACTAAGCGTCGTCAAGTATTTTGGCAAAGCATGATAAACCCAAACTGTTCACAATATGCGACTTGCTCGCAATGACGAGCGTACAATTAACCCTAATCCAACTTTTTTAATTCGTACACGTCATGCAAACCTTAAAAACTTTTAGATTCACACACCTCGGTTATGAATATATCACTGAAATCTAACGAGAAAACCCTAAATCCCAGTGTGAATATAACAATTTTTTGCCTTATTTTAACGAAGTAAATTGTCAACGCCATAATAAGTTTTAGCCGTCTGACGACTTCGCATATCATTCAAAACGTGGTCAAAGAGATGGATACATAAAAGTAGTTTATATTACCCTATACCGCGTAACTTGTAATGAGTAAATTCGGAATTACCTTATGATTGAGAATACTAGTAACAATGTATATTGCCTAAGCCCTAAACGATGTATAATTACCGAATCACCCATATTGATTGGGTACATGTTGTTGATATATAAGAAATTTGTCCACCAATGATTTTCGCATGGCTTCCGAAAACTTTCAGTAACAATTGGCCACAGCGGTCCCTGTCCCATCTTTGAATACAAGCTTGTAGTAATGAGTATACAAAAGCCATAAGCTGGAGTCAATCTATTGGAACAAAGCAAAAATCATGATTAGTCACATCATTGTAATGGGGATATATGGCCACCATTTCCTTTTGGCGTGTTTTTTTGAAAGAAACATCATAAATACGTATATTGATGCGGCTGTTTAATATGTAGTATAATTTGTACTAATCTGGATTAAAAGCATTCAGTAAGTACAACCAAATGATTTAATTCACAATATAGTCCGAGAACCAGCGTAAATGATCACTGTAAATTACAATTCGTTGAGTTTTCGGTACTACCGAAGTGTATGTATACCAGGTTAGGGTTAGGCCATACTTTCATTCCGATTTTTCCTGTTTTAGTTCTATTACGAGTTCGGGGACTTTCTGTATAAGCCAAGTGAATATACACCCTGCCCATAGGTTTCAGTGCCTTTACCCAACTTGATGTAAAGTAGGCGAACAAAATTAGTTACCTGCGTATTAGTACACACACTTCTGGAGCGCCTAGTTTCCTACTCTGATGATGGAAATTTTAAACGATAGTTTGTGAGTTTATCGCTATATATCGATTTCAAATTTACCTTAAATATCTATATAAATATGGTAATAAGACACTGAGTCGACCATTCCGTTTCCGCATTTCCCTCATTCCGAGATACGTTGCGAGTAATCCACTGAGGAAGAAGAAGGAATCAACAGAAAAGAAAGCATTTCCAACCGCTTGAAAACTGCCTTTCGTGATGTAGTATTGAGCGTAATCCACTGGATTGTCTAAATAAAATGCACAGAAAATGAGATTAAATTTAGCAGAGCTGGAAACACTAGGTAGGATTTTGTACGTGTTTTGTAGAGAATTATTTTGAAGGACTGTTTATTCAAACTATATTTGAAATACACCTATATACAGTTGTGACATCACTCGGCGTTCGGGAACTTAGTTGTTAGCGGTGGTGGGGGCTTTGTACAAAGGATTCAAATTATGTAAAGATTCATCATGCATTTGGTAGTGTTAGACACCTTTTTTTTTCTTTCTCCATAGAATCTTATGCTGAACGAATTTCTATATATTATTATCGAACGCGAGAACTTGTTTAAACCCAAAATAGGTTATTTATTCGAGTGAATAAATCTAGTCGACCTTCACTCTATTTACATCATACATGTACACCGTGCATAGAGCGATATGTACTTAAGATCACATGATTGACTAACTCTGAATAAATAATCTCTTGCAATTCGCAATTATGAGCAACAAATGAATTACATAAGTATGTTTGCAGACTACTGAGACAATTTTTTTGCTTTTATTACCATCATTTATCCGTTCAACCACATTTTAACTTGGAACGCAGCGTATATGCCATGTGCAGGTGTGGATTGGTCAATTAATACAAATACAATTACAACAAACTCGTAACAAAAAATCATTTTCTGCCTGGAAAGCACGTGCGTTGTAAAACTGTCTCTGGCCAAGTATTCCATTTCTGTCCTCAGGCGGATTTTCATAGAACGGAAATAGTTACAGAAAGTCGCAATCTGGATATACGCATTAATTCTCCAAAACCTAGCATTTACTGACATGTAAAGCAACGATCTCACAATATTTATGCATAAACATTCCCAAATATGCATTCTTACCAATATAAGATGGACTAAAGAGAAATGTGTGCCCGAGTATAACCCACGTCATACTCAAGAATCTTATTCCATGTAGAACATTAATATTTCCATCTTTTTGACTTGTATCGAGCAACGCCTTGGTATTTTTGATAATTGAAAATGACAAGATGAGTTGCTTTAGCACTGAAAAATTAAACGTACAATGTAGATTATAAAATGCTTGGAGTTAAATCTTGTCAAACATAAATCAGAAAGTCATCTATTAGGCCTAATTAATGTGATGTGATTCCAATTAATCACTTAGCATCATCAAGGTCGCGGACAAGTACGTGTAGGGGACCCTGAGTTAAACAAAGAAAATATTTTCACAAACGGGCAAACATTTCATTGTTTGCCATTCAAAGCGCTGCTAGGCTCGACCTTCAGTGAACAACGTCCTATCTTTTCATAAACTATAATGAAATTAAACGTTTATATATAGGTCTTTGCGCTGACTATACACAAATCTATACCGAAGCCCTGAGGCTTGACAAACGACTGAGTTGCGTGGAATACTGATTATTCGTACCATTTTACTGCTTTCATATAGGAATACTGTTTTCATTGTACCCTTCTTTAGGACTTCAATGTGAATGTTTGCGAATATAGTTTGAAAACTACATTTAAAGTTGGCAAATAATATATCTACTCGTATTACAAAAGCCTAAGCAATTACATCGATATCAAATGGAAATATGGAGCACATGATATAATATTATCCTGACACATGAATCAACAAAATGGCTTTTTTTAATTTATGATACATATAAATTTTCATAATTGCAATGTTTTGTTGCTAGTTATGTATTACGCCTTTCCCTTGATTCTACTTGCATTATTCACGACAGAAAGTTTTCTGTTTTTTACACTTACCCGATGGATTGCTATTTTCGATCTCATGTACTTCTTGGTTGTCGAACAGCAATTGATCATATCCTTGAACTGGTCTCACAGTTAAATAAAAGTCATATATTGAGGCTAAAATGACCAGTGATCCAAGGAAACAACTGATAAATCTAAACAAAATATTTTTACATTATAATTGAAGATTTTACGCTGATTCAAGATCATAAATCCGAACAATATTGTCTTAAAATTTGACTGTCAAATCCTATATATCAATAGGTATATGAAGTAAAAGCGGCTCACTTTAGTAAGGTAATGAACAGGAAGAATCATTTGTAGCGCATAGTGGGCATCATGCCCAACATCAGATTCAAAGCAATTACATAATAGAAAATAAACTCGTACATTGCTATAATGTCTGTAGCTTTGTATTTTGTCCGCTGTACTGGACAATAGGCACTGACTGGTTGCTTGATTACTTTCCCCAACGGTGCAAAAAGATCGTTAAAATCTTTTGTAGAACAACTATCAGGGAGGCATGTTCCAAATAGAAGCGATGTTCTTGATCCCATTCCAAAAGATGCCTGTAAATTAAAAAGTCTTTTGTTGGAAATTGTGGTAAAAAAAACATAAATTTCCCAGCAATTACATAATATAGTTTACACCCGGGTGTGTTCCAAATTTGTCTATTTATTGATTTTCCGTAACATATAAAGAGAGTCTGCCTGGCGAGCGACTTGGTGGAAGGAGAATATGAACCCAAACTGAAAATACTTTATCAAACCCGTCCCGTATTCGAATTATTATTTATTTGAAGCTTTGAAGCAGAGGCGAAGTCTCTGGAATGGCAGTCACCCAGAGATAGAGCTCTTCTATGTTTCTTTGTAGGGCCGGTATAATCTACTGTATTTAACCTTGGTTGACTCCAGTAGCGTTTGTTCCTACACATATTTCCGATGACTTTTTGATAATGAATAAATAAAATCACGTAGATGTTCAATTGCGTGAGAAATAAAACGATGATCAAAATGAAATTAAATCCAAAAAATAATTAATCTTACAGAATCTGCTTTACCGACAGTCATCCCACAGTATTTTCCATTGAATTTATCTGTGGATTGTGCCAAACATTCATAATATCTTCCAAGCCACATTAAATTACCAGTCGCAATCCCGCTGTCTAACTTTCCCCATGAATCCAACACTGCAAAGTAAATAATGAATGTGCCGTTATTCAAAGGTAACAACACTAAATAGTTAATTCTAGCACATGAATCATCGTTGTTTTTCGTTGAAACTGATGAACTCGACCAAAAAAACACCTATAAAACTGCTTTTACTGTGGAATACGACGGGTGCGCACTCGTTCAATTATTTATATACATTTGAAGTTTGACAAAAAATTTCTTACTTTTGAAAGCATATCCCTTTAAGTGAATTGTATCCCCAATTAATTGCAATAAATCTTCGGCGCATATAGTTGTATTTTCTTTGTCTCCCAACAAAGATGCAAGGTGTTTCTTCCCCATAAAATTCATCTTAAATTTTGAAAATTCTTCCAAGGCATAAGAGTGCTGTTGCCCCCATTCTAGACGATCTTTCAGAGCTCCAACAACGTTAACTGGAGTATCATAACGTAAATGACTGCGGACCGGGGTAGTTGCCAACGCGATCAACGTGAACAATATAAAAACGCCTGGTCGATTCATTCCGAAAAGAATCCAGATTGAATTATTTTATGAAACCTGTTTGTTTACCAATAAAGTAATTAATTATATAAAGAAAAGATAACTCGAACAGGCAATTATGGTCAGGAATCGGCACTTTTTCAAAGACTCTTTATTAATTAAGGCAATTTCAAATAAATTAAGTCATCTCTCAATTTAACTATTAGCTCAGAGCAGCATTTTCAACCTTTTTTGTTTAAAGGGTAAACAATGAAAAGCTAAAGCACGAATCCGACTTGACGTTGAATCTGATATTCATTATGCATTATCTACGACTCCATCATACATTGGGCAGCTGTAAGTAATTTGCCAATTTCGTTTTTCAATGAACAACACCATCAAGTACATTGAAGGGTAAATATAGTAACCAGCTTAGCTAACAGGATAGAAAAGCGTGATTTAAATCATGACTCAGGGGATGATTCATACTGATTTGCCTTGCACTTTTAAAAACGAATAGATCTGTTAGTAGCCACTGGATAAATTGGTTTCGATCAATGCTGAAAATCCAAATGACCAAAAAATTGCATTTGACGTTTGACTTGACAAAACTGAATCATTTCCTTATTTGACGCAAGTTAACTGTTTCAAGTTGCAGTTTTGACAGATAAACCGATTATTTAAAAATTTTCTTTGAAAACAAATTTTAATTTTGAATATATCCTATGTACAATTGTTTCACCGTCGGTTTGGACATATCGAAAAAAGTGATGTTCCGTAAAACAGTATCATGACGAATGGCGCGATAGGTTTAATATAGACTTTAGTTTGAACCCTGCAGTGCTAGCAAGCCAAACATTCACAAACAAAACGTTGCGTAACGCTGGAAATTTAGCCTGCTTATCATTTCCGCCATGCGATTACATAATGTCATAGCGAGTTATTTTCACTCACAATAAGCATTAGTTCACATGATTCATTTAATATAAATGCGTTGATTTAAACCACGATGTAGTGGGATCATAAAATGTGGTAATACGTCTTAATGTTATATTTCCATTAAAACTTGATTTCAACTTATTTATTTATCAACGTTTTATTGTACAACGGCCTTCATGATTATATGAAGATGTGACAGGCAAACATCTTTTCAAATTCCATGAATTTATATCGTATTTCGTTTATGACACGGGCCTGGAATGCGGGAAGTGCATTTTCAGGAACCTTTCAATTCCGTTGAAACATTACAATAATTTGAAATCTTTGAAATAGAAAATTGTCAAAACATTTTACGCACATACATGCATGACTTTTGGAATCATGACAATCCGCAAAATATAAACCTGTGCTTTTTTCACGTTCCATATACAGTATTTCTATGCACGCAGCGATAGTTCAAATGGCAGCAATGACGGCATCATACACCCGCAGCTCGCCTATGTTGAGAGATGTGATGCATTTCATAGAACAACCAAACTACCAGCAATACAAAACCATCTACTAGGTTTTCAGAAAGTACAGAAGTATGTGCTCGAACAATCTTCGCATATCAGCATATACCTAATATAATACTTGATTATTTTTTATTGTATGCACTAAATTACTATATCGGCTCAGAATCTTATCCTTGTTCACGTCTTATCACGCGATTGCTGTTACACAATCATAAGAAATACTCCCAATTTGTTAAAACTAGCCTTGATTTTTTGAACTTTTCAAGCTATTTTCAAACTATTCCTTATTGTCGCTGAAGTATAAGCTATTGATCTCGATATAAATCGCTTTTTCAAGCACCAGTCATGCGACAACATCACATGATCGTGGAATGATTGCGCCATACAGGGTTAAAATTAACTGAATAATGGAGAATGGCAACGCGTTATGAAAAGTAGCCGTTTTATCGTAGCTTTAAATGTCGACTTTATTCTTATCTTTATCATGGGTTTTGAATCGATTTAACTGACCATCTGAACAAAGAGGGCAAATAGGAAGGAATAATTGATTTTCTCATCCATATCCAAACTTCAAGGACCCTCCATATATTTTTCTAGATTTGCAAATTAGAAATTTTTCTGGCATGAATCAACGTTATATAAAATTTTATAATTTTATCTTCGAATACAAAATTGAATTTGGGCTACTTGAGAAATACCCAAATTGTATCTGGAATACGATTGAAATAATTCATGTTATAAATAGTCGTATTTTAACATAATCGCGTGTTCCAAAACATAGATTACCCTGTCTCAGTGGCCACTTTTATTAGAAATATAATTAATAACCTGCCCGTTTTAATTAAGTGAAGACGTCTGGGCTTAATTGAAATTAAACTTAAGAGATATACTATAACATTTAAAGTATATTCAAAATCAAAAGAATCTCCCAGGTGCTCAGAGTATAAATCCTATTCCATATTGGAACTCAACGACTAGTCTGTATACAATGCATAGGACGTGGTTTCTCTCAGTGGTGCAAAAATTAAGGGATGTAAATTTCGAATAGAAGCGATTCAAATCAAAATCATTTCGAAGCAATTTCAGAAAAATTAATAACAACACCGTTGCATTGCTCTTTTAAAATCATGGTACAAATGGTCCCCGAACTCGTAATAGAACTAAAATACGGAAAATTGGAAGAAAATTATGGCCTAGCCCCAACCTGGTACACATACTACGTTCCGGTGTCCGCCATCTTGGTTCACATACTTCGGGAGCGCCAATTTAAATAGCGTTCATCATTTGCATGAACTTTAAATTTAATTAAAGAAATAAAAACGAACACTATACGTCCGATATTGTTTGTGAACGAAAATATATGTAATAAGAGATAAATGTATTTATCTGAGTTAAGCTCCATATGATGAAGTTTTTTGTTTCAGGCCCACTCTCTTTCTGCCATCTTTATTCATTCTTCAGTTCATTAATATTATATAATCACAATTTATAGTATGGGCATTCAAAATTGAAAGAAAGCTGGATATAATATGATGATATACCTACCAAATAGAATCAGATTTGAAAATATTTGAATCGGAACATTCTATTTCGATTATTTCTGACGTAATAAAGAAGCTTTCTTACATCACATATATTCCGAAATCTTATTCACAATTGCAAAATAAGTAAAGTAACTGTATATTTTCATTTTTGTAATTGTGTGATTCGTTGGTCATGACGCACGTTTACATTTCCGCGAGGTAAACCAGAAGGAAGATAGTCTTCAATATTCATACGCACATATTTTTATCAACATTGTTCAAAATGAATGTGTTAAGATCACTGACTGAATTTTCAAAATTTTCTACAACGGTTATAAATATTGTAGTCGACTGTTTTTTGCTGCTGACTTACTGGCGTGCTGAAGAAAAAGCTATATTCTGGACTGGTCTTGGATTTTTTATCGCATCTTCTGTTGCAAATGACATATCTTTAATCTGTTTGATCGATTCCCGCGTCGAAGAAGAAGATTTTGGAAGGTGGATGAAACGAATATTCCACTTACAATTTCTCTGGATAGAAGCAGTTCCGAAACTTTTGATCAACGTAGTTTTCTGCATCATGCAGTGGAATACTAGTGGAGTTATTCAATTGTTAGCTTCCTTTTATTTATTTTATTCAACATACTTAAGATGGATGGAATTGAAAACACAGTAATAAGAATAAGGCGTGCTATTAAACCCCTGGCATTTCAGTTTAAATGCAAATTTGTTTACGATAAACATGAATATTTTGAATTCTATTTTTGTATTTCTAAATGACATATACATGGATTTAAAACAAAGCCCAATTTTCACTTATAAGAGTTGATTGAATTAAAACAACCAAAAAAACAACAACAATATATTTCATAGAGAAATACTTATTTGTATAATTATTTATGTAGATTGATTCAATTCTTTATTCATTTCAAAGTTTATCACAGTCAATATCGACACTATTTGCATGTATGATTCCGTTCTCAACCCCATGTTTTTCATTCTTTGCCGATCCAGTATACTCTTTATGTATATCATTCTCACGCGATGATGATTTCCTTGAATTTCTCGAATGTCCCTTGCCAGATTTATAATGTGTAAGTAACGTTTTAACAATACCTGTCACAGGTATTTCCAGAGCCATTGAAAACACAAAAGATAGTGCGTAGGAAATTAGAAGCAAAGCTGAAATTAATAATTTTTTTAAATTTAAATAGTAAATTTGTTCTAATAAATTAATTTACTATAACTATCGTCGACTAATTGAAAAGTGGGTATAATATTGCTGTTTAAAGCTGAAAATAGGCTGAATTGTACCATATTATTTTTTAGTTCAGCTTCAATCTATATTGAAAGTTGAGAGTTTTTCATAATTGGTGATAGAAAGACTACTAATGTTAATTGATGTAGAATCAATATTAAGATGTCATTGTACTTTGATAATAATCGATAACGACCAGTAATCCTAATAAATATATAGAGAACATCATTGGGAAACATTTCCCCAAACTTGCGATTAAAATCTCAAAAATGAGACTGCGGTTCTATTCTAACAAAAAATTCCAGGCGTTTATTTTGTCTTACCACAGAAATAGTATATTACTATATTGACAGAGAAATGCAACTCGTATTCCCGTGACAAATATAGATACATGACAACTATTGGATGAATGAGATATGCACAATAAGTGAGTCTACTCAAAGGAATGAAAACCTTCCAGCTGAGAAATCCGTTTATAGGACCTAAAAATAATCGATCGTAGTTATATTTGATAAAATTGAAATGAAGATGAACAGTCCATAATACGAATTTTGAATAGTATTCTACTTAATTGGATATCAAAAAAACCATTCCTACAAACAACTTCTAAGATAGCCGTTCACGGTATCTGAAAAAAGCAATAGCGGAAAACTCTTGTTTGGTGTTTTTCATAAAAAATCTCGTAAAGATGTGAGTCGCGATCATATTCATTCTCCTGAAATCATAATATTTGACTTTTGTCACTTAGTAGGTACTGCTATATATTACATTTCCATGACCTTTGTACTACACAGACTGTAAAAAATTAACATATTTGAAAATAATTCAAAGATTATATCAAAAATTCGTAAAAGAAAGCGGAGTTTCACATTTTGGACTTGTCCAACATTGTTCAATTAATATGCCTATAGTTACTGAAACGCACCGCACTGCAAACGAGAAAAATCTTGGCCGTCTCAGTTTGAACGGGGCTTCATAGAATCGTAAAGAAGATTTTCGAATGCAAGGTTCCGATAAAAATGCAAGAAAAGGACACTTTACGTCTTACGAGAACGTTTGATTCGGTGCAAAGAAAAAAATTCTCCCGAAATATTTTCTCGATTTTTACGAAGTTTAGTGAATTCCATTAGGGATTGTTGCAATAAAGTTGAAGCTTTACAGATACGTTAAATGTTCGTTGAGTTCGTTTACGGCTTTTAAGAATATCAACCACAACTTGAAAGCATGATAGCTGAATAAAGTATGCTTTTTTAAAAAAAAATAACAGTAATCTTCAAATTACAATTCTATGATTTTTAAGAATAGACATTATACCAAAATAATGTTATTTTTCAAAACATTATTAAGTTCGATTCTCTCACCCCCATAACCAGATACGCAAGCAATAGTAAGCCAGGCGAGACATAGAGCCCACACAGGTCTTGCAACTGCATTGTAAAACGATAGGGCATTAACACTTGGTATATAGTTTTGTGAGATTGAGCCCCAGAATCCATATATAATAGCGAGATCGACTGCTGCAACCGTCACCCACATTAGTGTCACAAAAACCTGAAACGTAAAGTTATGCATGTATTAACGGACGACGTAATAATGGCGTTTAACCCGCAAACAAAAGAAAAATGATTCAGTCCATAGTGCCTTCAGCTAAAATATAAAAAACGTGGATCATGACGGTACGTTGTTTATTTTTGTATTTGATATATCAGTATAAATATGGAGATTGATACGAGAAATAACGCTGTCAGAAAACAGCTAAGTAAAAGTGAGTTCTCAAAGTGAGTAAGTAATAATACACGCAAAAACAAAGTAAAAATTCTTCTCCGGTAATGAAATCGTAATCTAGTCTTTCTGCAACGAGCATAAACCTTTTTGGGTATCAGGCAACTTGAACTTTGACAGAACAGTGCAAAACAGACATCTTGTGTTAAATTTTTTTCAATACCTCTCTACTTCCCCAAAAAGTAAAATACCGCTCACTTCGTTCAGTCGAATCTTTCTCTTTGTGGTATGAATGAAATAGCCCGTGGCCATACCAATTACATAAGGCCCAATTCTGCACCACGGCTTAAAGTAGATATCGTAAAAATACGGATCTTCGACCAGCGTAGGCGGAGGAGTGCTATCTGTTTCTGTTCCCTGCCCAAGAAGATATCTACAAAAAATTTACAATTTTACTGTCTTCATTACAGCATTTTGCCATAGCATTACCTGGATTCATTCCCTAACTCATTGTAGTAAGTACACATATATAATATACAAAAATGACTTGACGGTACGTATGCAACTTTCTAATTTCATTTCAAAGTATTGAGTTGAAAATACAAGTAATGCAATCTTCTTTTTTGCAATGCATAGGCCATTTTTGGATCAACATAGGCTCTCTAAGTTAATATTATTAAACCAGTGTAATTAAATTATGTTTTGGGGTTTTGGGTGTCTCAAATAACACACGATCAAATTTATTGGCTCACCTGCATAAGAGCGCAAGATCGATCACGTCCGGTCTCACATTGTAATATGTGGACAATGCACCAGTAATGGCGGCACTTCCTAACACCGTTCCGAAGACAACACTCAATCCCGCTTTAGGATGCCTTGGATAACATTTAAAAAAAACGATATGAATAAAGCCGTTTGGACAAAGCGAAAGCATGATTTTTAAAGTTTCAAACAATATCTTACCGATAGAAGAGTAGCAGAAATATAGGAGATAATAAATAAAACTGCATGTCGTTTGCCAGATACCACGATGCAACGAAACACTAAAAACAAAGCTATGAAGTTAACTGTCGATAGTTCTCATCATCGCCAACCATCTCTTGTGGTGGCAGAAGAACTTGATCAGTACTCTATTCATTCGGGAATATTGCATGCACAACTATGAAATACTTAGCATTTTCAGTTATTTTTTATACTCTACCCATGATCTGAACTTTTTGAACCATAATGAATAGTTTAAATCCATGAATAAAACAAATTTACAGGAATTTGGTAAACATAAATATATATAGAAATAACATAGGAAATATTCTCACATATATAATATATATATACGTATATAATCTGGGCATATACATGATGAAGTCCAACGATTACCCGTAGTACCGATATCCTATGCGACTTAGGCTACACTGGAATTCGTTATCTGATTATATAAGAGATTCAAATCAAAATTAAAGATGAAGTCCTAACGCCATAGCAATTCCCATCGTTAACGGTAACAACGAAGCTGGGCAGTACGAGGCTGGTTAGATTAATGTGGTTAAGTGGTAGTCTATATACGTAGGAGTAAAAAAATACCATATAGAACTCGGAAATTGAAAAAAAAGGAAATTAATGAATAGCATTTTAACGACTACAACCACCTTGGATACTGAAAATTTGAAGTCTATTGCTTCATTAGTTAAAACAACAACAGTTGATGACAGCAGCAAAATGATTCATACGAATATCACGGATCCAAAAATAAATTAAATTGGATTTTCTCACCGATTCTTCCATGCGAGGGGGATACAAATTGTTTATGTACAATAAGTTCGTCCACCAATATTTTTGACAAGGTACAGCGAAGAGATGCGTCACGGGCTGATAAATTAATCCGAAACCAACTTTTTCGTAAAGACCAACATAAAAAAGTATTGCAAGTGCATAAACCGGTGTAAGTCTATTGAAGCAAATAAGAAAAAAATTAAAGACATTTCTATTTGATCAATTTCAATTATAAAAGCTAATTATTTTGTCTGAACTTCAAAAACTAATATCAAACTCATAGTTGTTGTTGTAGTTTTTTCAGATCATAAGAAATAACGAGATGTGGTTGTCGAGAGATTGCTGTTATCGCAGATTACAATTCTCGGATTCAAACCTATATGAAAACCCAGCGGTTTGCCTTCCTGGCTCAATACTTCAACTAATGGGTGATGAGTTAAGTTACTTATTTCAAACAGTAAACATCGCATGTTCCTGATGTGCATCAATTGATAATGAATATGTAGTACGATACAAAAAAACAAGAGAGCAATGCTCAAATATACAGACACGGAGGCAAGAACGAAGTAGTCTTAAATCTTTTGTACTGGTAGTCTGACCGCCAGATCACTGAGATGTGATCACGGAACCCACGACACGCAATTTCTATTTTCGATGACGTCATCACACAAAACTTCGAAGTAAAAAACGAATCCCATAGAGCCCAGAGATATTGGAAATAATTCAAGGTAATAGCCCTCTAGCGACAACAACAAGCTTCGCGCACTGAAAATTTTGAAGAAATTGCTACGGTAGTTAAAAAAACAGCAATTTTTCAAAACAACAACAACATAATAACAATAAATAAAATGCTTGTGCCACGAAATGATTTACCTCAAATACCGGGTCAAATACATCAGTAGTACATTAAGTTTTCCATTCCTTTTATCCATTTCTCGCAATCCCAAATAAGCAACCAGAAGTCCGCTCAAAAAGAAAAAGGTGTCCACTGAAAATGAAGCATTGGCAACACCTTGAATAGCTCCATGATTGACGTAATAGTTGGAAATGTCGATAATATTATCTGAAGCAGAAAACAAACCCAGAATAAATTGAAATGTATTTAGTTGATTGAGCTTATACTAATGGTGAACACAGTTTGACTCAAGAATTAACCTGTGAATCCGAATGTTGATGAAACTGAATGTCCCAGAATCACCCAAGTCATGCTTATGAAACGCAGACCATGAAGGCATTCCAAATTTCCTTCTTTCTGTTCAGTGTTCAACAAATTTTTTGTATTTTTGATGATAGAAAACGACAAAATTAATTTTTGTGAGACTGTAATACAAGGATAATTTTGAAAATATATTGTTATTCTTGGCTGTATAGTTCATTATTCTTAAGTAAAAATTCTACCACAAACATATATGTATATATATGACTTACAGCAACCAATTTCCCTTTTTTTTATATATTTGATGATTGAGTTGTATGTCACGGAAATGCCTATTGTTTCGAAACTAATTTTAAACTCAGCTTGCGTACTTGTTTGGATTGGATATTACATTTTTTCCGAGTGATGATAGATTGGTACGCTATTGAATTGGAACACTTTCAATTCTAGTCCAGAAACTGTCGAAATGATTTGCAAACAGAATTTCCAGTATTGTATTTCGTTTGAGTATATTAACTTGACTTGAGAAACGTAAGTTTTATTGTAATTTATTGAATCTCATATTTGATATATATGAAAAAAAACAATTGTACATACTGCTCATATAATAATAAAGTAAAATCTAAAATACAACACCTATTCAATCTAATACCAGATATTTCTTTCGCGTTATTTTCTTCGCTCTTTTTTCGGAGTTTCATGAATGTGAGCAATTCAACCGCAGTTCCCGTAATTACCAACAGGCCCAATAAACCAACAATTGTACTAAATAACAGAGAAAATATTAATATTTCTATGTTTCAACAAGTTTTACCAACGCGATGACAAATTTTTACAGATGTTTTTTTTCAATGTTTTTTAATTTTGGGCAAGCGCTCGGATCTATTAGTTCTCATTGTTTTGTTCTAACAATAACTTATACACACTAAAGTTGGATTGTATATATTTTGTATATTGATTTGCTGTACAACCCCATTTTATTAATGTGGCAAAATAACAATTTTAAGTCATATCAGCGTACAGTGGAATGATTTGAATAAATATATATATCATATAAATCTACCTAAATGTTCCCGGATTTAAACCTATATCATATTTTAAACTTACAAAAAAATTATGTCAGGTGCGTCATATTTTTGACTCTCTGGACATAGGACGTTCACAAAGATCCCAGAAGTATCATTGAAAAAAGTAGACTGAATTATTCCTGTAAGTTCTGGTCCCGCACATTTGTCCGGCACGCATATACCAATTGTTAGTCCCGCCATGGTTGTTGCGTTCTAAAAGTGGCTTTTCATTATTGAATATCTGAAATTTTTCAGTAAACAATATCATCTTTTTTTTGAGAATTGTTATAACACTTTAATTAATAACAAAAAAATTTATTCAATCTTTTTTTGTACTTATTTGCGACGAGACATTTTGAAACTGCTAAAAATTGTCTATACCGGTTTTCCAGCAACAATAGCCTGACACATTTGTCCAGTAATTTCTTTTCCATTTGAAGCACCAAAACATTCGAAATAAGTTCCTGTCCAAAGATAGTTTCCTTTCAGTAAACCACTTTCTCTTCGGCCCATCGAATCAGACACTGAGTATTAAAATATACACAAAGTTGATAACAAGTATTCTCAAATTAAAGTCAATGATTAAAATCAATAAAATGCTGAGGTATCTTGTAGATTTCGAACATACCCATACAGGCGTAGATGTTTTTGTGATGAGGATTCACGTCCTAAACATTTTCATACATTTTGCTTTGAATTACTGTAAATATTTTCTCCAACGTATTGTTGTTATAAAACTTTTCAGGTTCGTCAAAAATCTTCGAGAATAGCCACGAAGAAGTAATTTGAAAACAGGGCGTATTATATCATGAATCACTAGACCAACTCATCAAACTAGTGAATTTTTATAGAAGAGTTGAAACAAATTTGGAATCAAAACTTACTTTGTCTTGCATATTGTCTGCCTAGATAATAGTCTAATATAGCCTTATATATTGCATCAGTACATTGCGTATCTTCATATTCAGTCACCAACGCTTTTTCCAATTTTTTCATAGGATTACCATTGTAAAGCTTGAATTTTTCTTCTAGTATTTCCTTCATCTCTATGTAGAAATCCTCTGACTTTCCTTCTGTTATACGTTCTACATAATTTTTTACAAGATATTGGGGGTAAGAAAAAGTATCGTCAGATAAGGCGTTTGATGGCGCGATTCCCCAAAAGCTGACAAAAACCAGCGCTACAATCCTAATGAAAAACATATTGCCTAAACTGAAAGAGCATGAAAAAAAGTTTGATAATCTGGCGGAATTAAATCGAATTGCTCTGAAATTTTCTAACTAGCACCATTACGTTGCCGTATATATTTTGATTCATAAACAAACTTCTATTCTTTATCCTATTTCTACAATGACGTCGCAGTATAGAAGCAAACAATTTAGAAAATCTTCCATAAAAGGACTACACAAACATGCATATAAGAATACGTTATTTATGGTGTTGATATACATTATAGTTGTTTGACTGTGTTCGTTTACACACGAGTTAATGATTATGATTTTCTAAATAAATTTGAAGGAAACGACATACATAGTGGTTGGTATATTTTCCCTGATTTCAAGCTATGTCACCATGATGTCGCCATCATGGTGATGACCTATGTCCTATAATTCATGATTTCTCCAAGTGAAAGCCATAGATGATAATACAATGAAATACTGAAAAATCTTGAAAACACAAATCTTGAAAATAAAACTCTACCGTGCAATTCACAGTTCCCTTGTAAAAGCATTTGTCTTTGTAAAGGCAAATAAATCCCAGGTTACGTAATACATGAGTGTACATCGATACTTTTTACCCACTCAATGGCGTAACAGATATTATAGATAGACTCTTCAAAGTTATACACACCAGGACTCGCGCAATTTTGCTCGTTTTAAACATTGTCTGGACGTTGTAAGACAAGCAGTTACAAATGGGAAAGGAGATATTTGGGTCATTGTTCTGCCCAATGCATCACCTTCTGAATAATTTTGTTAAAACCATCTTTTTAACCTGAGCTATTAAAATTGTTAGGTGTAACGTAGATAATAATCACGTCCGACTTGCCAATTTAGAGAACATAGCTAATTTCCGTGCTTGCATGCGCATTTTAAAAATCAACGACTGCATGTCATTAATGTCTCAGCGATAATTTCAAGACTTACACTTTTGATATCAATGAGTTACTTACTTTGCATGGTTTAACAATGTGAAGATTTGAATTTATTTTTTAGAATGAGTATTTGCTTAAGTCTAACAAAGGTCGACCTACAACCCCTGACTCAGTATTTTTGCTGTCTCAAGTATGTTGAAATGCTAATATTTATATATACTTGATATACACTCACTCGGTGATTAAACAAATCATTAAGCTATTCATATGTTACGATATCTATTGGCACTAAACTAAATAGCAGATCGTTAAACGCTTGTCATAAATACCAGGTTTTTCTCGAGTCCAACACTATGTTCTGGCCACTGTGTGTATTTTGATAACTATTTTATTGAATCTGATACGTACTTAATAAAAGTGCTTCTAGTAGCATATTCAATAGTTGTAGATATAAGACAGCAGTGTTAAACATTCTCACAATTTCTAGGTCGCGATTAATTATCATCCGAGAATATCCCCAAAGAAAACTGAAAACATTTTTGTCACCAGTATGTTATTTTCTCTTAATTCGTGAAGGTCATAGCAAGCAGATGAAAAATTACAGAAGAATTTAAACAATAATAAAGGATTGCAGTGTAATTGCTTCACATTTGTAGGTTCTTGCAACAATTAAAGTTTTGTTCAATTGGGTGAGAAATTTTGTAATATTTAAACGTGTCTTGTCAATTCGAAAAATTTTTTTTTAAGAAAATGCGTGGAAGCAAGTAATATTCCGTGCGTTCACTTGTGCAGCAATAATTATAAACCTGGTTTCAATAAATCTTTGGCATTAAGTCGAACAATAAGCACACTTCAACATAACCATGTATCATTAGCATACAATGATGTAAAAGTTGGAAGTTAGAGTCGATCACAGTCAATTTCACTGTCCGTTTTTCCCAGTACGTTGCCATTTTCTATTTCGATTTTTGAATTTTTCTCTGTGATTTTACCATCAGTAAATTCACTGTTGACGTGCCCATTCATTTCGTGCTGTTTTGCGCGGGGTTTTGTAGACTTTGGGAAAATGAGCTTCAAAATCCCTGCCATTGGTGCTTCGACGGTCATAGAGAGTAAGTAAGCTAACCCAAGGGATAACAACAACACAGCTAGAATAAAAAAAATAAATATATATTATATACCTTTAAAATAGTGAGAAAGGAATACCTCCTCAATGACAGAATGATATTACGTACTCAGAAGAACAATGTTCATCAACAGACAGGGCTGCAATTGTGCCCCTAAAGTCGTTATTTAAAATTGAAGTCAAACTATTTTGAAGTATTTCGCATTTTATCTCCAAATAGGCCTCCCCAAGAGCAGACCTTTATACCTATGGATCTATCTTAATATCGTAAGGAATTATCCTGGAAAGAAAAGTTTGTAGGTTTCTGTCTGGATACTAAACAACATATTAAATATATCATACCAAGATAATAATAAACCATGAGGTAAATAGCGAAATGCATCTCGTATTCTCGAGATATGTATATGTACGACACGATCAATGGGTGAATAAGATACGCACAGAAAGAAAGTCGGCTCAACGGAACAAAAAACTTCCAACTGAGAAAACTGTTGATCGGGCCTGAAATATATAATATCAATAAATCTACTATAGGTTGGAATTGATGTTACCATAATTACATCGAGGTGATAAGGAACTACTCTTTGCTAATTAAATATTGCTTGAGTAAAAATATTTTATGAATATGCATCGTCGTAACGTGTTTTTTCTATGTATGATGATGATTTTCCTGTGATATTTTGGCAAAACATTTGTGATCAAGTTTATTTACAGTAGCGCTACATGGAACACAAAATAATTCAATTAGTATATTGTTTTCTTGCAATCATAAAGGAAATATCTTACCTCCATAACCTGACACGCAAGCAATTGTAACCCAGGACAGGCCAAGCGCCCATACGGGTCTCGATACTGCGTTGTAAAAATACATGACGTTATTGCTGGGAGTATAGTTATACAGAATCGGTCCACAAAATCCATATATTACAGATAGCTCAACTGCAATAACCGCTCCCCACATCAATGTGACGAATACCTGCAAAATGAGAATATATTTAGATTGTCGGAAATAAAATCTGCGGTATCATTGTATATGTTAAAATGAGTTTACTCGAATTTTGTAAATTTAATTTTGTTATGTAATAATGTTGAGTAATTTCGACATAAAATTTATTTTTCAAATTTAGATTGATCATCAGATCGTTTAATACTGCCACAAGCCCACAACTGTATGACATTCTAACAAAATCAAGTACAGTATACTCAAATAATCGGACCTATTAACACTGGTTGAATAAAATGACTGACTGCTAGAAAAAAATGTTTCCTTACTCCAATTTCGACTGAAATGAATATTTAGCCATGGCTAACAGTTTAGTACAAATACTATATTATATGACACTTTCGGCTTACTTCATTCATTTTTATTTTTCGTTTCGTTACATGGATTACGTAGCCAGTTGCCAAACCGATAACATAAACTCCGATTCTACACCATGGCCTGACGTAAGTTTCATTCCAAAACGAATCGTCGCTCGACATAACTGGAACTGGGTTATCATCTGAGCCTCCTATTCCTATTACAAATCTAAAAATATGTTCGTTACCAGTTAATTATAAATGAGTTCTTAATAGATCAAAAAGTTCATCACTAATGCCCTCAAGTGATATTCAGTTTAAGTAAAAATTGAATAGATCTACTCTAAGAACTAGTCAAAAGTAAACACTTTTGGAGCATATATAGGTTCCAGTAGTGATTGTCTTTATGTCATATGGAATTGGTGAATTAAGTCGTCTTTCAAAATTTGAATTGATGATTTAAAACACCAGCCCGTCCCAGAACCACCAGCTATTATTTTATATTTTTGAAATATCTTGGTTTCCCACCTAGTTCATCCAAATACAATGACAGCAGTAGAAGATAGATATGATCATGTAATAAATTGGTGACCCTGACGTTTTACTGGGAGCGTACAAGTGAGCTAATATTATCATTTTGCAAAATTTGTTCTAGGGAAGGCCTTGCTTCTAAGCTCGAAATTTTGGCATAACTTAAAATATAGAATTATACCTGAAAAAGGAAGCTAACGTAACGGCATCAGACATGATATTGAAATGATTGGAAAGTGCTCCAGTGATAGCAGCACTTCCGACAACGGTAAAAATCACAGCACCAATTCCAGCTTTCGGATATCTACAACAAGGCATACGTATAAACATATTTAACTCAGGGACTGTAATATTTTTTTAAATTTTATCCTATATTTTTTAAAAATTAAATAATTACGAACATAGAGCGTAATTGTCAAAACGTAGAATCGTAACAGGCAATAATGAAGTATAATATATTCATATCTATAGGATGTGGATAAACACAATAAACTAAAGCTTGCTTCTCAGGGTAGGCTACTTTGACCAGACTGAGTTTGCATCATCGCAGATCAGAGACCATGTAATCATGTAATATAGTCATGTAACATGGCCAACTCATATCAGGTTGATATATCCACCATTTCAACTCTCACTATTGTTGTCCCTAAGCTCCGTTGGTACAAAGTCATTCTAAGGGTCTTGATAAAATATTTCATATAAACAAGATTTCTCGTTCACATATCTACTACAGGCAATGTCAATTATATACGATTATTTTTAAATAAAAGGCGATTTGACATAGATGAACCGGCAGACCTGATTCGGCCGACTACATTTCAAATTTTAGCATTTAAATGATGTAATGTGTAAGGAGACATCTTCAAATTGTTACTATTCTTACCGATAGAAAAGCAGAAGATATATCGGAGACAAAATATAAAACTGCATATCATTTGCCAGATACCAAACCCAACCAATACACTGAAAAATAAATGTATTAAACATGAATAAGTTTAAAGATAAACTAAACTAATCAACATTGAAGCTTCCGGGATAGAAAGTTTGGTTTCGCTGGGTTTGAAGTGATGGGCAATCGGACTTGAAATTAAAACTATAGATTCGAAATTTAGCATGTTTTCAATGGCTCCATATTTTTAAACAAATATATTACATAATTGCACACACGGAAGCTTTTGTTATCAGAATTTGATTTTTGCCAAGCGGGAGTCGGAATCAAAAATTTTTGCAATTTGAAGTCGGAGTCGATTGTAAGTTTTCTCCCATTTTAGCTTCCCGAAATTAACACAAAGTTAAAGCAATAGTTAAGAATTTTTTTCATTGAAAACAAACGCGAGCTGAATTAAAGTACAGTTGATGGTTAATTTTAGCCACCCTAACCACCTAGTCAAATACAGAAATGCTGGAATGTTAGACCCACCATGTCGTTCAAGTCTGGTGGATACATATTGTTGATATAGAGCAGATTAGTCCACCAATATTTCTGACAAGATTTTGAAAAGGAGTCCTGCATAATCGGCTGGTAGAAAAGACCAAAACCGATTTGGGAATACACACTTACGGTAAATAACATAACTGCAGCCATACTAGGTGTGAGTCTGAAAAATATATAAAGAAAATTATAGCATTTTGTAAAATTTTCTGTGATTTCCGTTAAAATTTCCGTTAAATTACTCCCTTTGCCTATTTTGGAACACTTTATTTCTTTCTCAATATGCATGAAAAATAATTTATTTGTTCAATCTTTAATGAATACTTTCGCGCGCTCAATTTTTTACGATTTGATTACCTCATATGTGTCTAATAAGCAAAAACTACAGCATCACCTCAAATATCGACTGAGATACATCAACGGTACGTTTATTTTTCCATTTCGTTTATCCATTTCCCTTAAACCTAGGTAAGCAACCAAGAGTCCGCTTAGAAAGAAAAACGTATCGACAGAAAATGTTGAATTTGAAATTGCTTGAAGTGATCCATGGCTCAGGAAATAATTTGATATATCGATTATGTTATCTGCAAGTGCGAGGAAAAAAATAACTATATATATATGAGTAATATAAATTGATTATTGTACCTATTTGGAAAACGAAATTTCAATACCATGGTAAATATTGCCTAATGAACAAAATTTGTTCCATTATTCACATTGAACATAATTCTTCTGTGGCCGGCTTTTTTCTAGATCAACGGTATTCTAACTACGGTTTCACAGTAGGAAATAACTACTTCCAAACCGACCTCTAGTCATTCAAAAATCCGACTACGTATATGATTCTGATAGAATATCGATTCCGGTGCCACTCTTAACACAGTGTAAAATGAAATGTTGACTGCTACTACTTCCGTCCCGAACACATGTTTGACAATAAAAGGAAACTGCGGGAGAAACTATATCTTTCTAATAATATACTTAAAATTGAATATGTTGACCTGTTAATCCCAGAGTAAAGGAAACAGTATGTCCTAATATGATCCATGACATACTGATGAAACGAAGTCCGTGCAGGCATTCCAAATTTCCCTCTTTTTGTTCTGTATCCAACAAAGCTTTTGTGTTTTTAATAACAGAAAATGATAAAATCGCTTTTCCATAAGCTGTAAAAAAATATGAGACGGATTTTCAAAGGGTTTAATTTCAGAACATCAATAATTTTTAAAATAGCAAGGAATGTATGCACCCTATATAGCAAATTTATTTCGAGAAAAATATCTGAGTGAATTATATACTTTGGAAATTCATTCTCTCTTACCAGGAATATCTTTTTTAATTTGCTCTTTTCCATTTTTATAAGTCGCCTGTTTTTCTTTTAGTATAATTATTATCTCATATGTAGTTGCCAAGATAATCAGTGTTCCCAAAATACCGAAAATAACACTAAAACCGAAGAATATCAATATAAACATAAGCAGTCAGTATAGAAAGGACACGAAGCTACCGTTAGCTTAAACATTTTTCGAATACTTGTTTATGGATGTAGATTGCGGCACAATTAAAATCATTTGGGACACCATTGAAAAACATTCAAGCTCTAATTTTTAAATTTTCATTACCAACCTTTACGGTGTTCTAGGGATAGGAAAACTGTGTAGAACCGGGATAATTTCAGTCTTTCCAAATGAACGTGCACCATAAATAAGCGATTGCGTGTTTAGAACCTCGGCCGGTACTATGGTATGACAATATATGTTGAAAAGTTCGGCAGCCAGTATGCCATCAATTTTATACAAAAAAGTTCATTTGAGGAAGATAATTTGAAATACCCTTTTGTCAGATTGTGTTTATACTACTTACAAAGCTGTTATATCAACAACATCGAAGTTTTCACTTTCTGGACAAATCACGGTGACGTATATTCCTTCAGGAGTGCTGTTCCCAAGTAAAGATTGAGATATTGCAGTGAGTTGAGGCCCCGTACAAACATCAGGAACACAAATACCAATGGTTAAACCAGCTAAAACCGTCGCATTCTGGAATAATGTATGTATATAAAAAAAAAGATTTAGTAATGTATAATTTTGAAAGTAATTTCATTATTTTTCTAAAATACAATAAAATTACTACAGAATAATGTAACACCTAATTTTAAAATATTTTATTCTCAAATAGGAAAAATATAGCTCGGAAAGAGCACCATCTAGTGGCCTAATAACGTGTAGTATCAATTCCTAGATAACCTAAAAGCAAACCTCTAAAAGCAAATGGATTTTTTATGTTTGTAACTAAGTACTTCATATTACCGGTTGACTTGCGATAATTGCTTGACACATTTGTCCAGTAATATCTTTATCATTTGTAGCATCGAAACATTCAAAATATGTTCCAGTCCAAAGATAGTTTCCTTTCAACAATCCACTTTCTCGTCTGCCCATCGAATCAGACACTGTTATGTAACAACAGTGGTAAATAATTGCGGGCCATCATTCGAAGAAAGATTTTTGGGAGATTCGCTTACTTTCTGTTTTACTATATATATATATATACATGTTTTGAAAAATTACTATAGATTGCTGCTTGGTTTCCCGATAACCAGCGCTGGATTAGGAACAATCTGGGCTATTGTCAGTTATTTTTATGGGACTGTCCCTTAAAAATTTCCCCATTAATGAATTTACACCCAAGAACAGAGCAAGTTGCGTGTATTCAAACACACGTCCTTTTAAAAATAAGTCAGAATTTATTGGCATCCTGTTTTTAGATCAGATGTTTTTCACTCGCCAGGTGTTCTCTTCTTTATAATCACGGAGTCTGCAACGTTTCTTAGAAAATTGTTAACAATAGATTGACTTCATTAATTTATGATTTACATAAGTTAGCAACGAATTCAACACAGAATCGAGCATAATGTACTTACTCTGCCTAGCATATTGTTTTCCCAGATAGAAGTCGAAGACTGCCGTAAGAATAGCATCAGTGCAAACTGAGTTTTCATCATAAGTTTCTTTTCGTTGTAATAGATATCTCAACCGATCTTGGTCTTTGAATATGTCGGAATTCATTACAGAACGCACAACCTCCTCTGAACTTTTATAAAATTCCTGCTTCTTAGCTTTCACGACATTTTCTATTGCGCCCTTCATCAAATATGGCGGTACAGAAGTCTCCGATATCTGCACAAACGAGCATGTGGCATGTAGCAACACAAATAAGACATTTAACTTGATCATGGTTAAATATATGTTATTGGCAGCAATCTATAGATAAATAAAAAGTAACATAAGACATTCTCAACGTAAACGTACACATATATATAAAAGTTTACAACCAAAATGGTCGTTTTGTACAGCACGATGTTCCAAAAAATGCAGGTATTTTCTATTTATATATTCATTGATGTTTGCTTTATATCGGCATTTTATATTGCAAACCTTTTCCTGTTCTGCGCTCGATTACTAGAATAGCCATAAAAAAACCATTTCATTTGTACTGGAAAACCTTCCGAGATGAAAACTGCTCCATTGATTAAACTGAAAAACATGATTTTACTGGTAGCATTCAAAACCTCGTGAAATGTGCCTTCAAACTTATTGAGCACTCCTCGTTCTTATAAATAATTTGTGAATTTACTTTATATTTCTCATTGTATACTCACTCACAAGTCTGTTGACTTTTGTATGAGATCATTGCCTGAATTGTGATGTAAGGTGTTTAGAGAGTGCTAGAAAGTTTTTCTGTCAATTCCTTTGCTTGAGCATTGGATAAGAAGCGATAAGATCGCTAATAAATGTTAAACAATTCAATATAATACAAGCATAATTAATTGCCATCTATTCATTGCAACATTACACTTGGGCCTTATGCAATAATGCAAGTTAGTACCTTTACAAATTAATTTCAAAAGATTATATTTATTCAATTAACAACAAACTGATGTACGCTGAGAACCCGATAGAAAAGAAGAATTGGTTGAGGTGCATACTTAATAATTACGGGGACCATGTATTGGCGATAAAACATTTTACATAAAACAAAAACAGCGAGTACCTGATTTTCAAAAAAATTATACTTCGCAGTGATTTATGATTTGGCGAAAGCAAAACAACTGATTCTGCACCAAACTAAACCTACTTTATTCTTACTATGTTTTAAAGGGCAGGGCTTGTTTGCTTTCTGACGTATATTGACAGTATTGTGCAATAACTTTTTAGTTATGCTATCGAAAGATGTTTAAATAATCACCCTGATTCCGATCAGAAAATATTTATTCAATGGACTAATATGGTCTTATGGATCGATGCATATCCGCTTCACGTTAAAGTTAATAATTGTTAACAACTCTTTTTAGAAATCAGATGAAAAAGTTTTGTCAATGAGAGAAAATGCTTTAATCACAGTCATGAGATGCATAAACATTTTATGCTGTTCAAGTCAACAAAACAAACAATAAAGCTAGGATTGAATCACGAGTTGTATCAAGATTCGAGGTTTTAATGTTCCTATTGTTTCATACTTATGACGAAATACCATAGTGTTATTAGATTAAATGTCAATCAGGGCTGTTGACCCTGATGAGAGAATGATCAAATAAAACCCCTTCTAAGTTTTCTGGTTCAAAGTTCAAAAATGGCTTTCATTTTCTCTAAAATCTCCTTTCAGCAAAGTCTAAAAATTCAGTAAAAAATAATTCCTATATTTTTCAATGGTTTGGTAAGCGGGCTCAGATTTTCGGTTCATATTAAGATCAACCATGAAAATGAAATTGGGTCACATGCAATATCGAAACGTTTGTCCATGGTTGAAACAAAATAAAACTTTAAGGGTCAACAGTAAATTTGATTTTATTGCCAAGAACACTTCTGTTCCAAACTTCAGTAGTTAGTTGTTTCATCTTCAAATCAAAACAAACCTCGTGAATCTAAATATGATAATATCCTATACCAGAGGTGGGCAACCCCTGGCACGCGTGCCAAACTTGGCACGCGAGCTCATTTATTCGGCACGCAAGTGAGGCCTCGGAAACGAAATTGTTCTACTTCAGAAAAAAAATTTAAAGACTCTGAATTATCTGATATGAAACAGAGTATTTGTTTATTCATTATGATTTGTTAACAATCCATTATTTTAACTCTTTTTGTCCTTTCATGACATATGGCTACAAACAAACAAATATATTATGACGTAATAAATGAGTGAGCTCTCGAGAAATTTTGTCGGGAGGGCCGCGGCATTCATTTGGCTACATTCTTACGTGATATAGTCCGTCTGTACCACCATTTTTCTTCATTTCTGCTTGATTTATGGAGTTGTACGGCTCAATTGGTTACTTGCTAACTTACTGTTATAAATTGTTTTCAAAAGTAATATAAGCGATTGGGGAAGGGAATACAAGAGGGAAGTGCAGAAAACGAGCTATTGCGTGATTGGTACGCCATTCCCGAAAGTTCTTCGTGTCTTGAAAACTTTGTAACTACATTAATTTCAATGTTTTCATCTTCATATGCTTTTGAATTTTTTTTCTTAGTTATGAACCTTATCAAGTCTCGTAAGAGGAGTAGCCCGAAAGATGAAATCAGTAGTCGTGTGTTTCTCGGAAAGTTACAAAATATAAACAAAACAATGTAAACAATGTAAAATCTCTATCAGTGGTAATGCAGCAGCAGGAGTCGCACTGATATAGAATTAGATTTGCTGTTTTTGTTAAATTGCTTTCAAAATACTGCCTGGTTGTAAATCGTGTTTTCCTGTGTTTGTTTTATTCTTTTTTGGTGGGTGGGCACGTATACTGTACGCTTTTTAACTTTTTTTAAATTATGCCCGTCTCCCAGGTATCTCTGCATTTTGTTTTGTCTGTTTACTTTTTGTATTGTTTATGTCAGAGAACCAAAATAAATGATTGATTGATTGATAGAAAGTAATCAACTCCATTTGTCGGATTGATATTTTTCCAAATGGTGAACATGTCTGTACGTGTTTAAAAGGTTTATTGTATATTTTCGAACGAAAAGTAGCGGATAATTGTTTTAAATTTTGGTCGGCACGCGGAAGAATTTTGTCGTTAAATTTAGCCAATTTTGCACGCGAGCCGAAAAAGGTTGCCCACCCCTGTACTATACGACAGTGGTTCTCAAACTTCCAAAGACTCTCAACACTTGCTCTCTGCTTGTCTGTAAGAATACATACTTATGTTAATAACGCATTTTCATCCGCATTTAAATCAATGTGGTCATCGCGAACAGTGCAAGGCGGAGGTATTTGCTAGTGGCCCCAAAGTTGGCCGAAGGTCCATTTTGACAAACCCTGCTATACGAGCACCGACGTAGCGCTTGTTTCTGACAACCACGACCTCTATCTTTCATCAGGCCAAATTTTGATAAGGGCTTGTATTTTCTATCAACGGCCACATTGAGCTAAATTTATAAGCCTGTTCACAAATATAGAAAATTAATCACTGTAGTCACGGCTTTCGCAGACAGGAAGCAAATATTATTAAGTTTCTGAACATCAAATCAACTGGTGAAAGTCTCTGTTCTCTATGTAATCGTTATATATATATACACTTTTATTCGTTTTATTGAAAGATTATACAAAAATTGTTCTTCAGTATTATTTGTATAAATATATATGAAGCATTTTCAAAAACAAACTTTAGGAGCAACTCAATTTTATACGTCTCATAAAACTTATTTAAAAGAGTTGTATACAATTGTATACAAAGTAGCAGCAATTTAGTGATTCATGAAACAATCTTGATAATTAATGATCTTAATTTTCTTGGTCCCTGCTGCAAGTCATTAAAGTACTTTCTACCAAAGTTGATCTTATGAGTATACCATATTCTATTCCCAAAAACGATTGAAAAATTGATCGAGACTTTGTCAATAAATTGTTGTATGATTAACTTAATATGATTAAATTCCTGTATTATCTAGTTCCTGTATATTAAATAATATACTATCAGTATTTGAATTTTCTTCATAGGTGAAACCCATCCCGTGGACAGAATTTTTTAGGACCGGTTAAAATTACAATCCATATATTGCTAAATTCAAATTTTCATATCGTCACGTTACAGAGAGATTACCAAAACCTGTTAATTTTTTTTTGTCAGATATCGATTTTAAGATAAATATTTCCGGGCCTATGAAATTTTTAGATTCTAAACTTTCTCACTTAGCATGATTTAATTAGTCAAGATGTACTGGATCAAATGATTAAAATTCTTAAAGACTAGGAAGCTATATAAAACTACAGTGCACCTATTGCTTAATTGTGTCTTGTTATAAACATCATATGAAATACCCAGACATGGATCAAATGCTATTACAATCGACAATCAATGTATATCTTCTGTCTATTTGCTTTGATTTATCAACTGGGAATTGATTGTTATCTGCGATGTGATTATGGATTTGAGTTAAAAATTATATTACTGAGAAAACTGCACATAAACATATGTTTCACAATTTGTCAATTACAGTTGCGTCTTCTAGCACAATGGCATTTTCTATTCCTTGTTTCTCGGAACGTAGAGATGACGATGCGAATCCATTTACAGAGACATTATCAACATGGCGATTCATTTGTCCAACAACCACGGCATCGCCATTCATTTCTGTCTTACATTTTTCAGATGTAATTTCAGGTCTTTTTTTACTCGGAAAAATAATTTTTTGAATTCCACCCACTGGTGCTTCTATGATCAAGTGCAGGAGATAGGCAAAACCGTACGATAACAGTAACGTAGCTAAATAAAAATTGGTTTACGATTAGTTTAGAGCAAGAGCCAATGAACGTACAATATTTCTTGGTTATCGTACGAAGAAAAATTTGCATTCGTCGTCCATAGCATATATGAACAGTTGACAAAATCACAACAAGTTGACTATAAAATCAGACCGTTATGTAATCAATTGAAATGAATGTTGTAGATTCATTTTTTTATGATCGACGGATTTTTGACAAGAGCCTCGTGAAAGATGGTCAAAGCTGGTAAAACTTAAAATCAATTAAACGAAATAGCATTCCATGGTAAGTAATACATTCAAAACATTGTTAAAATATGTCTCGACATTCAATTCCATTTTGACAATTTTGACAAAAATGAGGGAACAAATACAAACCCAGAAAATAGTAGATCATGATGTTGAGTGCAAAATGTAACTCAAACTCTCTGGAAGCGTACATATACGTAAGTACAATTGGATGAATAAGATATGCACAAAATGTCAAACGGCTCAACGGAATAAAAAACTTCCAACTAAGAAATGAGTTTATAGGCCCTGAAAAAAGAATGGATGAATTGAATAAAACCAATGCTCGGCAATCAATGTATTAGGGTTTCTTAAATGATTATGAACAATGTTCCCTCTAATTTTTTGTAGTATGTGTGCGCAGAAATTTTAGGTGTGTGCGCACTTTTTTGGAAATGACTAATATTTGTGCAAAAACCAATGAAGAAATTCTGGCGTTCTAACCGGGTAATGGGTGGCCAACAACAAACTTTCTCAACTTGCCAACCGAGAACATTGTTACATTACATCGAAATAGGTCTATGCGCATTAAATCTATGCTTGTGCGCAGCCTCTGAAAGCTGTGTGCGCGCGCACACTGTAGAGGGAACACTGGTTATGAATTATATAGCGAAACATATCCACAAAACTAGTGCAATAAAAAGAGGACCATTGTAAATTGAAATGGTGGATCAAAAAATCTTTTTTGAATACGAAGTAGACCTACGGATCGTTTTTCAAAATCGTCGTTGATGTTTTCTGCTAGTGTTGTGGCGAAAAAAGTCGTTTTTCTCTTTAACCATTGCATCAATCGATTTCAAATTTTCAGTAAATGAAGATGAAATAAGCTTTTTTATTTAATTCACAGGAAGGCTTTTTATGCAATATGGAAACACATTTGTTTGATTTCTGGTTTTCGTCTCTATATATCTGAGAATTACTCTCCTTTTTTAAGTTTTCTGCTGACGTCGGTCAATATATTTTTAGGAATCACTTAAAAAATTATAGTACTCTACTATTCTCTACATACCATTCTTTGTATATTAATTCGTTTGCAACTTAATTTTGAAATCAATGGCTATTCTGGCTTAATGTTTTTTGCAAAATATTGTACTTACCGCCATATCCTGACACACATGCAATTGTTAACCACGAAAGCCCGAATGCCCAAATTGGTCTGCACACGGCGTTATAAAATGAGGCCAAGTTCTGAGATGGATAATCTCCAATATCTGAGTACATAACAGTTCCTGTCCATCCATAAATTACTGCGAGCTCTATCGCGGCTACTGCCAACCACATAAGAGTTACAAACCACTAAAAGAAGTGAGTAAATTTTAAAATGATCTTAACTTCAAGAAGAGCCATGTGCTGTACTTTTAAAGATAAAGTGAAACTCTTCCTGCAAAAAACTCTGTTTCCTTCGGTCAATGTTTTATGTATGTGTTTTTCTAGAACATAACTATTGAACTGAAACATGATATTACACTGTACTAACTACGTATAAAATTACAATTGTTCCGTGATGAATCTGATTTGGACATAAATCCCTTATAGAGTGATAGCATTTGCCTGCTCATGTCTTCGCATGTATTTTTCATACACTCCTCTCCAAGTTGTTACATTTTCATTTGTTATCATAATTTTACATAAAACAATTTATTGAGAACTCCTTTGCGTTATTACTTAAGGAAAGATTGGCTGCTGGCATTAGGAAGAATTAGGGTTCCTATGCTGTTACATTGATATTGCGAGTAGACAGTAGAACAATCTGTCTCTATTCTCGGTTCAGTTTGCAAGAGAAGCATACAGAAATGCTTGTTGGTATTGTTTGGTATGGCCGGTCTTCACTTTAAAAATGAAATTTGAATAATATCGTTAAATTTATAATAGTAGTTTTCAACTTGAAGAAGCCTACCTTTTGCATTCTTATTTTTCCTTTTGTTACAAATAAAATATATCCAGTTGCCATCCCAATCATGTAAACTCCGATTCGGCACCAGGGTTTAGTGTAAATATCGCTGAAGTAATCATTACCACCACCTTCAGGTGCTGGATCTGATCTAGTTGAATTGAATGTAGGAGAAAGAGATGCGGCCTGTGATATTAACCTGCAATGTAAACCTCAAATTTGATAAAAACAAAAATACCGGATTAAAAGTGTTTTAAATATTCCAATTGTTTATCATCATTTGGAAACTCGTTTGCAAAAAAGTTCATTACTACTTTTATAAAATGATTTAAAGGATTTAAACCGAGTAGGGGTCCTCATCAAATAGGAATTTGTTTCAAGTAGGCTATGATAAACTGAATTCGAGTATACGTCCAAACAAAACATACGCCACACATATTTATAGATACGTTTAAAGACGTGCTCCTATAGCTAAAGTGTGAAATGCCTTAGAAAAATAACGAATCGGCAAATAGCATCATGATAGTTTGCAAGAGTTGTTTACCAAATCAATTCGTTCGTTGAGACTAAAGTATGTTTAAGCTCAAATACTCGTATGATATTCGTGATAAGTTCTGTAAACATTGTGCAAATGGTATAATATTTATTTCTGTTCTCAATTAGTGTCAGAAGGAATTATCTGACGCAAAGAATTCCACAAAGTTCTATAATGAGGATATAACAAAAATAACCTCATTAAAAATCCATAAACTAAAGAGTTTGGATATACTCCGAAATGTGTTGACAAACTTCCTACGATTGCGCTACTGGCTAAAACAACGCCTCCCATAAGCCCAAGTCCGACTTTAGGATAACTGAAAAACAATAAAAATAAATAATTGGATGAAACATGATGGTTAATTTTAAAAATGTTTTTTTTTTAACTTTGCATCACGAGATAAAACAAAATTCGCTTATTTATATAATAGAAATAAACACTGTGACATGAACAAAATTTTGAGGTATCGATATAAAGCAATGTTGTCCGATAATTGTGATGAATATTTCGAGTAGGGCTGGTGTCAGTTTCAGATTGTTTTCGTGATTTGAAATCAGCATATTACTTAATCCTGAACTCGGTTTTGCAACCCGAGCACAACTCGATCGTTTTCAGGGGGACCATGAGCAAAGACGATTTGCCATAAACTACATTCATTCAAAGTCAATCGACTGCGATTTTTTTCAATTCTCTGGCTGCAATTTATTTAATCCTTCACTTTCATTTGTTTGTTCTTATTATTAAACGTGGAGTATTACTATTAGTATTGTTATTAAACGTGAAGTATTACATGACTGATGGACATAACTGACGTGTAAAAGCAAAATTTGGTATTTTTGCAAAAGAGCAGGTGTTGAGAGTGTTTGACGGGGAGGTACTGATCGTGAAAGTCTGAGATCCGCTGTCCTAAATCATTGTTTCGTAGTACAAATAACAGCCCATTGTTAAAGATCATTAAAGTTATTGTAATCATTTTATGTTTGCTCTCTATAATTTATCTTGAACAGTTTGCGTAATACAAGACCAGGGCTGCGAGATATTATTTCAAAAACATACTATTCATATATGTATGGGTCGTACGTTAGGACAAATAAATTTTCAAAGAACTCACCTATAGAGTAAAATAAGAAATAGAGGCGACAGTAGATAAAACTGCATATCATTTGCAAGATACCAAGCCCAAGGAATGCACTAAAAATAGACACGAATTTTGAATCTTCAAATTATCACAGACAAGGCACTATATAATTTTTGCAGGTATTTCACTGTTTACCAAGAGCGAAAAGTCGAAAATATATTTAAAAAACTCTCATTTTAAGTAAATGTTTAACATTACATTACACATTTCATGCTAAACATTATTGTCAATTGTTTTATTTGAAAATTCATAACATAGTCATATATGATGGGTATCATTAGATCCGTAAACTTAGTTGCGTGCAAATGTGCAACCAAATATATATGTTTCATTGATTTCGATACTGACGATATATACAGTTGTTGATCATAGAGTATGAAAATAATTTTACTAGACAACCACCGAATTATAACTTTATCATCTGGTAATAGTCCCATTTCTTATTCTTTAAATTATATCCGTGTTTCGAATTTTATTTTTGTAATACCGAAAATGCGAAATCTTCCGGATAAAAGTTGTTGATGTAAAGAATATTTGTCCACCAGTATTTTCTGCATATATCTAATTGTGGTTCAACAGCAACAGGTTCCAAGGGCCCTTCCACGATCATAGGTGCGATAGAAACCATAACAAGTATTGTCAGTGCCAATGTTGGTGTGAGCCTAAAAATATATGAAACATCATACAAATCAAGAGATAAAATTAGTCAATTACAGTGTCACGCGAGGTGACCCACACATAACGTGCCTTGGAATAAGGCCTTTTCAAATTGGCTTAAATTTATGATAACATAACTGGAGTCAATTTGTGAGCAAAAAAATGTAATTAAATGGTGACAACGAGCAAAAATTTTTCAGTTGTTCAATCGACTTCACCTTCAATTGTCACAACACTAGATAATAAAGTTTTCGACCTATACATTCGCCACCAATGTCTTACATTAGTTATTCTGCTGAGCGATCGACTATATTCACTCGTTGGCAGTAACAGTAGCCCTGTTTCAAAGATAGTTTGATTGGAATAGTTTATTAAAATATTTTGTCAACATGACTCACGCTCAAGATACGCTTAAGATAACGTATATATCTTAAAATTTGTTTTTTAGACTACATTATTTACTATTTTATACCTCAAATATCGACTTAAGTACATCAACGGTACGTTTAGTTTTCCACCGCGTTTTGTCATTTCTCGCAAACCAAGATAAGCCACCAATAAACCACTTAGAAAAAAGAAAGAATCAACTGCTAAAACGCCATTGACGATGACCTGAAATATATACATCGATAATCACAATATCATTGAATATCAATCGTTAGAAAACAGTATAAAATTGATAAAACTGGTAGGTGAACGCCAGGGTTGCCAAACCTAAACTGTATAGCATCCTATCGTTAGTTCAACATGCTCAGACGAAAGTAAATGATCTCAACAAAGATGAGAAATAACATTTACTTATAGAATGAACATAGATGACCTTGGATTGTACAGTTTAGTTGAGGGTGGGAAATTTCGACATACCATTCAATGTTACGCCATGTTAAATTGAAAAATAAGTCTTAAGCTGAAATTTTAATCGAAAACATTCAGTGTGTTTGATACCGAAACGGCTATTCGTATTTGTCGGGACGGAGATTTTCAAGTTTCCTCGCAAGTAGTTTTAATACGCCTGTTGTATTTTAAAAAAAAAAATTGTGCCTATCCAGTCAAAAATATGAAAAGCAGTGAAATTTACCTGAAAAGATCCGTAGTCAAGCGTAAAGTCTGCGAAATCCACAGTGTTATCTAATAATATAAGTAATTGTAGGAGTATTTTATGATTTGTTATGCTATTCGTCCTGAAGACTTGTAGCCCTTTCTTTCATGTTGGCTGCCTCGACACTGCACTGGGATGCTATTTGTAGTATCACAGTCAAGTCAAAATCGGGGGGGCGTGGCGACAAATAAACATTTATGCACATGGCCATCAAATTTTTGAATGATCAGTCGAGATGGAAACAAATAAAACACAGGAATTAAGTGTACGACTGCCTGAACGGAGGTTTGTGTAATGACTTCATACTGAAACTCTATCATGTCACTATATCTTTATAGTTGATACTATAAAATGCGTTGTGGTATAACAATTCATCTTTGTAAGCGATAAAATAAATTCACACTTATTAAGCATTGAATAATCCATAGTAAATTGTTACCGGTCAGTCCAAGAGACAGGGAAAATGTATGACCCAATATCACCCAAGTCATGCTGAAAAAACGTAAACCATTGAGCACATGTATGTTCCCATCTTTCTGAGTAACATCGATTAGAGTATTTGTGTTTTTGATGGCTGAGAACGACATCGAGAGCGAGGACAACACTGCAATTTATATATAATAGAATATTATGATAGCTGAATAAGGGAATGAAACTATTGAATTTACAACCGGCGTATTGTCTGTATATATCAAAAAAAATACATATTTTTAAACCTGATAATTGTCTTGAATTCTCTCCTTCGTTTTCACCAGTTTCACGTCTTGTGTGTCTTTGAATTATAAAATATACCTCGTATATCGTACCGAACAATACAAAAGCTCCGAGCAATGAAAAGATAACGCTGGGAAAGTAAAAAAATAGGTAGAATATTGCTCGAAAAATCGTTTTCAAATTTAAAATATAAAATTAATTTAACGGTGTGTAATAGTAGTATGCTATAATTACAAACCGATATATTTGATCGTTGCTCTCATATCTTTATCTTTTCGCAGTTCGTTGCTATTCTACCGACATAAACAGTTGGGTTTGTAATGCTAGCATAATGACGTTGTTGAACAGGAAGAAACTAGTAAAGCATACTAAATAATATTTGGGGAAATTATGGTTATTATGACAATGATTATGTAATAAAATGATTTAAATAAATGCATTTCAAATTCATTCTAATTTTGAACTTCAAGATCGCAAATTAGAGAATGGATTATGTTATATGTATGTTTATCTTGAACGTATACAATTTGCTACTCACATGGTTGTAATGTTAAGTGCATCAAAAACGACAGGTTTCGGACAGCGTGTAGTAATGTGAATTGTTGTCATGTTTGGATCGACCAGAGTTTGCAATAAAACATCGATTTCTTTCTCAGTACAAATATCAGGGAAGCAAACACCAAGTTGTAATCCGATTGTAGTATTCTGTAATGTTGGCGTATTATGGAAAGAATTTTAGCACAGTTTATCATTACATAGTTGTTTAAATGGTAATGAATCAGGTAACACGATATACGATTCCATTGCACAATTGGCATTTAATTATATCGCTCACGATGTTTCTTTTGGTTTGGGGTCGTGGGTGGATTATAAGTAATAGTAATTGACAGATCTCTTAATCGAACCTCACGTTTATTACCCAACGTGTGCCTGGAATATGACAAATATACATCGATTCTGTTAAAATATACTAAATATTACGAGTCGTATACCAACCATCCTTGGAATGAGGTGCATTGTATGCCGAAAATAACTTCATATATTGAATTGGGCATTGTTTTTTACTTTATCCTGTTTCTGACTTTTCTGAGTATTGTTTACTATTCGATTTGGTATTTAAAACTCGGCGTTAGGTAGCCCCGAAAAGCTTTCAGCTTCCGCCATTGAGTCAAAATACAAATTGTCTCGATGGGGGTTACCTAAGATTTCAGTAGCTCGTTCTAGATTATCTTGTTATATTTCAGTGAGGGGTAAACTTGTATTTTACCATTTAATATCTTGTAAAAATGCGACTTTTTTTGCAGTGAGGCATGGGATAATTATATTGCGAATATGTTTGCCCATTTTTCATTGTTTTCGAAATTGACGTACACTTTTATTACTGATTCGTGATGATCAGTATGTATTCATCACGCAATGGGTTATGACTAACATCAAGTATATATGCTTATAGATTTTGTACGTGATAAATACATCCACTCAAATACAGTTAAAGCGTCTGACTTTAAATTACAGCATTGGCTGAAACTTTAGTTGAGGAAGTGGTTTTATAAACTTTGGTTCGTGAAAGTTAGTACCTTTGAGTTCTAGCATGAACACAGCCACGGATTTTAAAGTCAACAGAGCAAATGTGTCAAAAACTAAACGTTTCAAAATAACCGAATCAAACTGAAATATATTGGAAATAAACAGATAGCAAATTCACATAGCCTAATTAATTTGTAAGTGAACCTTATGAAAAGCATGGTTTTCACCCATCACTAAGTATGCATTTTTCATAAAGCAACCCTTGCATTGTCCATCATCATTTTTCCCAATATCATTATACATATTATTAATACTGTTTTCAGTATGCTAACGGCTGTGAAACTTTTACGCTACCACTCCCTTGATATATTACTTTGACCTCACTACCGTTACCACACACAACCTTCGCGTTTTTGTTGTCGCTCTCTTGCCAAAATCGCCAAGGGATGCAACAACACCCAACTGTAATATGACTAAACATTAAGAACTTACGTTTAGGCCACGGAAACAAACACTTGCAATTTTCCTGACACACCAATCAATTTGAAATTAGGGTCAGGTCATTATATCATTCTGGTTCTCTATCATCTCCGTAGAACTATATATCACAGCAGTCAGTAGTCTTTGTATGGATATTCGGTCTATATTCGGTGTTGGTAGTTAGCACAAAAGGCGTGGAATATGAAAATATACCATAGGGTGACTTAAAACATATTTGAAGTTCTATCTGTCTAAACTTGCATTCTGCTATAACCTTTATAATTAAATGTTAGTATTGCAACTGCAATAAAAATTATGAATAAATCAATAAAATATTATCATTCTATCTTACCGGCCCAACTGCAAAAATGGCGGTGCACATTTTCGTTGTAATATCTTTTCCATTTGTTGCACCAAAACATTCGTAATAATTTCCCAGCCAATAAAAATTTCCTCTCAGTAGACCACTCTCTTCTCTGCCACTGGAATCATCAACTTAAAAAATCATGGTTCATTTATCAATTGTACAGGACACTAATTTTTGTAATCTAGTTACTATAGTTCATGAATTCTCTCCTTCTCTTATAGGCTCAATATGTACAATTTCTGCGATAATTGGACACGAAATGGACCTATAGATCGTTTTTGTAATATGTTGTTGTTGATAGATTTTTCTGTTGTTATTTCTTTCTCGTTAATTACCGGACCAATTGCTTTGAATTTTTAAGTGCATGGTTAATGATTGTTATTGTCGCTAGAAAGCTATTACTTGCATTTATTTTAATAAAATTATGCGAGCTCTATGGGATTCATTTGGTAATGTGTGATGACGTCATCAGAATTAAAAATCGCGCACCTTGTAGCGGTTCCGCGTTCGCGATCGTTGCGATATGGTGGTCAGTCAAAGTCGGGTATACTAAGGTGATGTAAAAGACAACGGACTCACTAAATCCATTTATTTTTCTGTTACTGACGTGATTGTGGCGTAGCAGTAATTTGATGACGTAGTCAGGTGGGGTCAGGAATGACATATGCGAAATATGTTATGCCACGTCTACTAGGAGTACTTGTGGTACTAAATTACACTAGGCCCATATGGGTACGGAGGTCTTTTATAGTTTCAGATTCGTCTAGGATGAAGTTTGGTGAAGTTGTGGGTAAAATATTTCGTATCGGTCTTCGTGTTCATACATTTGAGCATTGCTGCCTGTTTTTCCTTTGATAAGAACTATATTCATAACTTACTTTGTCTTGCATATGGAATTCCTGCAATGGTGGCAAGGACTGTTTTTAAAACTAGTCCGTAGCAGGTTGGTTCGTCACCTTCCGCTCTTGTTGCAAAAATCTCAGATAAGATCTCAGGATTGGCAATGCTATTTAGAAATGTACGTGTTGCTTCCACGGAATCTTCATAAAAATTATGCTCGCGTGCATGGAGTAGATTACCCATCGCTTCCTTGGGTAAATAACTAGGATACGGGTGCTTGTAAATGTTAGATCGAAATTCAGATCTCACATCTGCATCTGTTGGGGTTAAAATTGCCACCTTCATGATAACAACGCAGACGAATACGAAGTATTTCATGTTGTTTATTCAAAATCTAAGAATACATAATCACGTTTTATTTTTCAATAAATGTAACTACCAGAATCATCTGCACGTAATAAGTTATTAACAATGTATTTTTGAGCAAACTCCCAAATTTGAATGGCGAATGTGTTATGACATGTTGATATCAGGTCGCTATATTTGATGAAAAAGAATGATTTCCAGATTTCTGTTGGCACGAAAATCAAATTTTTCAATATGAGAAATCTTTTGACTTATAAAGTTTAAGAGAATTTCCATAGTTTACATAAAGCCAACTGTTGATACTTCAACAGCATTGTTCACTAGCTACGGCAAAGTAAATAGGGAAGCATAGAACTGGATATTTATAGATATATGCTACATTTTATACGACTTATTATAGGGCTTATTCGCTCCTTTCCCTGTGAACAAAACTTTCATGCGCAAGTTGTCATTAGGCTATAGCGTAAGCGAAAGAGCAACAGCAAAATCGGCTCGTTTCCTCGTTCGTATACTTCGAAATTGCATCACTTTCTGAGGGTTCCATTACATTTGAACCCACGTACATTTGAACCCATGAAAATTGCACCTGTATGCTATTGCATCTATGGAATTTTTTTTTGTTTCACGGATAGTTAAACCCATACTAACCCTAACCCATGGGTTTTAGCACCCGCATATAGATTGAACCCGTGGATATACGCATGGGTTCAAATGTACGTGGGTTCAAATGTACGGTCACCCTTTCTGAGTTACAACGCTTCGTGGAGGCCCTGGTTTAACTAATTGTTAACATTTTCACTTCTGTTAACTCAGAATATATCAATAACCACACTATCTATAAGTACTGTTCTTCAAATCCACGCGCAAAAACAAAGCTCCCTAGGCTATATGAGTAGATTGACCTTGAGTAAACAAACACTGTAATGATTATCCACTGTTTTAGTCAAATACCAGACTGCCGTTGTGCAATCGACATGTGATTGAAAACAAACAATGAAACAACTTTTCATCAAATCCCATAATAAGTAAAGTAATGATATAAGCCCATGAACATATTTGGTATAAAGGTCGATAGTCTTTGAACAATGATTAAAAGGATGTGAGTACCATATCAATAAATATCGTCATAGTGGACCAGTTGAAGTTAGGATAGCCCGAATTAGCATTGTGAGATCTGGTTAAAAGCACATTGGATCGCAAATCACGCAATGAAGTTGTGTGCTTCTAGGATATTTCATCAATATCTGACATATATTTGCGACAGACAAGTTAATTGATAACGATACAAAAATCTTCGTTTTGATTCTCTGGTTGGTGAAGCCTGTTGGAAGAAGCCTGTTTGAATTACTGTAAAATTCGATTATATTTATATGTATTCAAATATACTTTTAGATTGCTGAACACACAAAATGGGGAGGTGTTTCAATATATGCTTTATGTTTGTCTTCTGGCTCAAGCAAACATGATTTCTTGCGTACTTGTTACACAAATGCACGTTATCTTTCAACGATAGGCATATGAGACAATATGGCATATACGGTAAAAAATGTCTCATGGAAATATTATTTTCCTTTTATCAACAAAAAAACATGTACGTGTAACACAAAGTGAAATGTACTTATGACGCTGTAAATAATTATTTCGTGAATATAGCAACAAATTTTCTAACAACTACTGCATTTAATAATTACTGCTCGGATAAAAATAAAAAGTCGGTCGATATATAAAGATGACATCAAGGAGAGTTTCGAATTCTCTATGGGTCCGAAGTTTCTTTTGGTAAAAATGAACGTGGGTTGATTGAAAAATAAAAACAAACCACAAACATGAAATAAGACTGAATCAGTATTGAAGTGGATCGTACTACAAAGAAACCGAATCGCTATATTGTTTGTTTCAAAACTGCAGGAAAGCTATTACTCGAATGTCTTACCTGAAATAATTGTTAACAAGTGACGAAATATATATAAAAATTAAAAAAAAAAAATACCAAGGCTAATTGGGGGAGTACCTATAGAAACGAGTTTTCATAAAGTGCTCTTAGCCAATTTAAATCTTCACAGTGAAAGAGTTCGTTGAACCATTTAATCAAACATGTTACAATAAACACAAATGACTGTTTAATTATTCTGATAAATTACAGATCTCTGTTTGTGTTCTAATGTATACTGACAATATTGCGTAATCACCGTGTAATTTTATTGCGCTTATTATCAAACGCATAAATGCAGGTAGGTATGTTTCACATGGTATTTCATGAAATACCACGTTGTTTGAAACAACAAAATAAACTATAAAATATTATTGTAATGGGATCGTAAAATGCCCCATGTTTCGGACTTTCTCATTGAGGCCATTGTTCCATATTCGCTAAGTTTTTTGTGTTAATAGTCAAACACTCGTAAACTATTATTGACCCTCAACATAATTGCCGTGGTGATCTTTTATATAAAACAGTAACCAAATGTCATATTCATGATGTGGAATGATTACTATTTTGCATAGAGATTAGCTGATACTTTTCAAACCCCAAAGTATACCAGTGACTTATTTTATATATCACAGAATAAAATTCCGCTTTTCAACTAAAATCTGATTTGTAACCTTGTTTCGAGAAAGCTCACAAAAAGTCCGGAAATAAAATCAAATAACATCGATGATTCAAACGGGTGGTTGAATAGTTTTTCATCTTAAAAATTTTTGCCATTTGGAAACTGGCCTCATGTTCTATATTAGGACCCTACGCCTGTCGCTTTGTTACATCCGAGTTTAAAATCAAGTCATCCCAAAAAAGGTTTCTACTCTCAATTTAAAAACACTGGTTATTTTTTATTAATATTTATTGCAAAATTAAGTGAAAGTTGATCATTTATATGAAAATAAAGAATTGTTTCAAAAACCTTAAAATTTGAAAGTGAAATTCACATCATAAATTTACACGACCTGGGTATTAGTATTCATCATGCATCATATATAAACAATCGTTACACTTCACTCATCTTTGTAGCTTTTTGCAACATTGTAATTGACAAGTTATGATTTTTCTTTTGAGTAAGTTTTTATTAGAACTTGATATTATTATTGAGAAAATGTGGATTCTCCAATTCTTGTTAGTTACATCATAGTTGCTTTATATATGGTTTGCAAAATTTCAATTAAATTCACTCTACCACCACAAAAGTTGTACATCAAATTATATTTTACAATTTGTCAATTTCACATGTATTTTTCAGTACAATGCCATTGTCTATCCCTTGTTTTTGAGAACGTAGAGATGCCTTTGCGAATCCATTCTCCACAGCAACTGCATTGTCGTTCGCTTCTGTTTCCAATTTCATCGACTTGATTTCAGGTCGCTTTTTACTTGGGAAAATAATTTTCTGAATACCAGCTACAGGTGCTTCTATAACCAGATGCAGAAGATACGCAAGACCGTAGGATAGCAGCATTGCAGCTGAAAAATAACATTGGTGTATATCTGGTTATTTGACGTATATATATATATATAACCAACAGAGTTCAATATTTTATAATAATCTATTATTTAAAAACCACTTGTCATCTTTCGACTATAAGGTATATGAGAAAGTTAGGAAAAGTCAATTAACTGACTGGAACGCAATCCATGGTGCTATATTTAAGCAGTAAGTATATGACAGGAAATATATATATAATATATAAATAGAAAAGATCTTTTAAAATATAGTTTTTTTGTAAAGTGTTCTACTAGTGGTCAATGTGTGAGGTACTAAGACCTTATTGAGAGAATTGTACCGAAGAAATGGCCGAAAAGTGATTCTCTTCATTTGGAAACAATAATAATGCAGAATGCCAATAATGCCCGTGCCTTCTCATATCCAATACTTGACCGACGAAAGGTATTAAAAATCTATTCTCATCAAAATTGCTTTGACATATTGAGAAAATTGAAATAATTAACAAGAAACTGTGAGTAGTAATAATTTGGGACATCGTTAAAAACATTTCGACAGCTATGTAGACGTTTAATTCAAAAGCGTCAAACAATGAAAAAGGGGGACAAACAAAAAATACCAACCCAGAAAATAGTAGATCATAATGTTGAGTGCGAAATGTATCTCAATCTCTCTCGAAGCATACATATACGTAATTACGATTGGATGAATAAGATATGCACAGAATGTCAAACGACTCAACGGAATGAAAAATTTCCAACTGAGAAATGAGTTTATAGGTCCTGAAACAAAAAGAGTAGTGTTTTGAACAACGCAAATACCGTATATAAAACGATAATGAATACAAAAAATTTTGTGTTATATATTGAATGATGAAATTTAAAAAAAAATGCGTTTGTAGCTAATTGGTCATATTTCAATATGTTAAAACAGGATAGATGCACCAAAATTAATATTTTATCTGAATCTTTCTCACGTAATAATCTAGGAACAAAACAATTATAGATGATCACTTCGCCTATATGTTTTTTACACTCAAATAAAGTTGTGCTTCTCATAGAGGTGTTCAATTCATAAGTATATTATCGTAGATACAACGTTTAACGGGATTATATTATTTACCTCCGTATCCTGACACACATGCAATTGTTAACCACGAAAGCCCGAATGCCCAAATTGGTCTGAACACGGCGTTATAAAATGATGCCAAGTTCTGAGATGGATATTCTCCAATATCTGAGTACATAACAGTTCCTGTCCATCCATAAATTACTGTGAGCTCTATCGCCGCTACTGCCATCCACATAAGAGTTACGAACCACTGTGAAATATGTACAGTAAAATAATATAACATAAAATTCTGTTTTACTTTTTAATTAGGAATAAAATATTCATGCATTCGTGTTTATAGCTGGACACAAAATTAATAAATTTAAACGCAAATCTGTTCTGGAATTAACTGCCATTATAATTACAATATCACAAAAAAATTAAGTAATCTTTCCGAATTGATACCAATATTTATAACTTTTTCAACCTACTTCATTCATCTTAATTTTTCCTTTTGTAACAAATATGATATATCCGGTTGCCATTCCAATCATATAAACTCCGATGCGACACCAAGGCTTGGTGTAAATGTCGTCAAAGTATATCATACCTTCGGGTGGAGGATCAGTTCTAGTTTCATAGCCTGTTGTGGACATTAATAATAACCTGCAATGTAAACCATAATGCGCATTATAATTTACCTAATTTACCTAAATCTTATTAAGCTCGAGTTCACAGTAGCATAGCAGAGAATGGTATACGAGATCATCAAATATTTCTCCATTAACTATAGAGTAAAGTATATATGACGAGGCCTGAAATATTCAAGACTAATCGAAATATATTCCGTAAAAAATTTTAAACGGTGTTTTTTCGCCTCTCATTTAACTGAGCATAAAATAAAATTAGATAATAGACAAGTAATGTTTTCAAATAATTGCACAAATTTTAGAATAAAGATGTAATAAAATGTACTTGAATAAATATCCATAAAACAAAGAGTCTGGATATAAATTGAAGTGCGTTGACAAGGCCCCTACAATTGCGCTACTGGCTAAAACAACTCCGCCCATTACCCCAAGTCCGACTTTGGGATATCTGAAAAACATCGAAAAATATTTTAAAACGTGCATGATAGAAATTATGAAAATATAATTACAGTCAGCATACATATACAGTTGCTTAAAGAAAATGTTCAAATCGTCGTCCTCGAACATCTATACTTACCCAACCAAATATCGTTATCGGTATTTTATTATTTTGAATGTTTTGGGTTTGTACTTAAGATTTAGACAAGCTTTAGGCAAATTGTCAGTTGAGTGAGAGGGATAACCTATATTGGTATGTCATAGTTATTATGTGTTTGACAATTCAATTTTACATCAAACGTTAGATGTAGTACCGTTAAATTAAACGCCGAGAGGAAAGTGCACGTTTTCAATGAGTTGAATATTACTGAGCCTAGGAATAGAACAAAGGTTTTTACAACTCACACTGTCCCGTCTTTCGTTTCGCTTCCTATAAATGGTAGGCCTAATTATAACCGCAAGCCTAACTTGAAACATGCGTTAGAAAAAATATCAACTCACTTATAGAGTAAATAAAGAAATATAGGCGACAGTAGATAAAACTGCATGTCATTCGCAAGGTACCAAGTCCAACCGATGCACTGGAAACAACATAATGAAATAACAGTCAATTTTCCGGATCGGGGTATTTTAATTAGGTAACACACCTTAGAATATATAATAGACATCATTTTGCAAATATGGGAGATTGAATATGAATATTATTACATTGACAACGTCGTTGAGGGGACACACAAATCGCGACCTCACAACCTTGTGAATGTCTTGCTCACCCCATAAATTACATTCTAATATTGAATTCAATTTGATTTTAAAAGTAGAATACCTCTCTTCCTAAGTCTGCTGGATACAAGTTGTTGATGTACAGAAGATTTGTCCACCAGTATTTTTGGCACAAACCTACCACTGGTTCAACGGATATTGGTTCTAAAGGTCCTTCCACAATCATAGGCACAAAAGTAACCATGAAAAGTATGATTAGTGCCACTGTTGGTGTGAGCCTGAGAATATTTGAATATTATGAGAAATAGCCACCAATTATATTGAGCGTTTCCGATATCAAAAATCGAGTGCGAAGTAGTTCTTGTTAACAAATGTGATACAAATCAAAATGTGTCGGATAACCCAAAGAAATCTGATAAATAATATATATTACTAGAATGTAATTTTTATGATAAGAATATACCTTATATCTGGTATCAGTTCATTTGCCCTGCTGAATCCAAAAGATTTTGCTTATATATGATCGGATAATGATGGTGGCAAGTGGCAGTTAGGACTGAAAATAGGTCACAAACGATATATGTGTGTGTGGCTCCTTCGATAGACGGCCATACGGACAGAAATTTAGCCTGATGTGTATGACAGCTACATAAAATAGGTATTATACTGATAACCAAGTGTTTTCACGAATAATTGCCGTTCACGTGAACTTGTCAAATGTCTCTAGCACAAATGAAAAGTGGTGACAACTGTACTGTGTAAAGTTTGTCACGAAAATTTTGAATCTCATGTGTTTTCTGGTAAAACGATACAACCATGTTTTCCACTAAACTGAATGATAGCCTGCAAATCGTTTGTTCCATTGCTCTATCAGAAATATATTAATCCTTGACCGAGGGGTCGCTACTATATTTTCACTTATCTTCCAAGACCTCTTAGTACGAGACATTAATTATAATAATATTAAGATACCTCAAATATCGACTCAAGTACATCAAAGGTACGTTCAGTTTTCCACGCCGTTTAGTCATTTCTCGCATGCCAAGATAAGTCACTAATAAACCACTTAGAAAAAAGAAGGTGTCCACTGATAAAACGCCGTTGATAATGACCTAAAATGAGCATGGCTTATATATCAATTTCGAATAGCAATTTTTTGTATAATAAAAATAAAAATGAGTAATCGCTTTTATTAAAAAAAATCGTCAAAATTTTTTAAAAATGGATCGAATATAATAAAAACGTGCGAGCTCTATAAATGGTGATATAGATACCAGGATAGATATGTTTCCAAAATTATCTGATCATCTTTGCATCGCACCCTGCAAGTGTTTTTGATGTATATGCTGTATTTTCATGTACACATTTTCATAAAAATATAGTAAAATCAATAGAATGCACCTGAAATGTTCCATGGTTTAGAGCCCAGTCCGCAAAATCAACCATATTATCTAAATACATAAATTTGAAATTATATGTAAAATGAACTGTGATTTGCTATACATTGCATTGCAGATCTGTGCAATTCTAACGACGCCTTTTTACTTGTCGCTTATTCAGATAGCGATTGTTCCGAGAATAGATTTAGGCGAAAATGATATTTCGCGGAAACGGACTTGGGTAAGAATATAAAATAGACTTCAAATATTCGCCAATAAGAATCCCCAATCATAGATATGAACCGAGTGTTTAGATTCCCATCCAAAGTACTGGAAATATTGTTGAAAATAAATGGAGAATTGCTAAATTGCTCAAATATATGGACTAGGATGTCAAATAACAAGTGGTCATATGGAGAATGATGCATGCCATAAAAATGTGTGCCTGTGAATTCTATATTTGGGGTAAATATCGTACTCGGATATCGGATAAAATGTGGAAAAAACAGAATGCAAAGCCTTCTGGCGATTTCATTCATCTTTAAGTTCTGAAAATTGACATCGATTTTTCGTAACTCCAGTAAGAACAACAACAATTTAGCAAAACGATCCAGATGTCCTTTCTTGTTCAATAAATTGTATACTACTTGATCCGATTCATCCATTACCTGATACTCCAAGAATAAAGTTAAAGGTATGACCCAGTATCACCCAAGACATGCTGAGAAAGCGTAAACCATTAAGTACATGTATGTTTCCTTCCTTCTGAGTAAGATCAAGTAGAGTGTTTGTATTCTTGACGACTGAAAACGACATTGCAAGCGACGACAAAGCTGCAATATGTATAAAATAAGCAGCTTATGGCATGGCCATAACAAAAATCGACAAAAAATGTGTTACTGTTGTAAACAACCGCACATTTTACCCATCTAGTCATGTCTGGCGTGTGAGGCTCCAAGTATCAGTGGAGAATAAACCATAAAGCTCTTTGATTTTCATTGCCTGCCACGGGAAATTTTTTAGCGTGGGGATCAAATAAACAGATATTTTTTTTTTATTGAGCAAGTTCATTACCGCACTTTGCATCTGTATATACCATATTGTGCATGAGTGTCAAATGAGATATAAATGTGGTAATATCATTTAAAAAAGTGACAGTAAATGGTCACATGTAGACATTAATAGCGCATCAGGTGGTCGAAACTTCCACGGCTCACCGATTGGACGCGCCAGTCTTTGGTAGCGGGTCACCATATTGCGTTTGTGATACTGTTTGTGGCAGTACAGTGTCGTACCGGTACTAATAGTAATATGCAAAAGTCTTTCTGTTTTGGAACACTTCTACAATATGAAGTTGGTTGTATTAAATATTCGTGCACAAATAAAATGGGAACAGAGGTAGAAGGTAACACGTGAAAAATTGCTATGATGACATGAATAGGTACAAACCCGATTTTTGTTTGAAATTTTCACGTTCACGATGTGTGTTTTCATTTGTCTTTCTTTTTAATATGCAATATACTTCGTATATTGTACCAAACAATACAAAGACTCCGAGTAATGAAAAGATAACGCTGAAAAATAATTAAATTGACTGAGAAATCACAAGAGAATACTATGCTTCTTTATTATTTATATTTTGTTTCTAATCTATTAAAAAATAACAACTGATGTCATCTAAACTTTGCCAAGTTTATTTCAGTAATTTATTATATTATACCGTATATTTTTCTGAAATTTAGGGCATAAATTGAAGGTAAACAAACTGAAAACCGGTTATGCTCCAATAAATGATTTGTTTTCCTTTTCATTAATGAGATACAATGGTAAATGATATGTTGTTTCGTATGTCTATTTGCAATATAACGTTCATTCACATTTTGCACGATACGCCACTGTGATAAATAACTGCTTTGTTCGTATATTCCGTACGTTTGCGGTGTTTTGTTTCTATTAAGATCGTACAAATGAAGGAAAGATATTATTTTTGACCGGAACATAGTGCAGTTTATCTTTGTGTATGTCTGCCTTCTGTCAATCTATCAAATCTAAATCCACGACTAACGTAAAAACTTCTACTCACATGGCTGTAATGTCAACTGCATCAAAAACTATAGGTTTTGGGCAGCGCGAATTCATGTAAGTTGTTGTCATGTTTGGATCGATCAGAGCTTGCATTAAAACATTGATTTCTTCCACAGTACAAATATCGGGAAAGCAAACTCCGAGTTGCAATCCCTCTGTGCTATTCTGTAAAAAGTTACTTTTTATTCAATTTTTATAATTTATACGACTTAACATATTGTTTTAGCCTTCACAAAATGCATCATTCTTGTGTTACTTCGCATAATCCTCAAACATCATTGACTGAAAACAATTACTAGTTTTTTTTTAAGCAAAAGTGTAAATAAATATAATAATAGGTCATATATACTAACCGGTTTATCTCCAAAAATAGAGGTGCACATTTTTGTTGTTATATCTTTTCCGTTTGTTGCACCAGAACATTGGTAGTAAGTTCCCAGCCACATGTAATTACCTTTTAAGAGTCCACTCTCTTCTTTGCCACCCGCATCGTCAACTGAAATTCATGGCTCATGGAAGTTTGGTAATGTTCAATGGTTGGTTAATTTGATACATTTTAGGCAATGATGTTCTTATAATATCGAGTATTTGAAAAACTTACTTTGTCTTGCATATGGAACTCCTGCAATGGTAGCAAGGACTAATTTTAAAACTAGCCCGTTGCAAGTTGGCTCGTCACCTTCCGCTTTTTGTTCTGAAATCCTGGATATGATCTCCGGGTTGGCAATGTTATTCAATAACGTGAGTGATGATTCTACAGAGCTTTCATAAAAATTATGCTCGCGAGCTCGAAGTAGACTATCCAACGCTTTCTGGGGTAAATAACTAGGGTATGGATGATTTCGAATGCTGGAGTGCATCGCGGAATTCGTATCTGCGGAGGCTAATAATGCAACGTTCATGACAACAATACAGAATAATAAAAAATTGTCATGATGATCATGAGTAACTGAAAAAAACATAACCATAAGATACCTTTTATTGATATATAATTGAAGAAACTAATATTTATAAAAGGTAATAATCAAGCTCTGATTTCGTATAGGTTTTGTTAAACGATTGCGTTCAACTTTTTTCAAAGTACTCTAACTTCACTGCATGATTAAAACCTAGTGTTTGCTTATGCCATATTGCCTAGTAATCACTGGTTCTCAACCAGTGGACAATGGCCCACTGCTGGACCATTGAAACATTTTCAATTAGGCCACGAGCCTATCAAAACTTATTATGGTTATTGAAAAGTTCAATTTCATTTGTGCCATTATAGTCGAATTTTTATTGTAGTAGCAATAAGTGATGTTGCTGCTTTTTATTCTAATTATTAAAGTGAAATTATTTATTTTTGCAAAAAGAGTTTTGTTTTTTTTGTAGTTTTTTCCTTGCATGAGAAAGTTAGTGGACCGCAGAATTTTCATGCAACCAAAGTGAGCCACGAAAGAAAAAAAGATTGATAATCACTGGGCTCTAGTTTGAGTTGAAATATGACACAAACGCTGTTATTGAGTCGAACCTCAATTCGACAACTGTAGTCGGAGGTTCAGTACACCCGAAGGCTGGCTCATCTGAGTGTTGCCAACGCAAAATCCATGTAAAGTGATTTTACATTTGCATCGCGACCATCGCCTTCAAAATTCGATATTTGTAAGCTTGAAAAATTCCAAAAAAATATCAGCAACACTAAATAAACAGCATTTCGCTGACAGTTGTATTATCTGGATTTTGATGTTTATTTCAGGCGTATTTAGGTATCGGTAACAATTATTTCAGTTTTCTTTAGTTCACTACAATCAATTCTGTCTTCAATCGGCTAAAATCCCACACAGAATGTTGCACCTGAGTAAATATCTTTCGCTGTTTGCTCCTAGTTTCTATTTGAATAAAAATTGTAATTAACAGGCAAAATTTTATACAACGCAAGTAACTTTCCCGGTTGTCTATATTTCACATTTCCGTCAAGGGTATAGAGCACTTCATACCCAGTCATCTACAAAACATATTTCTGACTACAACTGTTAATTTTGAATGGAAATTATTGTTGACTGATTAGGCCTGGCGCAGTACTGTAACAACTATTCACTGTTTTAGTCACATGCTAAGTTCATCTGCTGCTGTGCAATCAACACGTGATAGAAAACCAACAATGTAACGACTCCTGAACAAATCTCGTATAAGTAATGATTTATTTGGGATAAAGGTCGATTATTCGGAAACAATAAATAAAACAGTAATATTTCTAGGTTGAAGTGGCGATAGTCCTGGTTACTCATAAATGATAACATTTTGCTATCAAAGCCGTTATGCATAATCAGTCTTGTTGTGACTTCGTACATGGTTTTGACTCTAAACTGAATTTTAGAACGCTGTGAATCAGATGAATCCTAATGCAGCTCTAACCGCGTAGTAAAATTTGAAATACAAGTCGCTTATATATAGCCTGGTGGCAAATGAGATCATTGAGTTTTTTGAACTCCAACATACAATGTAAAACATTACTAATTATTATATGGAATGATCTCATATACGCTCTTATATAAATTGATTTTTGTAATATTTTATGATATCAATCCACCAAGTAATATGGTATATTTTTGGCCTAATCTTCAACCTAGGAAAAATGATTAAGCTTGTTATCAAACGCTAAAAAGTGCGGGCAAACTTATCAGATGTTCCATGCATTTCACAAAAGCAATTAAGATTTGACTAAAGTCGAAATAGATCGTGGTCATTTTTCAGGAGAACAATAGATTGAAAACAATAACTAAAGACTCAATCAATAATTTATTCCTGGATTATAAGCCTCCTAGTTTTTATTTGAATAAAAACTGTAATCAACAGGCAAAATTTTATACAACGCAAGTAACTTTATTACACGATTCATTACACAAAATTACTAGAATTTCGGATAGACATAATGGGTTTTCATAATGTTGAGAAAGCATAGTTTATCTATATTTTGTTTAAGTTATGCTTCAAGCAAACATGCTTCATCACGCACTCATTACACAGACACACGTGATCTTTTAACGATGGGCGTGTGATGCAATTTGGCATGTAGGACATTTTTAATTACTTCTCAACATGTGAAATGAAGGGCGTAATGTAGAAATTTTTGTTACCATTATTGCCAGAGCACAAATTCAACGACCACTTTTTCGAATACCTTTTACTATATTTGTCAATGGCCACAATTCGACAAATTCCTTTTCGGATAACACTTAGTTATTAACAAGCGTTATTGTTCTTTTGTTACTACTTTTCTACGAGTTTTTCAATTTTGAAAATTCTCTAGCTTGCTGCAAAAAACCTTTCACGGAGTTAAAATCTGTTTCCTCCAGTTAGGGAAATTAATTCTCTTTAAATGTGGGTTATCATGGAGAAAATTTTATAGCGAATTTATTTCTATAATTTTTTTACGATTTTTGGCTTTTATTGCTTACATAAAGTGGCCTTCGTTTGCGAGACACGACTTTTTAAAATTCAACTGATAATTAGTAGGGACCGTTGATGACGTAGAACAAAGTTAGCAGTGATGGCCTGCCAATATGTACTCCCTAAGCACTGGAGAATGAAACGAGAAGAAATCTAGGAATCACATTTGCTCAACTAACCTGTTCTGATGTCTCCATGGAACTCTAATTTATTTGAAGCCATCGTTTCAGCCTAAATATTATGTTGAAGTCCATGCAAACCTATGCTCCACCGCCCAAAAGAACAATACCTGACGCATGCAGTTTATCGAATCAAGTTTTCATTTATTTTTTTCATCTTTGTCCGATCTATGACATTTCACCTAGCGATTACTAGTTTTCATCATATGTAATTCATTCGTGTCAATGAATGTTTCCTCACGAATCCTCAATAATTGAAGCCTTGTGTTATAAATATATATTACATTTCTTGTCATTTCAAGCATTTCACTTCAAACAGGCTTCTGTATGAGCTTTCACTGATAGGCAAAAGCGAACTTTATTTCTGGATGACATAAGTGTTTCTCTTATCCTGAAATTTACACAGAATTGAACTGGGAATATTATCTTCTTTTTAATCATACTGCAGCATAATTCAACAAATGATCAGTTCGAACTGTTCCGGTTGGTGACAGCTGGACTGTGCTGTTAATAGAAGTGTGAACTGGAAAACATGAGGTATACAGTTAAAATTGATAGAATTGGATATAACACGAGTGCTAGATGATATTGCCAGAAATGTAGTAATGTTCAGAATAATGTGAAATGAATACAAATTCATCAAGACACGATAAACCTTAACTGGGATTCCACGTTTGCCTTTGATCATTCTCTTGGTAAACTCAGCAATTTGTACTGCAAGCCTGTACTGCGCTGCAAGATCTTCACCTATATTTGGGTTCAATCATTATCTATTCCATAACATCTCCATTGTGCACCTCGTCCTCCTCGTTACTACTTCCATATTTACATCTAATCATCCTTTCCCCACCCTCCAGTATTCAAATATTTAACGGAACGTGGTTTTATGAGTGATGGAATGCATGAATGCAGTCCGAAGTTGGTTTATATCAGTGTTTCCTAACCTGTGGATCGCGACCCAAAACTGGATCGCCTGCAAATTTTCCCGGGTCGCTTGTTTGTTTTTTTCAATAAAAACCTAAAAGTTACTTATTTTATTTTCTAGTAAATTTTGATGTTTATTTTATATTTGGTATTGAAGTTTTCCTCAATAGTAATTGTATATGTGGGAAATATCATTTCGTATAAACTTGGCAGTATTCATTTTGCTAAGTAAAGCCACACCACCATTTCAAAAACTCGCTTATGGCAAACAATCACTTCGGGGTAATTTTCTGGAATAAATGTTATGTGAAAATGATTGTTTTATATTAGTCATAAAGTTTGCGGCCATAAAAGAACTACATGCCGTTCAGTATTTGAGCATGTCATTGGGTCGTGACATGTTACAAAATTCATTAAAAAAAAAATGTGGATTGCTCGAAAAAAAGGTTGGGAACCACTGTTTTATACAGTGTGACAGTCACAGTTTTCCAAAGCCTATTTCCGGTACGTTCTTTACAATGTATGTTAATGAGGGATTGCCTGACTGTCTGAGCTCCCTATCCATATGCATTTCTGTTTAACATTACATTATTAGACACGTAGTGGACATTACGATCGTTTCAATATCATGTTGTTGTCCTTGTTATTAGTCTTCTCCTCCGTCATGATACAATCGCTTTTCTCTTCGAATACTGGACCAATTACTTCGAAATTTTCAGTGGTTAAAGGTATATATTTTTTTCAGGAGACTATTACTTTTATTTATTACTAAATTCCCTATGAATCCTATGAGATCTGACATTTCATTCAAAATTTCGCTGTTCTAAAATTCACTCATGGGAACACTGTTTTGAAACCTATTTCAAGCGGTTGCGTCATCAAGGCTGTAGGTACGGTACTGTTATAGTCACTTTGGGTACTGCTAAGTTACCGTACCACAGTAAAATTGACTTATTCCTTTTGCGATCTTACTATCGCAGTAAATGTAGGTTTTCTAGCAAGTCTAGCCTACCGTATTTGTTAATTTTGATAAAAACAAATTGAATTGAGATTTTATATGCCAGAGAAGAACCGTTCCACGATCGAATAGAAGACCTACAGTACAGCAACAGGTACTGGTAAGGTATACCGTACGGTAACGCAGTGAATTACGCTCTCATCATTTTGTTACAGTTCTGATGTAAACAACATAAATTTTGTAGCCTACCTTTTTTTTTTATTTGATAAGAGGAAATGAATTGAGTTCTTATATGACAAGGAAGAACCGTTCTGCGAACGAATTTCAGGTACTGGTAAGTTACCGTACCGCATATGATTATCGGTGAATCAATATTTTTTATTTTGCTCTGGTACCGTAATGGAGAAGTGACTGGGATTACTTGTTATTTCAATTTACGTTAAAATTGGGAATGGGACAAAACAGGCTTTTACTGACCCGGAGTAGGCTACCTGTCAATCAAGTCATCAATCTAGTCACACTAGAGTGATTTTGGCGTTTAGAGGCCGTTAATCTCCGTTCTCGGAGCGGGAAAGCGTTTGCCCGGGTATTGGGAATTTTTTTCAATTGGGAGAGTGGGCATTTCATGGTAATGAAATGTGGCGAGTCGAGATTCTTCTATCTATGAGAAACAAGGTCAATAATACATGACGAGCACTAATCTGAAGACGTAAAATAAAAGACCTAGAATAAATTTGTGTTTATCGTGGCAAAAATTCTTATCATTTTTCAATCTCACGAAGATGTAACAAAATAGATTTTATATGTATGCATTTAGTCAAGGCTATCCCATTTAAATGCTATTAAATTTGTCAATCAACAAAATTGATTTATACGGCAAAAGTGATAATAGGGCTGCTGCATCCGGTAGGCTCTAATCAATGGAACACCCATCATTTTATTTTTGGAATGCATATATATATATCTCCATTTGTCACACTATAAATGTACTGCAAATTATGTTGGTAAGGTAGCTTTATCAGTGGTAATCGAAACTGTTCATTGCTCCGGGTTTTCCATGTCAGGCACTTGCTCATTCTTATATATATATATTTGAGTTATCCTGCATAGATTGTCATTAAAACATACGATTGCTACCTGTGGTTTCAACGTAATCACTATATGCACGAGAGGAAAAAATACTTGGAGAATACAGATATAAGGAATTATAAAAAACTCTATTATTTTGTTTCGATTGGTTTTGCTCTTTACATCGGTTCAATATATGGTTAGTTATTGTATTATCATGAATAGTAAAATTCAATTTTTTCAGCATATAAAATTGCATAAACACGACTTTATATGATATTGACATTATTTAGGTTTTGCGTCATTACAATGCAGCCTTAAGGTCAAAGAAAACATTGGACCCACGAGCATGCTTCTTGCCGATTTGGCCTCTGCTATTGGAGGGTTGTTTTTAACCCCCCCTGTTGGTCAGATTGTTTGGGCCAACGAAGGTTCTTGTTGGAGGCGAATCGCTGACAATGCTCTACACAGCATCATTTTTTAAACCAAGTAAAGTATTCATTGTTCAGTATTATTCAATTGTAGTTTCTTCAACCGATGGTGGACACAGCACTTAGTGTTGGTCATGCAATATCTAAAATATTTGTAAAACTGGAGGCGTGGGAGTTGACTGTGACCCCCGTCAACAGACATAAATATTTGGACTTGCAAATACAAAAATCTAATTTGCAAACAAGATTGGTTATATTTGCTGAGCAAAAATAAAACAGCAACATATGAAATTCGAATAATCTACGATCTCTTCCACATACATTAATTTAAGATCTTTAATCTGAATGACCAATTGTTATATTAATGAAAGCTTTCTGTTCAATATTTTATTTTAACAGATTGGTGTACTATGTTACCGTCGTCTATTCTGTTTGGTTTATGTGAAAGTGCCGTATGGGGAGCTTCATCTATTATGATCGCCACTGCAGAAAAAAGTGTACATCGAGAAGGCCAAGGAAAGGAAGGTGTTCTGTACGGCATGAAAGAGAAGTATCCAGCGGAGTTGACACTGAATAAATTCTCAAATACTTCAACGTATGTAGAGGCGAGGTCGTACGTAAATTGGACAACGGAATTTCTTGCTACATGTGCATCAAAAGATTGTCCGGTATTGAATTCATTTTAAACTGACATATTATCGTTGTTTACGTCTACTATCATTTCCTGCTTTGGTAAAAACATTCATCTCCCTGGAGCATACGTAGCTGGTTTGACTATCGATGTGGCTAAGAAGAAATATTTCATTTTGTAAGTTGAAACAAAGAATCAATAATATGGGGGACTATCAAATAAATGAATTTTCAAATTTCATGTTTGTCACGCGACGTCACTGCAATTCATTCCGTGTGTGATTTTTTAACTCTTTGAACCCTGAAAGCCGCTAAACCGGCTTTCCCGAGAAAGTCTTCTGACGCTGAAAGCCGGTTTAGCGGCTTTCGCATCCCGTAAGAGGTATGCAACTTTGAAACCTCATATCTCGCGAACCATTCATTATATTTAGACAAGTTTTACATCGTGTGAAAGATAATCTACAGGACTAAGTATAATTTTAAAATTGAGATAAAATATTGTGATCATCTTATGAAAATTGGCAAAATTAAAAAGCATAAAAAACTTCTGAAAATTGCTCAAATCTAATTGACAAAACTTAAATTTGTTTTCGATTAAACCTAGTACATTATCGACAAAATTTGTAGAATTTGAAGATAGCTTTCTAGTGATACCATTAGATTGAACTTATGTTGCACCATTCAAATTTTAAAAGCATTTTTATTCGTGATTTTGTTTGTCGCAAGATCGAGGCGACGTCAAGGTGACGTAAATAACGACCTAACACATTTACGCCGTTACGCAGCGACGTTAAGCAATTACGTTGGCACGTAGCACGTTTACGTTTCATACGAGAAACACTTTTCCTCGCATGCTCGTAACGTCATTTACTTAAGTTCGTACTCGTGAAGCGACTTACGACTTGTAAACGATACACGGGGAAATTTACGCATTACATCGGTTCGACTAAAACACACAATACGCAGTGTTATTGCCGTTTTAATTGCATAAAGATATGAAAAATACGAATAGCCAAAATAAGGATTTTTTAAAACAGAATGATGGAACATATCGATGGATGCATTGTTTAGCGCCATTGCTGAGTTTTATTGTGCCATATTTTCTTCTTCCGATAGATGAATACTATCCAATATTTCATCTGGACAAAGCTTTCGTTTAAAATCCATTGTAAATATAGCGATATCAGGAATGTAGCGTATATGCAGTAATTTCGAAAATCTAATGAGGCTGCAAAATGTAAAACACTGACCAGGTGAGCTACTGGTGCCACCATGTCTTCCGTGTACCCGTTATCAGTTTTTTTTTTATTCAATATCCAACGGTGAATAATTAGCCTTGATGTTTCCGGCGGAACCTCATAAATTCATGAGGATCAAATATTTCGTTTTGGCCATTCATTTTCGTCCCATATCCAAATAGTAAACGTATATAAAATGGCCTTTATATTCTAGCAATTTTACTATGTTCCATCAAAATTCGTCGGAAAGGGTTTTATCTGCGGCCGAGGATATGATACTAAGGCAATGAAGCCACAATCTGCACTCAAGCTGTGAACGACCAGATGTGCAATTGCGCAATATACCTCACGCAAAGAGTTACGCACGATACGTCGCATGAACGTTATCACGACAATGTCGTCGTCGCCCTTTGCATCCTTACGCAAACTTGGCGTCAAATAGTTGATAAATTTTGTTCGCAAACCATTTGAATCAATAGTACAAATTATGCAATAAAATGAGTTATGCGTATGTTAAGAAAGTCATACGTATATTCTCCGAAAGGTAATTTTGTATACTTTTCAAAATTGTACTTATATTGATGATACATTTCTAAGAAATGTATTAAATATTACCAAAATACAAAAAAATAGTGGATGGGGCTACAAATAGGCTTACACATCTCATCAAAACATCTCGTGAAAAATAATGCCAGTTAAAAATAAAAGACTAGATAAGCTTTTATATGATATATTACAGACCATCTGATATCTAATGGTTTAGAAGTTATTTTGATTTAAAATTAGGGATATTACAATTTTTTAACGCGTCGAATCGATGCGACGCCGTGGGAGGTCAGGGTGAGAGAGTAGCATCGTTCTGGGGATTCAGAGTTCAAAGAGTTAAACCTTGGTATTCAACAAAACATTGTAATTTTGAATTATAGATAAATTTCAATGTCGAAAATCTAATAATAGAACAAATTTCACCGTGTTATCATATATATAGTTTATTCCATTTACCTGCTCTCGAAAACAATCGAATAAAAAAAAATATTATTTTGCTTTTCAGTTGTTGCATCTATCTATTTCAATGACATTACATCGTCATTCTGCGTTCAAAATTTAATGATCTCTTGTGGTGCGGCGTTTACATTTGCATGGAGTTTGCAAGTTCGTGTATACATCAAACTTTACGTGATGACGGCGATAACAATCCTCACAACAATTTCTTTGCTTATAGATCATATCGAGTATAAAAACGAATGTGCTGAGTATGAAAGGCTGGATAGAGCTTGAAGGTGCAGTGTACGCGTTTGACGCTGTATAGAAATCGAAATTGTATTAATAAAAACATAATTAACTTTTTCGTTCAATTTCAATTTACTCTCATCAATCTTTTTTCATTACATATCCCAACATTTGTTGTATGTACAAGAAAGTGATGCGAACTGGCTATTCCTATAGGCTTGTTAAAACATATTGCTCACTAAATAGGAAAAAAATAGAAGTTGGCAATAGCAGTAGGGCGGAATTTTATGTTACAACAAGCATTTGCACAAATTGGTTGGATCATTTACCACGGAAAATTGATTTGAATCACCAATATTCAGCAGACAAATGTCATTCGAAAAAGGTCTTTTTATCTAAATCAAGCTGCTCTTGAAACGGGGACTTGTCCAGGGTTCATGCTTCGAATCTTTCTTCTTTGTTTTATTCACTAATGATATCTTCGCCTGCTTTATCATAAAATTCAATTATTCACCGAACCGAAGACACTGGTCGTCTCTGCAGTACGACACTAATGGCAATTCTGGAATAAGATGTATATATCGTCATAGAATGAGAGTGCTGTGGCTGTTCCAACTGTATCTAATCTGAGTTTCAAGGTTTTATTGAATGTGACATATCAACACCTTTTGAACTAATATGCTGGTGTAGCTTTGAAGTGTTACCCATCGCAAATAAAAGTTGTATTTTATCTTGTGTGGTCCTGTTTAAACGGTACCATCTTGCTACCATTTTTAATACCATTTATGAAGTGGAAAAATAACCCACTGATTTACGCAATATATACTCTAATCTGCCCATTTCTTTTTACATCTTTATCATTGGACACGAAACGGACCTATATATCGCTTTAGTATTATGTTGTTGTTGAAATCAAAAAATCGCTTTTCTCTTTAATTACTCGATCAATCGCTTTTCTTTTCACATCTTTATCATTGGACACGAAACGGACCTATAGATCGCTTTGGTATTATGTTGTTGTTTGAAATCAAAAAATTCGCTTTTCTTTTCAATTACTCGATCAATGGCTTTTTAATTTTCAGTGGTTAAAGATCGTTGTTGTCGCTAGAAGGATGTTTATTTTATTATTTATTCCTCAATATTCTATGCTAGTTTCGATATTTCATTCAAAAATTTTACTGTTGTATTTATATTCATGGGAATGTGGTTTACGTCAAAGCTGTCCTCGTTTTTGATTTTATGAACCCGTGCTACGCGAAAGTCAGAAGGTTTTTGAGAAGGGTACGGTATGCAACGGAAGGTCTAGTGTAGTGTATGTCCAGTAGGCGTCGCATAACAATTTTTGCATATGTCATTCCTGAACCCCACCTATCATCCAAAATTATGTAGCAATATGCATTCAACACAAATATGAATGATTTTACTGATAAATGCTAAGATTTTGCTAAATATTTAACCTCACATATATCCTAGTATATATTTGTAAGTTAGTATTATGGTGTACTAATGAAAAGTTGAAACAGTATTCTAGTGAGAAAGGGCTATTTAGGCTTAAATGATGGATCGCGTCATCACCAGCAGGTTGAGTTGCATTACAACACAAGCTCAGTTTTTATACGAGTATAGCTGATTAAATGTCTTTGGACTATAATGTTTAGTGATAAGTTTAAAGTACGTTATAAATAGCTGTTAATGAACAATTTAAACAGCGTCAGTCACGTACTAGTTCGATATGGTCCTATTACATTTGAACCCACGTATACATTTGAACCCATGACAATTGCTCCTGCATACTATTGCACCTATGGATTTTTTTGTTTTACGGATATTTGAACCCATACCAACCCTAACCCATGGGTTTTAGTACCCGCATATAGCTTGAACCCGTGGATATACACATGAGTTCAAATGTACGGTCACCGTTCAATATGCCCAAAACGGCTATTTCAGATAGTCACCATATTTGTTTGAACTTACACTAATTCACGCGGGTCTATTACCATATTTGCGCATTTTTGGGTTACATGCCGTGGTATTTTATTTTTTCTTTCTTTTCCTACATATATATATATATATATACAATATTGTGCTTGTCATATCATCACCGATGAAGTTTTTCTGAATAGAAACTTGAAACGTCGGCAAATTAAATCGTTTTGCTAACACCGGTTGTTTCTTTATTTATCATCGATATGAATATACCTGGTGGCAATCATCACCTCTAATTGAAAGGTGCTTCCGAAGTATGTGCATCAAGATGGCACACAACCTGAACATAGTATGTGTACTAGGTTAGGGTTATCAGCTAGTGCGCCATCATGGTGCACATACTTCTTGGCCGCCAATTTGAATGCTTTCCGTAATTGCAAATAGATAAAATATGACAATAGTAGCTATCACGTCAATATTCATTTATTTATTAATATTGTTTAAAACCTATATATATCCACCACCGTCAACACGGAGCCTTTCCAACGAAGAATGCCTGCACATAATTTGTCGAATACTGTGGCTGTTTATTTTTGAATATTTCAAAATCTATGGACGTTTCCCCCAACCTTGACCCCAGAAATTTTTTTCTATACTCAACTCTTGCAAAATTCTGGATGCCTTCTGGATGTGTTTTGGAAAGTAAACAGTTACAAACTGATTCACATGCTCAATACCATCAGTTTTAATAAAATATACAACGGCGTGCCACTCACAGATACTAATAGTAAATTTTAGCCTAGTCTATCGCAGTTTTTCCAGAACGACGTTTTGATTATTGCAGCTGAACTAAATCTCATCGGAAGACATAAAGACAATTAAATTACCTCATTTATAACTAATTTTCGGAAACACAACTGAAAACTGACAAATAACACGCAAAACCGCGGGAACGAGGCAATACTTACAACCATGCTTGAATATCCGTCTGAGCGAACACAGTGTCTGAGCGGCTGTAAAAATTGCAATTGTTACGCTGCTTTCAACTTTTTGCTGATTCGTCATTGCTACGGAAAAAAACAAGGAAATCGATGCTCGGGGGAACATCTATAGCGACCCCAGCGGTCACAGACTGCGGCATAACCGCTATATTTACCCATGTAAACAACTTTTTTTTCTAGTCCACAACGACCTGATGCAGTGCGATGCGGTTTGAGAAGAATATGATAAGAGATCGGTAATTTATTTTGAATGGTATCAAGTGACGGTACTGGTACTCATCAGATCCTGTACAGTAAATACTGAAGTCAGTTAGTTTGATTATTCGGTCTTCAAATGAAATTAGTCTAGTGAAGTAAAAAAACAACGATTAACAAAAACGGAAAAAGTTAGAAGGTTGTTGGGAGAGCAATCAAAATATGCTAGTCTAAATAATGAAATGCGCGGCGGTGTGGCTCAACGGGCTAAGCGTTAGGAATACGCTCGTCACCGCACCTCTAATTACTCTGCGTGGGTTCGCAGGTTCGAATCCCATGCAGGGATGGTTATGTGCGAGAGGATTGCTGGACTCCTCGCCGTCGTTGGGTGGTTCACGTAACCGCTGGTCGGTTACGGCTTCCTCCACCACCAAGTCCATGCTTCCGAAAAAAACAAACAATACAGTAAAAAACTAATCCCATGCCCGACTTGGAATGGTAACCGGACGAGAGGCCGTGGTTCGCCATATGGATAAGCCGTCTTATCGGCTTTCCTCTCCCCCGGGATAAATATGTAAATCCTATCCTATCCTAAATATACCATAATCCTTTGAACAGCTATTGCTATATTAGAATAGGATAAGATTTACATGTTTATCCGGGGGGAGAGAAAAGCCATGCTTATTTTTTTCGTACAGTCAGCCAGTAGTCTAGATAGACAGTCTGAGAGTAGAAACGGAAACAATCGGATTGAAACCTAACTTCAGGTTAAAAAAAATATGACTTCCTACCACCCACCTGTACTCTGCTGCAAAAAATTCCACTCTAGATTTGAATTCAGAGAAATCAAATTATGGTAACAAAAATTTTGACTGAGGCAAGCTTCTTTATTATTGTAGCCTATCTGACTATTAAGAACGCTTAGGAAAATTAGTGCTTTATAATTACAAACAGAATAGGATTATCACATAATTATCCCCCAGGAGATTCAAACTCATACAGGTTAATCAGAGGTGTGGTAGCGAGCGTATTCCCAATGCTCAGCACAATGCGCCACTTCAACGAATGAAAAAAAAGTTTTGCCCTTTTTTATCACCATTGAAAGTCCACCATTTCAATTCCCTCTTTCAAATTCTGAAGATTCAGAATTAGCTTTGCAGCATTGATCTTCAAGAATACTGAATTTTCATCCTTTATTCCTTTTCTCTCATTGGTGGCAAAATCTGAGTAACCGTGAACATTTAACGCATTTTTACGCAAGTCTAGTTATTTAATTGCAGTTATAAATCAAATATGGTCATATTTTTCCCCTGCCTACCTGTCGATTATGTATACATATCCTACTTTCAGAAATTTGTTCTTGGAATTCTTCCAATATCGAGTATTTCAATACCACTCTATGGGGTATAATATCATAATGCTGCTTTGCCAGATATTGACGGCTGTACTACCAGGCTATAGTAATAAAAGTAGCAGTAACAAAATAGGCATTACTGCTTTAACAATACAGCAATAACAAGCTACAGAAATTTTCAGTGTTAGGTTTAAGACAAAATTGTACAAATCAAATGCATACGTGGATACAATACAATGGACATAGGTTAAGATTTGATCTCATCTCATCAAAGCATGAAAAGAAATGTTGCATTTCGAAATGTATAATTTTTTGAAGGTGGAAATTAATGATATAATGAAGTGTAGTTGACCTCATACTTTATCCGAACCGGAAATCTATCAGTACTCAGCACTTTGATTAATCTATCTATCTAAATAATATCTAAATAAAAACCTATTATGGTCTCATAGATGTTGTATCAAGTCAATGCATTCGGTGTAATGCTTATGTCGATTTGTTTTTATTTAACATAATTTATGACATAGTATGTTTTCAAAAGACATGACATTGGAGACATTGGAGTTCTTAGGCAGGTACAAATATGTAAAAGAATCAATCTTGTATTTTCATAGTGGCATAAATATATATTCAAAGAGGCTAACTTTCATCTTGAAAAAAACCTAAATTTCTTTTAACAATATTAGACACTTACTTACCTACCGCTTGGTCAACTTGCATGCAAAAATTGATGAAGATATATCATTTTTTCTGATGGGAGACTGGAAGTAAATTATACCTGAAAATTATGTGTTTGTCGTTCTATTTTGTAGAATTTGGAATTTAGCAATGAATGACCTAGAATCTAATTCCATGAAAAATCTTTTCACATTTTTTGATGTGAAGAAAAATGGTTGTATCAGTGCACCTCAACTGCAAATTTTGCATGAAGAAATAAGAATGGGAGGAATAAGCATGCCACAGGTTGGTAAAAATATGAATAGGTTCCTCAATTTGACATCAGGAAAAAAATCTTCATTTAATGTGACAAGTTTATATAAATAATACCCCTGAAAATATTATCAAGGTAGAGAGTTTTATGCATATGAATAATCTTGAGACAAGCATTTTAGGAGCAAAAGCACCAGAAAACAGTGTTGGGTTACTTGAATATAAATGCATTGTCATAGCTGTTATTGGTAACATTTTCCATAAATTGTATAAATTTTGAACATAATTCATAAATTTTTTTTTATACTTTTATACTTGAATTTTACAGTTTATAATACTTTTATATGATATTTTGTTTTCAGGTCTTAGCTTCTATTGAATGCAAGAACCTCAACAGGCATTCTGTGTATTTGTCTGATATGCCAGACATATTGCAGGTAATGAACATGTGGATTAGGATAGGACTTAACATATTTATTCCGATGGACAGGAAAGACGATGAGACGGCCTAATCCTATTGGTAGCGAGGGTGTCTTATCCGGTTAACAGCCCATGTCGGGTATATAATTAGTTAGAAAGTTATTTGTTTCAGATGCATGGACTTGCTGATGCAATCCTCTCGCACATAGTCAGACCCCACAGGATTCGAACCCAGGCGGGATAATAAGAGGTGCTGTTGCCAGAGTATTCCTAATGCTTAGCACCATGCGCCACCACACCAAATTGCCGAAAACAACATTCTTCCACAGATTGGGTGGTAAGTACACATTCATGTGAATCAGAGACAGTGGCAGAGATCATGAACAGGGATGAAAATAATCCTTTTTGTAGCGTTTAGCACATCAGGGGTCACTTTCTTATATTCCAATGAAAATAGCTTAATCCTCACTATTCTCCAAGTCATTATCTCATTTTTAGGAAATGGACCGAAGATATTACCTTGTTCAAGATCTTCAATGGGAATTTGCATTATTGGATCGGAATCATAGCGGGGTGATTCCCATAAAAACAGCAAGGTAAGTTATAGCTATGGCCAATTGTTTACAAAACACAGATAACTGTATAACATTCTATTTTTAAAATGTCGAGTTTAAGCCCTGGATAGTATATTGTTTAACTCAAGCCTGCATCTCATCCAAATTGTTAGAAATTGAAGAAGCTATGCCGATATGGAAAATTCATATATTCCACAAAACCGTGTGGCTGCCCGCATGTGCTTGCGCAAGCCTGGTTCAGAAATTTATTTAAACCCCTAAAACTATTTGCTATTTATACTCCGCTAGTAATATCTTGGTAAATTACAAAATTATCTTCAATCAACCCAAACCGAAAGTAAAGTGAAGAATTAAAGAGCTAAATATTTCGCCCTAATATATTTTTACAAATTATTTGCGCTTTCTTGAATGTTTCTTCAGTTTTGAGGAATTGACAACAACAGCCTTTTGCATCACTGTTGTTGTGCGTCAGAGCCAGTCTTAGCGCCTTTGTGTTACTCCACAGTCCACACACCCAACGTGATATTTGTTGACACTGATAAGTCGCGCCATAGGATATTCTATCCAATCGTATGATATTGGCTATACACTATAATGATATTGTTTCGATAAGTTGACTCAAGGTTGATGTACACGGTAAGCGTTAAGCATAGGCCGGTTGTTGGCAGGTTTGAACCCGCTGGTGATAATTATGCAGAAAGGAACGCACGGTTATTCACGCTGGTCCGATATGGCTACATTGGAAAATATATCTTGTTAATTGTTCAATACTCGACCTGGACTGGTAAGCGGATAAGGAGAGCGAGCGGTTAGCCATTTGGTTTATTTTGGCATCTGCATTTGATTATCGGCGTTACTCTTCCCCGGAGATCTTATCCTAACTTTGCTTTTTTAAATGCCTTTTCACGTCTGTATCTATGATGATGTTCTAATTATTCGGATTTTTACCATGGCTACCACACAATTCGTTGAAATTACGTAGAGAGATTTGGTTGGTTTGTGTATTATAATAGGAATGTCTGTAATATCATGTAGAAGTAAAGTGTTTTGGAGTATTCAACTGTTGGTAGCGCAATCAAAATACGTTACCTCGATAGAGACGCTGCTATTGATGAAATCTTACACTCCGCTTCCTTTTCGCAAGAATAATAAAATACGATACTAGTGTAATGCTAATATTCATTCCTTGTCCTTATGAGTCGATTACATGGAATATTTCATTATTCTGATTACCACATTGTAGTCTAATGAAGATCGCAGACATTACGCTTTGAGAGAATCACACACGATTGGGAACATATGGTTACATTGTTAAGGATGTATTGTTCAACAAGTCGGTTAATACTAAGCTGTCACGTCTGTAATAGGTTATGAGGCCCCAATTTTTTGGATAACCATGTCTTGCGATTTTGGTATTTTGTATAGTCGAACTTTAGGAAGATCTGAAATCGCACATTGTTAGTATAACTTCGTGATTGATTTGAGGAGTGATAGCCCATGATATGATGATATGGAAATAATATGGCTACTAATGTCTATATGATGATAAAAAAAAATTGACCATTCTTCAATAAACCTAACAAAATCCCATTTTTCACATTGAACGTGTCTAATGCTTTTGTACAATTAATTTAACGCGCATAATGTATTTTTGAAGAAACGTGTCATGTGTCATGTACTGCTCTGTTCGCCTATGCAGGTGCAAAGAAGTTTGGGCAATGGTATTTATAGTACACAGTAGTACTTTGTTATATTTCTAGTGTGTTCAAAGAAAGGTTACACATAAGATTCGAAAATAATTTACTAATATATTTCTTTTCGGCAGTTAGGATTAACGATGAATATAATATGACCCCAATCGACATTTGAATGACTTCGTATTGGGCTATTGGACTACCGTATAGACATCGGGTTTGATTTTTACGGCAGACACAGGTCGTCGCAGGATTATTAGTTTATGAATTTGTTTAGTAGTTACGCCAGAAGGTATTGTCACAATCAACGACCTCATTGACATGTCATTGGAAATTTCCGTAGCTAATATAAGTGCTATGTATGGTAGAATATATTTCGCTCTGAATTCAAATTAGTATAGCGCCATACTGATATAACCTGAAACAAACGTTAACTTCCGTCTATCTTTTTTCCCAGCAGTGCCGAATCGAAGTGATTCGAATTCATTCAAACCGACATTTGCTTGAAAAATCTTCATCTTAATAATAAATCTACATGAGGCTCCTACCGGACGTATTTAGTCTTTTATCAAAAGATTTTCTCATTTTGTGCGAGAGGCCACAACTATACTTTGTAAAAAAACTGACGCTAATTGCTGAATTTGTCTCCTTTCGGCTTTGGTATGGAGTATGAACTGTAGATCGTCACCCGTTTTAAATAGTCCCTTTCTTTCATTTAATGTGAATTATAAATCATTTAATTGGGGGTCCCGAGACATTTTATATACAGCATACCTTAAATACTAAAGACATAGACCCAGCACAAGGTAACAATAATTCAATAGCACAAATTTAGTGAATTTTATTGATACCATTATCTTGCTAAATCTATTTCAATATCGAACTTTGTTATTTGTCTTCTCCAGCTTCATGGTATTAAAAATATTTTGTGTTGAAGAAAGCTCATGGCCCGATATAACCGCAGTTTTGTTGCATTACGCATTAACGCCACTAATGCAGCAAAAGCTGCGGAGATATCGAAGGCCAGCACAGTTTAACTGATTTTCTTGATTTCGCTGATGACATTCACCCATGTGGATTTTTCTGAAAAAAGATAAAAGGCCTAATGAATAATTATAACCAGACCAGATAAATTTAAACGTAGCTGCTGTGTAAATGTTATGTCACTATGGCCCAAAATATTTGTACAATTACTGTTATATCACCATAACTGAATCGGGTCGACTTAGATTATATTATGCAAAATGAGTTCATGAATATATTCGGATTCGGGCATGTTCGGGAGAAGCTGGCAGATTTTTGCCTTATAATTATTTCTTCAAAATTTTGGTATAATAGTGAATTCGTGTGCAGCTTTGCAGTAAATTATTGGCTTTTGAGCAGATATACTTGTAAATTTGCAGTGTCAATCCGTCCAACAAGAATAAATTTGGAATCGTATAGCGGAAGACTATCACGTAGTTTGCAGGCTCGTTTATAAAAAGATACTGCTTTGTCACCATAAGTGTTAATTATAACCTGTCGTATGAGACTTGAATTCGTGCAAATAAAGGAATGCTTAACTGCAATGAGATTTAGGCATGGTACCATCGATACACCAATTAGATTCGAATTGTGGCAATATAGTTTATACTAACAACTGATATAGGCTATATTATATACTTACCAGTTTTTATGTCTGGAATAACTGTACGATCATCTGCAGATCAGGATTTGGAAAATGAATTTCTTTCGTTTGCTGCGTCCTCCACGCTCGTCGTTTGTCTTCCATCTGGTCGCTTGTATCGGTGTTCGAAAATGCACGCCCACCTGTTCATGTGTGGCTCTTTTATTGTCATGCTTTGCGGAAAACGACCAGAAGTGAAGACGATGATCTCTTCCTGTCTCATTATACTATAATAACGCCACGAATACCTATATTATTTATATCTTTATTAAGAGCAGAGTGGGAGAAGGAAGAAAACTGAGTTTGTATAGTATTATCTTGTATTGTCGCCTTAATGAAACATCGAATTCATACCTGGAAAAAGGATCAAATCTATGTAGCGCATCAGGAAAGATGATGACAATTCTATGCCATCGTTCCTGGTAGTACAGCCTTATATAGGAACTTTGTCAAAATGGATATTCTTATCGCATCTCCTTAAATAAGCTGATATAAACTCGGTTAACATTTGAACCGCACGCAATCGTCTTCGTGGAAAATATTATTCGATTCTCGTCGTAAAGTAACGTTATACTCGAGCTGTTTTCTTGTTGTTAGTGGCATAAATTGTTTCCATTTTTCAATCATATTTTTTGACAATTCCAATCAATCGAGACATTCGATTTCATCCCGTTTTGAAAGAAATGTAAGATGCGTTTACTGATTGTACAGTGAGCGCTTTTACACAACAACCTATAACATCTTAAAGATCTAGAAACTCGCCTAAGCACTCGCCTAACGAATAGGAAAATTCTAAACAATTTGTGGGTTAATGTATGTGGTATGGCCCTTTTGTAATCCTCTGATGCATCCTCCAATAACCGATATAGGCACTAGTTCGTTGGCATACCTTGTCTTAAGCACTGGTGATTTTCAATTTATATGTGATTGACAAACGAAGCCCAAACGAATTGCAAGTGAATTCCACTTGCAATAAGACCACTCTACCGACAAATGTCCAGCGTGAAAATATGTACATATTCTTTTGCCTGCTGTTATAAACATACATTCAACTTCGCATAATTACGTGTATATCTTATTTTAATCGATGTCCAAATAGTGAGTTTGCAATAGTCTTTTGTATTTTCATTTTCAGGTTTTTGATGGAGGCCAGGCACGGTAAAATGTTTTCCGAAAGATCGTGGAAAAGACTATTGTCCACGCGCCCAATTCCAGAGGCTCCTATCAGTTTTGCAGAAATGGAAGTCGAGTTATGTAATGTCATGCAACCTGACATAAACGTGGTGGACGTCAACGCGAGTAAGCAACTTTAAAGTACATTAGATTATTTTAGGTATTTTTACACATTTATATCGAAAGAAGCGAATACACTAACTTTTGCATGACACCTAAAGTTCCCACAATGCCTTTTTTAGGGGTTTCATATTTAGCAGACAGAAATTAATTTTGGGAAACGTTAGGGGGGGATTTTCAAATCTACAAGTTATGAATGATGCTTGGTCAAAGTGCCTTCAGTTGCTGAAGTAAATTGTTCGTCAGCGTTGGGTAATGACTTGGTGACTACAGAGCATCTATAATCCTCACCATTCATATGACATGAAGTGGACCTAGGGATCGTTTGTCATTTTGTATTTTTCTTGTTGTTGTGAATCCTACCTTTCTCTTCAACTACAGAACCAATTGCTTTGAAATGTTCGGTGATTGAAGATTGTTGTTTTCGCTAGAAGGCTATTACTTTTATTTATTGAAAAAAATATTGTGGGCTCTATGGAATTCGTTTTCCACTTAAAATTGTTGTGTGGTGACGTCATCAAATTTAAAAATTGTGCACTTTGTCGTGGTTCCGTGACCGCATTTCAGCAATTTCGTGGCCAGACAATCGGTACTGTAAGAGATTTGATGCAACATCGTTTTGGACTTCGTGTCCATATATTTTTTTCAGCATTGCTCTCTTGTCTATTTAGTATAGTCATGGAATATATAAATGCTGTCAGATTAACTGGTCATCTCTAAGGTGCAATAATTCTTTATGCCAGAGTGTCCCTGTAGTGTAGTGTATCATGTGGTGGTACACTTTTAAGTACGATTTGTAAATATTGTGTAATCATAATAATCAGTTTGCCAGAGAAATAATCAACTAGTAATTCATTCAAGATTCTGATCCAGGTGATTTTTTTATTTATCCTATAGTTCACGAAGCGGAAGAAAGAGAGCGTCAAAAAGCTATGTTGTTGAAGGCAAAAAAAGAATCAGAACGAAAGGTAAAAACATGATCTTTGTCCGATATTTAACGTTTTTGTGCACTGCATAAGTGCCTACTATCATACTCTTTTGTTTACGCTCACCACGGTAATCATGTGTGCAATATAATGTCATGTTTTATTTTTTATCGGAACAGAAACGAGACGAAGAAGCCAAAAACTTAGAACGTAAAAAAATGGAAGAAGCTAAAAGATTGGCGGAAGAAAATGCAAGAAAACTAGAAGCTGAAAAACTAGAAAGTATGTTATTACACGATTACATCGGGTTGTCTTATTTCTTCTCAAGTCCAATCGATAGGAACTATTAAACTTGTTCAGCAAACTCTCACCAATCTGAGTAAATTTGTGCAATACAGTGTTTCAAAAATGTAGTATCGCACACTTGTCCCCTTCTATCACATCTTGCCCCGCTTATCTCTCAGTTGTCCCACTACTCCCAGTGAACTAAATTGGGGTAGAGATCTATTTTTGAGCAATTGGTTAGAAAGGGTATCCATGCTGTCTGTGTTCTATAAGCTGGGATAGATATACCACCATGACAGAAGGTTAGAATATTCATTTGAAGTGAAATTCATACCATAGGCGAGTGACCAGACAGAGGGGCATGATGTTTTTGGGAGACCCTATTCAATAGCACTACTCTTAAATTTCAATCGAATTCAAGGTTTTATCAACATTTCTAACAAAAGTGTGGAAAATTTTCTTTTTTTCTTTAAAAAGAATCAAATTTGATAATACTGCAGAATGGCTCGTTCATGAACTAAGACATTTTGTTGTTGTCATTCGTTTTTTATAGGGGTTGTGACTCTTAACAATCCTTGTTTAATAATGCTTAGTTCATATTTCTGCGTACGGCAGATTGACGATAACGCATACAGAAACAATATATGACTTGTTACAATTTGTAAAAAATATATGTTATTTTGACCCATCTTGGTAGGACGCTCCCATCAACTAAACACTGTGAATATTTATCATTATTTGCGCTGACTGTGTGTGTAGTGTTAAAGGGCACACTGAGGGCGGAGTTGCGAACTCAGCACACTACTTAGAGCTGGTCTCGTTTATATCTTAACTCGAATAGCATTATTCCGTTTGAGGCAACTTATCGTGGAATTTTTGACCAACAGTAATTCTGTAGTGCCATCCTATTTTAAATGGATTAGTCGTGTACAGCGAGATTCATATTCCCGACATCCATTTAATATTTTGAATTGCCTGCTCTCGATTGACTATACATAATATACAAACGCAGCAGGACACGTATTTACAATTCCTGTACATACTTTAAATGCGCGTTTCCTATATGTTATGAAACGATTTAGAGATAATTCAATTCAAGCTATTTAAAACAACAATTGGAACTATTGAACAAGAAGTGCTTATGCAATCACAATGGTTTATCTTAGATGTGTTTATTATATCGTCAGTAATGCTTATTCGGATTTAAGTCTTCACAATGTATCGGAAACTGGTGTCTTCCTGTGCGAGCAATGCAATCTGAAGCAGTCACAATCGTAGTGTATCCATGTATTGAATCTGATTAAGTTTTAAATCGAATCTGTTCAATACAATTAATTGTCATAATACATGGAAATAATACACGTTACAAAGCAATGCGACGGTATTACTAACTAAGTCCGGAAACACGATTTAGGTAAATCTTACTTCCGCGTATTTGAATACAGGTTTTGAAAACGAACGTCGATACTAAAATAACATCTCTTGTTTTTTATTTTCAAATAGTCATTATAAGTAGAGACACGATTTTTGGCGATAATTTAATTTCAATAATAACGCCAACACGAGGTACCATTTTTGTTCAAGTTTTACTGTCACCCAGAAGTATTGCTATTCCGTCACGTTATGTCCCTTTAGTATATCGATGTCTGGAATTCCATTACTATAAAATTTTCACATTAAGTCATTACTTATCGATTTTAATCGGTAAGTATGTTGATAAGTATTTGTCTGAAGCCTATTTATTTTGGATGAATTTTGTCGTATAATTAGCGAGTTGATAATTAATTAGTGATGGGACACAAGGTGTCACTATGGAGTAGGAGCGCTGTTTTGGGGGGTCCCCTATCTTCCGATCGATAAGTCTTCGGTCTCTGACGGATATTCTCGTTATTGTCATTTGTCGCGTATCTTTGTTGGTAGGTCCTTCCAAACTAAGCAATGAGAACTCAATATAACTATTTACTTTTTTGTGTTCCTAGCATTTCTAATCCTTATGTACCGCATTATTTATATATAGATAGCAGCGCATTGACCCAGGGATGATTAACCTTACCCTATGATGAGGTCGACTGGGATTTGGATTATTTATGTGCATGGCAGTTCCTATTTCAGGAAAAGCACACGTTCCAACCCAAAGTGCAAAAATAGAGCCGTTCTATGCAAAGTTTAAATGATTTTGGTCAAACGGATTTATTTATATACCGCAAAATGGTCGCAGGGATCGGTTGTACATTCAGCTGAATAATGATTTTTTCGATTAGATCAGTGGTCGGCAACCATCTGGCCGCGGCCCATTGCCTGTCCGCCGAAAGGTCACTACTGGTCCGCAGTGAGGTGACACAAAAACCTACTAGGGCTTAATAACACCTCTACAATCTAACCACTAACCCTACGACTAAAAAACATCACCCAACAGCAAACCAGACAAACACAACGTATTAGTTATTGCTAAACGACCACCAGGCAATACCCAGATATAGATACAGAAGCGGTACAAGCATTGTTACTTTCACAACATCGTTTTTTTAGGCCGGGTTTTCAATATTAAACTACTACAAAACGAAATATCGAAGAAGGCTGGATGTGAGAAACGCGTTACGTGTATCACTGTCGACCATGTCTCTAAATTGGAAATGTCAAACAAACAAATAGAGATCTCGCATAGCATCACCTTTTTTGAATAATTTGTCAACGTAAATTTTCAAACGCGTATACTTTATTACATAAGCTTAGTCCATTTGAATAAAGGTGGTCCGCCAAAATTTCGATCAGGATATACCGGTCCGTCACTTAAAAAAGGTTGCCGACCACTGGATTAGATAAAGCTTTTTTTTTGAACGATACAATTATTTCGTTTAGTGTAGAACTTTTCGCTCTTCTGTTAGTTATTGCGATATTGCAACGGTTTGTATAGATCCTTGTTTACTTACGTGTTGATTTTTGTACCTACAAGCCTTCGAAATGAGGATTGGTATTATTCAGTTGTTTCAGTGTTTGACATTTTATTCACAAACGCACCATTTAACGGGCTTACAATCGTGCACCATTTCATAGGGGAGAACCAGAAAAGAAATGCTGATGAAGAACGAAGACGAGAAGCTGAAGAACGAGGGAAAAGGGAAGAAGAGGAAAGAAAAAGAAACGCTATGGATGCTGAAGCAAAGGATAAGGTGTGGTTCAAACTATTTTAATGGAAGACTGTTATACACAACTATGTTTAAGTTGAGGGCATGTCGTTTGACTTATCAAAATATTTTGTTGCCTATTCCGTTATTGCAATATCTTCCTCAAATATTTTCAATTTCTAGTTAACTTTTCGATTACATGCACAAAGTCTTTTGGTCATTCCACCTGGTTTCCCACTAAATACTGATATTAGGAGCATCAATTATATGTCAGTTTGCAAAATGTAAACGACAAACTTCCTACATAGAATACTATGCATGGTTTTAGGAGCAGCGTTACAGCGTGCCTTTTTGCCCCGGAATACCTACGCATTTCATCTCGCCTCACGGATCACCAAGAAATTGGAAGGAAAAATTGATATAAATGAAAAAAATTGTCTAATGGATTTACTTTGTGCATCAACTTGCGCAATCGGTTTATCACGACATTATTTGGGGCTTCCTGTTCTAACCCAACAAACCATTGAGAAGGGTGGTTTTCAAAAAATTTAGCCCATGGTAAAATTAGAAAGTTTTACTTTATACTTGACAATAAAAAATTAAGCCGACGGTTAACGATATTGAACGGTTGACGAAAACCCCATACTTTCCAGACTGGCACGATGCCGACCCGAGTCGCTGAAGTACGGTCGACATCGCGAGGGCGACTAATTTAGTCGCAATTTCGATCCCTGTCCCGCGGCAGCGTTCCCTGGAACATAGTTTTAGAAACGCTGCCATGGAGTTTCTGAAATCAGGAGTCGCAATCTACCTTCCACAGCTGTTATTCTACTCTATACATTATGCTCAGATGCTTTCACCTCATATATCCCACACTATGTAAAAAAGCATCAAATATTGTATGCGAAAAACCTGCATTTTGTTACATGCCAGTCGACTGTTGATAATAAACAGCAGCTCCTGAGGTGATTGATAGAGGTCTGCTTGCCCATACCTGTCCATGTGTTAATCTATCGTAAACAAACAAAATAAAAATTGCGTTGTATTTTCCATTATCTTCTCTTAGGAAGCAGAAGAGCAAGAGGAACTTGCAATACAGCAAGAGAGAATGTTACGAGATGCTGCTGAGAAAGAAATTAACGCAGAAAAAAGAAAGAAGGCTGAAAAAGAGGCGAAAGCGGCGGCAAAGAAGGCTGAAGGCAAGTCTTACTTTCATCGAATCACAGTAATAAAGGTTCAGTGGTTTTTATAGTAATTGTAGGCAACGTTCCCTCTAAGAGCTTGCTCAGTTGCGCGGAATAGAAGGCCATGTAAGCTCAAACAAAATCTGTGCGGAAAATTATTAAAAATAGAAAAGAACACAACATTTTAAACGAACACAGAATTATGCAGTGCTCTGCAGAACGAAAGTACTGCGCGGGGATTCTCGGCCAGCTGGGCGGCCTAGGCAGCTGCGCAGCTTAGAAGGAACGTTGAATTTGTAGGTACATGGATATATTATATTGAACGGATTTGAATCATTGTATCTGTATCCTGGACAGATTAAGGTTATGGCATTTCGAAACGAATGGTAAGTTTTTCAAATCCGTCCACACGAAAATTTCGAATCGCCACCATCTTGTTTTTTCTGTCCGCCAAAGGTCGAGGTCAATTCCACATTTTTTTATTCATTCGAGCCATATTTTTAATATGCAGTTCGGATATATATATGACTCTGTTTTCCTAGTGATTTATTGATGAAACATGTTTCTTATTGTGTGTTAACACTCAGCAAGCTGTCTGAGTGATAGATTGCGCGTTTTCAGTGATTTACTTGCCTGGAGGACCCATCACAATAAAAAATTACATATTTTCTAAGTATTCGAGATTCAAAAAAACATTCGATTCGATTCTGAAATCATCGATGAAAATTTATTTTACAGCGGCAAGAAAACAACGTATCCGTACCACCCTCAAGGTGGCTGTAGAGAGCCAGAATCGCCAGAAATTAACGAGGGCCACCAAAGACTTCAAAGAAGCAAAATTGTCCGATACGGATGGCGATCTTGCCAAAGCAGAAAAGCTACTGAAAATGTTCCAGTGTTCTGATGGTACATCAAAATTACTTTTACTTAAATTTTCATTAATTGAAACTACCAGTAAAAATTTAGCATAACTGTAGAATGTAGATAAAACTCGATAAATTAATGCCTATCTATCATTCGCTCTAACACAAAAATACGATAAATTAACTATTTATTTTAATTTTAATAACGTCCTGTCGATGTCGCTTTTCCAATCTCTTCAGTTTTTTTCATGGCGCTCCAAAAGTATGTGTACCAATATGGAGGTAACGAATTGTGTTCGCCTACTTTACATCAAGTTGTGTAAAGTGACTGAAACCTATGGGCAGGGGGTATATTAACTTGGATAACACAGGTAGTCCTCGACCCCCGTAATAAAACTAAAATAAGAAAAATTGGAATAAAATTATGCCCTAGCCCTAACCTGGTACACATACTATGGCAGTACCTTTTCATTGAATATCCTTATTCAGTTTTACATGATGGGATTTCCAAGCGAATGATAAGTCAATTAGAAAGTGGTCTATCCACCGCCAAGAAAAACGGGTTCGACAAACGTGGACTCACTGATTTAGTTGGACAGGCTGGTGAACTTTTGATTCGATTGAGAAGACTGGAGAAGTTACGTCACGAGGTAAATCCTGAAATACGTTGCCGTTTTCTGATAATCTTGAATTATTCGGTAAATATACTGTACATTCAATATTCCCCGGTTCGGGCTGCAGCCGAAAATTGGTTTTTAAAAAAAAAGTAAGGTTGCATTAACAAATTTAAAGTACCACAATAATTGCGGCGAGCTTTGTACACTCAAACGTACTACCTACTGGTTGTAGACCGACTTAGAATTCTGGATCAGTATAACGTAAATTGCACTTTGTTTTGGTTTGTGAGCTTGGATTGGAAGATTCAAAATGTAATATGATTTTGAGTTGCACTATTCTGCACTTAGAATTTGGTCATTACTACGAGTATTACTGACTGGCAATTTACTTTGTTGAGACAGTCATCGGTGTCTCAAAAATGTGTTGTCCCACATTTGTTTCACACTTCAGTCTTCATTAGGTAAGATATATAGGGTGTCCCATAGAGTCTTGAAATATTTTCAAATTTCAAAGGGAATATGCCCTCTCAGATGTATTAAATGAAGTAAAAATACTTGAACAATAACTGATTAAAAAGCAACAAACCCGGTTAAGATATATTGAGAACTGACTTCATAGCAAATTTGAAACTGTAAAGCAGGGGTCGGCAACCTACGGCCCGCGGAGCACTATAATCCGGCCCGCGACGCTTCACTAAATTATAGTAACAAAGAGAGGAGATGCAATGAGGAAATAAATCTATATTCTATTCGAGAGATGTATCACTGCTTGATTTTTATTATAAAAAGTACCATCCGTTCAGTTTTTCAACTTTCTAAAAATATGTGCGGCCCGCCAATGACTTACAACCTTAATTTTGGCCCGCGAGCGACAAAAGGTTGCCGACACCTGCTGTAAAGGGACCTCATGTACACCCTGTATATTGTGGTGCAAATGGTAAAAGTGCTGGTTAAAATGAATTATCCAAACAAGTGTGGCACATCATTTTTGAGACAACTTACTTTTATGCTTGTTTTCAACCATGCCCTCATTGCCCAGTACTCGTACATATACTTGGCCGTTCCCTTTAAATATTCTATATTCGTTCAACCTTGTTAAATAATTATTACCAATTGGATTGTATATAAATGCACCCTTAACTATAGTTCTATTGGGTTGCCAATGTAGTAGTGAAGTGTAATGATACACTGACTGCTTTCATTTAGGTTTTAGAACTGAAGTCCAGTACGATCGCTGAGATACGTAGTTATCAGAAACCGCCTACGGTTGTTCACGACGTCATGATGGCGACTTATCTTCTACTAGGAACACCACAGAAAGAAACTCAGGTAAAGATATATATAGTGTAGTATTTTGAAATAGATGCTCGAGCCTGAAAGCTGTGCCTTGAAACATCAACCTATATATAGGCTGACCCAAATATACAGAAACCATAAAATTCTTAATTACTTTCACGAAGATGAATTATTTAACACTTGAAGTTGTGTTTGTGTATGCTTGTACTTGTTGTACCACCAAAGTTTCATGAATCTAGGGCGCTTTTCACAATAGTTATGTTTTCTGTAAAATATCCCCAGGTGAGCTGAGTTTTTTTTTTTGTGTGTGTGTGTGTGGGGGGTTACCCTATATACCACAAAAAATGTTTAGTCTGTCCTTGCATTAAACCCTTTCTTGCTATATCATTCTTTGACATTTTAATAAAATCAATAACTTTTATTCATCATAACATATATTCTTTTATCATTGAATTATAGACGACCATGTATATTTTGTTGCGTCATTTATTCTAAGCTGGACGGGATTTGGCAATCAAACTAAAACGATGTTGTTAAGTAATAATCGATATAATTAAAAAATCAAATGCAATTAGATCTATGTTTATCCTCTTATATTGTATGTTTCAAGCATAATATTGAGCTAAATTAAAATTATATATATTACATTTGTTATAACATCAACGATAATTTGTAAAAGGAAGCAAAAAAATAAGCGATAGGAACAGATATATATTTGGCGGTTTTCTCAGTAATCAATATTTAATTAGAATAAAAAAAAAACGAAGAGAAAATAATTTAATAATAAAATAGTATTTCGTTTGTTTCAACATTGTGGAAAATAGTGGAAACGTTCAAAGCATACGTCTTCCGGCAATCCAGTATATTTTGCTATCGAAGGACATCAGGCTATTTGCGCACTAATAATGTCCAATGCAACTTGTACCAATGGTGGGGCACCCATCGTACCTCATGCCAAAAGAATGCAGTTAAAACGATATATTGGGCATCAAATTTGCCAAAAATTATTAGCCGCTCTAAAAATAATCACACTTCGCCAAATTGAAAAATCTTCACACAATTTGACGAGTCTGTCACTGCTAAACTTCCGTCATGCAAGACACACGCCGCCATCGGTTCATTTAAACCGTTTTCGTCTGTTAAAATGTGGCGTATAAAATGACCTTCTGGAGTAAAAACGGTGACTCTGTTACGTGCGCGATCCACCAACAAAATATTATCTTCTTCGTCGACACAGACGCCACGCGGGTCTTCGACGTGACATCTACGACATGCCAGGCGCTCCTCGTCGTCAGATTCGTTTTCAAACTCATGTTCGGGACTTGAGGTAAAGCTCATAATGCTGTAATCGTTCAAGTTATCGTCCGATATTATGTCGCCTTCGCTTTTAATATGTTTCAATGGGGCATTTATTTCGGTTGGTGAGTTGACGACATCAGCAGACGATTTTCTTTCACTACTGTATGTGAATGTAGTTATATTGGTGCTTGGCGAAATACCAGGCTTTTGATATTCTGTCTCACGGATACGATTCAACTGTGAGCCATAATTACCGCCATTCCTATTTTCTGATTCTTCTGTCACTCCTTGTTCGTCTTCTGACAAACTGCCAATCGATTCGCACCTGGCTACTTGCGACGCCATCAACTTTTTAGCCTTCTTTCGTCTTCTTCGCCACAGCGGTTTTCCGATGTTTTTAGCAATCTTTGTTAACATAGAAGGGCTGTTTCGTCTCGAAGACTGATTGGTTTGTTGTTCGTCGTTTCTTCCTTCTGTAAGGTCAATGTAAGAACTACACTGCTCTGACGCTTGGTTGCCATGGCTGTGTAAGCGACTTCCTACACTATGTGATGGAGAGCATTTTTGTTCCACATTTTTTTCCTCGTTTACTGGATTCTCTTCAATAACCTGTTTTCGTGTTGATAAATATTCCTGACTTTCGACGCTCTCGTTTCTTCCAACGTTACCCCTGCAATAAAAACAGCACTTTTGTTATTGGACACGAAGTTTACATAGGATCATTTTACTTGATGTTTGTTGTGAGTGTTTGTATAGAATTTGAAACTGACATATGTAATCTGGGCAGCCAATACAGTTAAGCCTAGCGCTTTAGGCGCTACCTCACTGGCCGTAGTTATGAAAGAATAGCGTTTCCCCTGAAACTACCGCATCACTCGGTTTTAGATTTCAAGTATTGAAGATGAATAAAGAATATGACATTTATTTTATTTCATTTTTCTTGAAGCTACGCTTCCCGATATTCACCAAGATTTCAATTGAAAGAACATGTTTTGACATTTGGCGTTCGTGTTCTGTTTATATTAGACTTCATATTACGTACAAATTTGAAAAATTCCACTCTATAGCATATATCACATCGTATCTATATATTATTATTATATATTTTTCAAAGTTTTTTTTAAAGTGTCGAATAAGTTATTTTGCATATTCAATTTCTTTATATAATACTTCTTTGAACTTGTGCCCCGCTCTACACAAACACGAATGATGAATATATTATACCCTTCAAGTGTAGAAAAGATCATGAATATTTCAGAAACTGCGCTCAGCGTGAGACACGCATTTCGACGTTCTCGACTACATCATGTTATTATATTACGTTTGCGTTTGCCGCACCAAAGGTCATTTTTCGATTTTTTTTTTACATCGAGTCTGCAGACATGCAAAACGACTTGTAACGCGGTATGTAATTGCTTCTCGCTACACGTAGCGTGTAAGCAAATTTCATTTTCGTCGCCAAATTAAATTCGTTTTCAGGGAAAAATCGCCGCCCGGATATGGTCTATGAATAAATTGTCCTTCCCATCAGACGTTCATGCATAGCAATGGAACAATGGTGTTGGGGTTATTGGTTTCGCTTGCGTCTATTTTTATTCAAATTTGCATGTTATACAAATATAGAGTCATGAAAGCAATTATTGTATTGTCAAGTTGTGACTGACAAATTGCATTACTGGTTGTCGTTATTAGAGTTCGCCGAAATGTCGTCATAAAACACCATCTGATGTATGATAGAAATTTGAATATTGGAAATACGTAAAGGGTAACAATAATAAGAAAGCAAAAATGAGACTGGTACTTTGCATGGGTGATCTATGATCGGATGCAGGTTTAATCCAGCTTCGACTGGTTACAACTATTTTGAAATTTTTTTTTCTTCCGATGCCTACCTGTAAATCGTTCCCAGAACTCGTACCCTCTCGTGTTTGACCTTGCACAAAGCTTTAGACGAACTGCATATGTCTGTTAAAAAGCTGTGCGATCTTGCTCTGTCCGTATTTCTCAAGGGTGAAATACTCAATTTTCGTTGGCTCGAAGGTGACTCTTTCTTCGCATCGTTTTCCACCGAATTCTGCCAACAAATTATCTTTTCTTGCGATAAACTATACAAAGTCCTTTCGACAACTCGATCATCTTGGCGTTCTGGAAAAAAATATGTGATGATTAGGACCGCGAATAGGAACAATTTCGGGAATTTAGTTGTAAGTAGGACCTGACTTTTTCAATCGGGTCCGAATTTCAACAATCAAAAACAAGCATTTAACATTCAAACTGTTATGAACTACTTTTATAATCTAGCAGAGATCGAGTATTTACGTGGTTGGTCAATGTCTCGAACGGAAATTTTAATCTTGTTTCTAATTGTGAAATGAACTCGTTCTATTTTATTGCTCAATGCTAAATAATACCAAACTCAGAGTTTTAAAATCACTTCCAAGCATTATATAAACATACTTCGCCTGTTTTTACATTTTCTACATCCTGTTCGTCCACCTCCGATGCTAAAAAGTAGAGTACCATCTTCTTCGAATACTAGTAGACATCGTTGTCTGGTGTCGGAAACCAGAATCTAAAATGAATGAAAAATAGGATTTTGCAAACTTTAATGTCGCCTAGCATCTTATCAGGAATTTGGAAGTCTTCAATTTACTTGTCCACAACACGTCAAAAGTTATAATCTCTCCGTAAGTTCACACTGTATTTTCCATCATTGTTAACTAACAAATCTCCTGCATAGGAGTTGTATTATATTTTATTTTCTTAGCATATTTTGATTTTATACTGATCTATATTTTTACAGTAGTATTGTCTTTGGTATTTATGATCTCCTAAATAGACAGGACACAACGCGCATTTCCAATATCCATTTTGTACATATAAAAATCTAAATACATACCTGGTTTTTACTATTGACTGCAACGTATCTGGGTGCCAGCAATCGAACTTGTATTTTTCCGTTTGCGCTGGACGTGCTTATTTTTCGAGATGCTTCAATTCCTGAAATTGGTAGACTCAAATTGGACAGGCATCGTATACTGTCTGACATGTTTCTGTCGGATATGGAGGCTCGTTTCTTATTGCTCTTTCTCCAGCTGTTCAACCTTAAGAATCAAAGTAACGTAAAGATGCTGCTGGCGCGTAGGGTAGTCGTCCCTAATAAATAGGCTGAGAAGAAATTATGGTCGGGCTTCAATTTGAATTACGAACTTTACAGTGTTCGCGACACTGCAAATTCAGAGAACGATAAGTATGTAGCAGCCCTGCAATTTATTTTGTTAGGGATAAAATCTTTTCTATATTTCGTGCAGTTTCTAGCGACATTAAAATCGTAGTGTGATACCGTTTCACACACAAATTTTAATGCTTCTTTCTCGGTATTGCATTGGTGCAACATTCAAATAGTGAGCGAACAATTATAATAATATAAATTAAACTCGACGTTGAATTCTATCTTGCAATATTTGTGAGTTTGATTTTTCTACCGTCGTCTCAGACTGAATTCTTAAGCCAATAATACACAATACGAAACAATTTACTACTCTGTGTGGCAAGTGTTGAAGGAATTTTACCAAAAACATTGGTTCATTACTTCATTTGTCTGTTAACACCCTTGGTCAGACCAGGATGACAAAACGAATATTTGGGGAGAAATAAATTTTAAAATTGAATTTGAACCAAATTGAAAACAAATTAAAAGTAAATATCATTTTATAGTGAAAACAATTTACATACCCGATACGTGGACGAGAATTGAGCTGCTTCTGTGAAATATTTCGTGCTGAAGAATTTCCGCCTATTTGATTCTTGATTTCGCCTGAAGGGCTCAGTATAAATACAGATGAGGATTTCGGATCGGTTATCACGTAATTCCCTGTTAATATATTATATTTTAATATCCAACTTTGTATGTAAAGGAGCACCACGTTTATCATTTTAAATTCGGCACCAACTGTACGGCGTTTATGCTGAGGCATAAACTTCGGCGCTCCAGAAGTGTTTGAACCCAATATGAAGGTAACGAATTTTGTTCGTTTACTTTACATCAAGTTGTGTAAAGGGAATAAAACCTATGGGTAGGGGTAGATTCACTTGGCTACCACAGACAGTCCCCGAACTCGTAATAGAAATAAAACAAGGAAAATCTGAATAAAATTATTGCCTAAGCCTAACCTGATACACACACTACAGGAGTACCTAAACTTCGACATTTCGGGATAACAATAAATCATAGAAAAATTTCGCTCCATAGATTTATGTTATTGAGGAATTGTAGGATTCATTGCTGATAATAAAGGTGGTTAGAAATAGGTAACTGTTTTTGTTATGCAGATACAGTGCTGGAAGCGCTTGGTGGTGAAATATCTGCAATTTAATTAAACAATCTAATTAAAAATTTGGATATTTTCCATGTTGGTGGTAGCACTGAAGATCTTTATTCGCTGAATGACTGTTTTCAAATTTGCCGTGAGTAGCCACAAAATCGGTTTAAGTCTAGGTCGTTTAATTTTGAGAATTGAAAAATTAACAATCTAGCACAATTGGCAAACGAACCTTTGTTGTCGCAGACGATTCCCCAGCATGCTGTAAATTTCTCGTGCGCAAATCTATCTTTAGATACTCCTTCCAATGTATAAGTACATACTTCAGACAAATGACACACTACGATAGTATTCTTTTTCGGATTCATCGTTATGCCACGCCCGTATCTCGGCCAGGTTGGGGTTCCAAACGCACGCTTCATTTCGCCATCCAAACCATAAATTTTTATCTGTGAAGAGAGAATAATCCAAATGAATTATCTGCTCTAAGAGGCTTATAGTCGTGATACTTCAAAACGTCTCGAAATCATTTTTATCCTTAATTAATTTGGTTCCAAGTCGTTGTGGTCATAGATTTTGAGAGACAAATCTTACACGCTGCCAGTTATGAGAGGTTCTGTTCAAAAGATTTTTCATCTCAAATTCAGATATTCAAATGATATTCAAACTCTTGTTCCGGTTCCATGTATTCAAATTTCAACAGTATTATGAGCAGGCCTTAAAGCAGTTAGCAAATAGGGTTTAAGATTTGGTCTCAAGTCTTTCGCCCGCTTTCGTTCCATTAATAGATAAAGAGTATTGGTTATTTCATTCTCCTATTATGAGTAGGATTTAGGTCAAAACCTGATGTTTCAGAATACTTTCGGACATTATATACCGTTTCAAATCAATAATTATTTGAATAATAAAGAATCCTTGAATCGAAATCCGTCAACTAATCCGAGTTTAATTTCAAAAATGATGAACGCGAATTACGTCATGTCGAATTCGATTATTTTATTCGAGGTTGGCCTGTTAACTTAATGTACTTGAAATAACTTGTCAAGAACAGAATCAATAAAAAATCGTTAACGGTTCGCTTGCTACACAAGAGAACTTCTGGCTGCCTAATGTATTCAGCGAGGTATTTTCTTAAATTTGACCAAAAATTACATTATGTATATATAATACAGTGTGTATTTATAAAAATATCTCCCTCTTTGGGTCTGATAACATTGTTAGAGCATTGGCACTTCCACGTTGGAAGCTCGATAAAATCATAAATAAACTGAAAATAGACTACGTCCTAAATAATTATCACCCATGGGAAATTACGAATATCCAGTATAGGACAATTGATTTAATTCGTAATGCTCAAATCGGGCTGGGTTATCGATCGCCCTATTGTTTGAGACGCAAAATGAAGACGTCCCAGAGAGCTTCTAAGTTTTTTCCTGGCGGGAAATAATCAACGCGTATTGGGAAATTATGGCGGTATACCATCTTGTGAATTTGTTAATTTGCAAAATTGGTTAAATGTAGACTAAGTCTTCTTTTCTTTCTCCCATGTTATTTATTTTGATTGGGTTCAACTCATGTCTCGAGCAATAAGAAGCGTTATCAAATTGCATCTTTAATTTTACTATGTTTAAACTGAACACAAAATTTCTTTGAAGCTTCGAAATAGATTCAAAAACTCTCAACTACTCAACAGAAACTACTCAATTATATCATTATGACGCGTGACGGTCAGTTCGGCAAAAAAATAAATGTCCATAACGACCATAAGTAACTGTTAGAACCCAAATCATTGCCCAAGTCAGTGGTCTATGAGAAATCAAGATATATCAGGATATGCCAAGTGAAGTTGTCCAAAATCGTTACCTTTACTTTATCAGCGTCTGTGACGGCGAATCCACCGAGGCTAGGAACTGCAGTGATACCATAAGCTTTGATGCCTTCTTTTGTACTAAGAACACCTCCTATTTCCTTAGATTTTTGCACTCTAACCCAGGAAGTAAAATCAATTTTTTCCGGCTGTAAAATGAATAAAAAAATTCAATTTCAATATTGAGCGAACTATTTAGTAAGGACAAAAACTTGTTATCATTTGCCGTACATTTTGAAAACTACGGAAAGTGTACTAGCATTTCGAAGCATTTCAATCTAGTGACAATACTATGTTAATACATATTCTTATTGAACAATAATTATATTGTCTTTAATCTAGCAATTTAATATCGCGAATTTTTATGTTGAATAAATTCGGATAGTGTTTGATTTAAACGTATAAGTAAGTCACGTGTGAACATTAATTTTCAATATGAAATGAATTTTCCTTTTTTGTTACATGGAATTTGAAAACTTATTACAATCAAATTCTTAAAACTAATAAGCTTCAAGTTTCACGATTTACTGACAACCTAACCAAATATTTCAAACATATTTATACGAATATTTTAAATTACTCATGCACACTTGTCTTAAAAAAATGTTTGTTAACCATAATTACATACAGATTTATTTAAAACCTTCTATTATTTTAAATTTAGCTCTTCGTGATTTTCAGACAATGTAATGCTATATAATGACCCATTTAATCGATTTCAGATTTTAAATTAACTCATGTTTCGAAGGTACCGCGATCGAAAAACACGAAAGTTCACCTTTTCCGTCAACCGCATGGCCTTCATTTCCTGATGATTCATTGGCGATCTTGGTCCGGTGAATGCACTGAATTGAGTAGCGTCAGGTGGCATAAAAAGTGATCTGCTTCGCGGTCTTCTTGAAGGTGGAGAATGGTTTTCGTTGACTTGGCCTAATCTGGGTCGTACGGGCGAAAATCGAGAGCTTCTTGCATGCCTAAATCCAACGCTGTGAGAACGATTCTGTAGTGTAATTTCACTTACTGAACGTTTGGGGCCATTCCCCTCTACGTTCTCACCATACAGACTCGGCGACGACGCGCCTTTCCTTGTTACTTCTTGGTCTCGTGCTCTTTGCGTTGGCTTATTCCTTTCGTTCATGTATTCCATACGATCCGATTTTCTATGATTTCTGGTATTCAAGCTTGTTCTTGGCGAAATTTGAAACATGAATGCGGTATTTTTCATTGGGTTGGGTGGAGTTACTAATTCGGTTGTGCATGGTGGGTCTTTCTCCTTGTGTTCTTCCCATTCTGGATTGTGGCTGACTGAACGTGGTTGGATCATGGCTTCTGTAAATGCTGGGAATACAGAATCTTCAGCTGATCCTGATGAGTGTTGGCGCGATCCCCGAAGATCTGTATCTAAAACAGACAGAATATGTGAAGTATTAAACCATAAATTACTCATCATTATACGATTGTTTGTTCAAGCTACCGTAAATTAAACGCTCGTTCAAAAAAGAATATTGTCCACTATTAGTGCCTCTGTGATTCTATATAGCTTTTAGACCGAGAGACATGTTTGTGGTGGTGATATAACAAGTGTATACAAGCTAAACTCTTCTTACTAATAAAAAGTTACCACATTGCAACTGGCAATGAAGTTGGCGTTATCGTGAACTGGGGTTACGAAATATCAACTATTTCACTTACTGCTAATAGCACGTGGCCGTAACTTGCTCTCCGCTGGTGCAGATGGTATTCGCATTCGAGAAAAAGTCTGAATGGTGGGTGTCAGACTAAACTGACACTGACTTGTTGTGACACTTGTTCTTGTAGTAGTTGTGCTAGTACGACGAAGAGAATCGCCAAATTGAAAATCTGGAATGTGTATGAAATATTGCCCAAGATTAGTATCTTCGTAGCTATGGGGGTTGTTATATCTAACGATGTACGATTAATTAGCGAATATTTCAAGGTTGTTCTTGCTCCAGAGATTACAATAAAAACCCAACGTTACTGACATATGTTACAACATTAAATATACTGTACGAGTATATGGTGTTGCTTACCTGAAAACACACTTTCCCCACTATCAGACCATGTGACTCGACCGCTGTCTGCGGACAACCGCCGATGTGACCTCGAATTTGACGTTCCTTCATCTGTTGCCACTTTTGGGTTGTTCGGACTACATCTAAATTTGCGTAAAAGCAATATTAAAGTAGGGCTTACTTGGAAATTTGACGAAATCAGGATATAGCACTTAAAACGTGGGCGTTGAAATATATGAAAATATCTATGTAATCTGAGAATTATTCCGTTACAAATATCAATAGAAACGCGCCAATTTTTAAATATTGTCTGAAAATTGGGATATGATGTTTCAATAGGGTTTTACATACCTTTCATCAATACTCGTTGGTGTCTCTTGGGGAGACGAAACTTCACTTTTACTGCATTTTTCACATGATGGGGTAGCCACCGCCGTCCCAACTCTACTGGCGTGAGCACAACATGTTGGTAGAATTCCAGGGCAGAACATGAAACCTCCATTGCGCGCGATAGGCATTAAGTGTCCTCCTGGACAAATATTCATACTTCCAATCATATTATCATGCTCGCATCTGGTCATTGTGTTAGCGGTATTAACCGACAGTAAATGTGGATTAGATGTAGATGCCGTTGCTCTGCTCAGTCTACAAAATATACAGATTATTATTTACAAAGTATAATTTAGTTTTGCCAACTCATGATCGGGTGTTCAATTACACTAGGTTTTAGTTCAAACAATATATTTATTGGGATTATTTTTACGGATAATCTCCATAATGAAATATCCAATGTGCTATTGCCTTCCAGCAAATCTGAATTATTTCCTGTAAAATATATATTTATCTGACATTTTGGTACATGAAATATGTATCGTGCGATAATTAAAAATATTTCCGATGTTACGGTGCAGGTCGTTCCTGTCTATAACTTTTGACCTTTGAAAGACGAAAAGAAATTAAAACATAATTCACCTGGGTTCTATCTGTCTGTGGTCTTCTGATGATCGAGTGCGGAATATGGAATCCGAGTCTGACGTTTGAAGTTCCACCTCAACGTCGCTTTGATCAGACGCTCTGCGCGTCAGTGCTACGCATTGGCATTTACGCACATTTTTGCCATCGTTGCATTCGTGTCTGATGCCGGTGCAAGACGTGCAGCCAGTTAGAATCCGATGGCAATTTCCACATCCTTCTGTCCTCAAAACTGGTACTGGTAGGTAGACCACATGTGTTAGACAACTACAACATCTGCTTGGTGAACCAAGAACATTTCTTTGATTGTTATCATAGTGATGGTGATCCATCACTGACAACTTTTACTTTATATAAGCTAAATTTAATGTATCTTTTCCTGATAAATATAAACATATTTATGCATACAATTAGATAGTAAAATTGAGCATTGGGAGGTTATTTTCAAAAATATAGGCTTTCTTTTGCTTCATTTTAAATTTAATTCCGACTCTCCAATTACTGTACAATTTAACAATAGAGCACGCAATACCAAGGTTAAACTCAATATATTTTCTCTCGTTCGACGTATCAGGCCGGTTTCCAATATTTCTGGCCAAAATTGAGTTAGCATCGACTGTTTCATTACGGCATTACCGGCGTGTTCGAAAGGATTGGCCGCCAGTTTCAAGTCTACAAATCGGCTCCTTTATCTCTCTCACTATGCATAATGCCTATTTGTTATGACAAAAAACAAATTAAAAATATTATCTTCATTTATGACACGCGCCAAAAACCCACTTAGAATGTTTATATATATTTTTTTTAAATATGGAGCAAACCGAGGGTATTATGGATTCATGCATCAATACTTAAAACATTTAGCTAGAATACAAAACAAAAAAAAGCATTTTTAGGTTTAAGTTGAAATTTTTGTTGGTGATGCCTATTAAACAATGAGTATAATAGTTATTTTGAGTAGGAGCGATTCGATTAACGATTTTTGAGTATTAGATGATATCGACATGAATTAAATGTAAAAGCAACTACTTGAAACTTTGTGATAGAACCTAACTCAAAGGATACAGAAACTTATTTCTTTGCTTCGCTCCACGTTCACTCTCCTCAGTCCTACCAACTGTTTATTTCATACTGGCAACTCACGCCGACTTTTCGTTTTGTCCGGACTCTCTGAGACCATGTTCACGTGGGTCTAATTAATTCTCAGTCATCGTAGTTCTTGTTTTCCCAATTATTTTTTCCTACGGCACAAAAACGCCTATCAACATTCTTCTAATCTAAATGGTTAATACAATCGTTGAGATTACGTAGGTAATGTGCGTAATGTACATCGACATGACTTGCATTATGTTTGTTTTCCCTGCTCACTCGTATTCAATTAGGACTAACCATTTGCCAATTAAAATCAAATTTTATTTTATCTAGTAACAAAGGCGGCGCATTTTTTTGATTTATGCGTATTTGTTCACGAAATCCTGCAATCTCTCACGCAAGTCTTCATATGCAACTATCAATACGAAACCAGTCCTCTCCTTCTTCAATCATCGTAATTTTCTCATTAAATTTTTGAGGTCTCCCTTCCACCAAACGATCAATGTTAAATATCGAACGGCGGGGATAGTTTTTCTCTTTCCCGATACTCGCGTGTTCTCTCTCTCCCTGTTGCGTCTCATGTACGGTACGCCATTTTGAACTGATCGTATGTTTTCTACTGCCCGCAATAATTACGTCCGTCCCGAGTATTCAAAAGAAATGAGTTCAATCGAATTAAACTCACAGTATGTGAGAAAGTAATATACGGGTTATCTTCGACTTTTTTGCATGTCATTACGAACATGGGTCATTACGCGGGCTGGAAAGGATTATTTTCCAGTTTTTTACAACGGTCAACTGCACACTAATTGTGAAATTATTTTGTGATGACATTTTATATTTACTTGCGTAAAATACGACGCTCACTCACTTCATAAAGCATGAATACTAAAAAGCAAAAGGCGATCCGATCCAATCAAAATCCGATTTGACCAATAACTATTCATATTTTGCACATTTCCGCGTTGTCGTAACAATAATTCTATATGAGTCAAGAATATTTCTTCCATCAAAATTGTACGATAATTAAACAGGAATTCTTTCTTTTTTATAAATTCTATGTCTTAATCTCTTGTGCATGTTGTTATACTGTAAATTGCGATATATCAACACGGTGGTCTATTTGAGGCCGCTTTGTAACAGGCGACTCGCCAACGACCTCGTTGACTTAATTTTATTTGATTTAAAGTTCTTTTTTTGTCAAATACTTCTTTCTTGAAAACCGATTTGAAATAATTTTATTTACGGCTTTCAAAGGCCTTTTGTCATTTTACCAATGAAAAGCGGCACCGTCCCTTTGGATCAATAGAATACCTAATTATTCTTGCAACTGTCAGTTTGTGCAAAAATTACTAGAATTGAAGAAAAAGATTTCTGAAATGTATTAGGTAAAAGGTAATGACACATGGCTTGAGTTCAGTACAGTATGGATTTTAGTTCGTATTGACGTACGAGCATAAATAATACTTATTAGATACGTGATTTGAAAATATTACTAATTCAACTCATTAGATATTTTATTAAACAAAACAATTGTGTCCTAATTATTGCAATAACACGAATTTATTGATTTTTGTCTTCAATTTATTCCCATGTGAAATTTCAACGATAAATTCGTAAAAGCAAATAAATCTTCGGAAATTTTGATTCATTTTTCTTATTTTTATTTTATCATTATACCACCAAGTTTTGATATATTCCATAATTAAAAATCTTTATCTCACTAAACCTAGGTCTAGCATAACTAATAACAAGTTATTTTTTATTTGGATTTTCATAAATTCCAACACTACAGTAAGATCAAATACTTTAAACATCTTTACTTATTGCTTTTATCCAAACAAAAAATTAGGACATACTGCTTGCCCATTGAACCTTTCGGCCCAACTAATGCTGCCTTTTCCTCTATAAATTCATCAAAAGCGTTAAAAATCCTTCATAAAAATGAAAACAAATGGGTACTCCATAAGTATGTGAACCAAGATGGCGGACACCGGAAAGCAGTATGTGTACCAGGTTAGGGTTAGGCCATAATTTTATTCCAATTTTCCTTGTTTTAGTCTTTTACGAGTTCGGGGACTAGCCAAGTGACTCCCGTAGTATTTGCACCTGAAATTAAGGCTTAACCCTAACCTGGTACACATATCACGTTCTGGTGTCCTTCATCTTGGTTCACATACTTCGGGAGTACCAACAAATCTGCGTTTGTCCAACAAATCTGCGTTTGTTGGTATAATCATTTTTAATGTCGTTTCATATGGCGCAACGTCGGAAGTCGGGTATGTAGTCAGTTTTGAGAAAAGCCTTTCTCTTGGGAGGTTCGCTTCAAATATGTTTACGTCTAAACTGAAGATATAACAGTAAACAAAAAACCTAAACATCGCCGAGATTGTACGCAAGCATGCAGCGTCCCTCGTCAAATTAAGTATAAAATAAACTTAGAAAAATGAGACGTCGACATGGGAATATGTCTTAATACGTTCTGATTTTGATTTGAAAATCGCATGCATAGCATCAATTAAACTTAATCCACAAAGCAGCTGTAATATATTTCGGCAATCATGCAAAAATTGCTTGGCCTGTCATGGGCGACAGGAACGCGCTCGAAAAGGAATCGTTACAATAGATTTCCATTTACCCACCTTTAGGTGGGTAGTAGCATAGACTCATATAAACAATAAGCAAAATAGGGAACGATATCATAAGAATCATATAAGTAATTACGCAATTTCCATGTACACAATTCGTCGTGAATCAGCGGTCACGTCAAAAATTTTAATGTCTTAAATCGGGCTTCCTCTGATGTATAAAATGATTCCACTATTTATGCCAACAATTCCTCCCAATTAATATTTTTTGAGTGTTTTAAATCAATGTCATGAACTAACGAAGTAAAACGCCGTAGTTCGCCGTTTTCTTGGACACCTATACGGAATAGATTTGTCAGGTATAATTGGCCGACAATCAATATACAATGAAATATTCTGATGAGCAGCAACGGTTTCAATTTTAAAGTTACGATTCTGACTCGCGTAAATAAGATTCCGTCACATAAAATCCTCCTTCCGGCAAAACATTGTGTGCATAGCTCAAGTTACGTGTCATCATCGTATCAGCAAAGCGATTAGTATCTCGCTTTTCAAGATGTCGACTTTGGTCGCTTTAATGTCCGGATATTTCGCGCACTTACAACGAGTGTGCAAAATATTTTGATGTATGCTCACATCAAAAGTATCGGCGCATCACCGCCATGCGAGTGCATCTCAAGATCAAAGTACGCGATAATATGACACTGGCTCATTGTGGTGAACCGGCGACCATGGGACCCCAGCGAAAACAACGCGACGTCATTATCGTTACTTATGGAAATGCGGCGTAAACGCATGATGTTGAAAGATTTCTTGTTTTGCAATGCTCCCTGTGTTACGCAATATCAATTATATCTGGAAGAGTCATATTTCTGGTTTGAGTTCATCCTCAAAACTGACTCTATTTCTATTGTCTGTCTGTGTACCATAATACCACATTGATCTGTGTTTACTCCACGATGCCCCTTCTTTATGCTAAACATAGACTTACAATGGTAAGGCTTTCGAGAATTAAAGCGATTAAGGGTAAAAGTGTATAATATACCCGGAAATAATAGGACGAGCTTATCATTCACACAAAAATAATTTTTTTGAAAATTATTTCAAACTTGTCTTGACCCTTTTAACGGAATCTTCGCCGCGTGTACTAAGCAGTCTTCTATATATCCATTCAAACTGTCTTATTCATGGCTATGTTGAAACACAAAGCTGTACCTCCTTTTCAGTTGGTACATGGGCTAGTGGTGTTCAAAGCATTTAGTTGAAACGAGAATTGGAATTAATGCTGTTAATCGAATCATCGAATTATTGTTTTATTCCAAAACTTTCTGAAATCATGACATATTTTTAATATAATATTTCATTCAGGTTCATGATATATTTTGAAACATTTTTTAATAATTTCCTGAAAGAAGCTCAAGATTGATTAGATTTATTTGAATAAATAAGTGCTAGATCTGCTCGAAGTATTTGTTTTGCAATGAAGCCTGAAGGAGTGAGTTAACATATATGTACGTATACAGAATTTTCACTTATAGGCTGCCACGAGTCCGCTTGTTCGACCACAAAATATTATTCGACAGGTCTCGCCTGCTGCAATTGGTTGCGATATGTTTCATTTGCAATGAACGGAAGTGACAGCCATGCCACGGAACGGGAATAGATAAATTCCCGACAGTAATTTCCGTCTAGCAATTAACTATTGACATTAATAATACGACTCCAACGTCTTATGGTGCAATTCAAACTCGTTGTCGAATTGCTTATAACTCGGTTTCCGAATAATACAGGTGATGGGTCCCTGGAGATACGTCAAGCGCTCGCCTCCACGACATTCGTTGCACGGAAACGCAATTAACGTTGACGGCGTGGACGGAAACCCATGGTCGAAAAAATAATAATTTAACTCTGATTTTAATTACATTCCCATATAAAGTTTTTGCTGTTGTTGGGCCACTCTTTGTATGCTCAGTCTTTGCGATACAGCTCACGACACAAAATATGACTTTTTGCTGTGGGCAGGCAACCTGAGTTCGCCCCTTGATAA